ACTGGAGCTGGACAGAAGAGGCTGTTCCTAGATGATTAATCGAGGTTCCTGTTTACTAGGCACCTGGAACATTCCAGACACAATGACAAATACGCCAGAGTGCCATACCCTATTTACTCCTAAAAATACAACCCTGGGAAGACAGTGGGGCCAGCCGTGTCACCCAGGAGGAAGCTGGCTCAGAGAGGTGAAGTCACTCTCCTAATGCCACTCAGCACAGTGCTGGCCTTCTGACTTGGGTCTGACCCCATGAGCCCACAAGGGCAGGAAGGGACCATGCCACTGTCATAGATATGTGTCCCCACCACACCGCCTATAGACACATAGTAGATGCTCCAGAAACAGTGCTCAGAGTAAAGGATATTCATCAAGACTGTCTGGCTCTGCAGCCCTGGCTGGCCTTGAGCATCTACTGCCTCAGCCTTCAAATGGTTGGAACTACAGGTGTGCACTATGACACCCAATTTGAGGTGATCTTTTCTTCTTTCTTTCTTTTTTGTCAGTCGTGGGGCCTGAACTCTGGGCCTGGGCGCTGTCCCTCAGCTCTTCAACTCAAGGCTAGTGTTCTACCACTTGAGCCACAGCGCCACTTCTGGTTTTGTTCTGCTTATGTGGTGCTGAGGAATCAAACCCAGGGCCTCACCCATGCAAGGCAAGCACTCTATCACTGAGCCAACTTCCCAGCCCTCTTCTTCCCCTCTTTTCCTCTCCTTTCTTCCTTTTTTTCCACAAAGCTCTAGATAGAATCCAGGACCTCTAACCTGCTTTGCCACTGACTCTCCTGCCCTTTCTCTTTTATCTTAGGTCCAAGGGTTAAGTATTCAGATATGTTCAGGACAGTGTCAGCAACTATGTTCCCTCATCCTGGAAGCTTTTACTGATAGCTCTGGTTTGGCCAATCCTATCTTCTAGGCTCCCACACCTTTCTGGATTTCTGCCATCTGCCCTGCCCGTGCTGAATTGCCAATGTCTGGAGATGGGCTGTGTCTCCCTCCCCACCAGCCTGGGAGAACAGTCCTGCCGTGTTCTCCCTCTCAGCAAAGCCAGCAGTAAGCCAGACACACAGTAGGAGCTCAGAGAATGACTAGTGTCTGATCAGGACAGGAAGGTGAGGAGGGAAAGAAAAGAAGGGAGGAAGGAAAGGAAGAAGGGAGAGAGGAAGGAAGCTGGCTATGTGTTTTGAGGTCAGATGGAATTTCCAAATGAAGGGAGAAGGAAACAAGGGAAAAGCACGCGGTCAGTGGGAAGAGCTTGAGCAATGACTGGTGGGGAGGCGGGAAAGTGGCAGAATGTTCTTGGACACTATGTACTCGGGTTAGTTACAGCAGAGGGGCGGGTCAGGAGAGGGATGGCGGGCCACTGGAAAGAGGCCTGAGACAAAACAGGAAAAACAGCAATGCTGAGCACGAGCAGCACTCAGGAAGACATCTCACCAGAGGAAGAGTGGGGCCCGCAGGCTCCACAGAGGTAGCTTCCAAAAACATGAGGAAGGGGCTGGGAAGGTGGTTCAGTGGTAGAGTGCTTGCCTAGCATGCATGAAGCTCTGGGTTTGATTCCTCAGTACCACATGCACAGAAAAAGCCGGAAGTGGTGCTGTGGGTCTAGTGGTAGAGTGCTAGCCTTCAGCACAAGCAGCTCAGGGACAGTGCCCAGACCCTGAGTTCAAGCCCCAAGAATGGCCAAAAGAAAAAAAAAAAAAAAAAGATGAGGAAAAGCTAGAGACAGGGAGGCCTGGGAAAAAGACAAGTGAGGGATGGATCTGCATCCTTACAGGGGTTAAAAATGACAGGTTTGAAACTCAAGCAGGACTGAGAACCCTGAGCAAGTGACATCACCTTTCTGTACTTCAGTTTCCTTATCTGTAAGATGGAGATAACTGTCCCCACTTGGCTGCTGTCTGAATTCAGAGGTAACACAAAGCACTTAGAATATTGCCTGGTGATCCCAAGAACTGTAAGCGTATCAAAAGTTCAAGTCCAGCCTAGGACACATAGGGAGACATGTCTAAAAAATATAAAATAATTTTTTTGGTCGGTTGTGTCCTCAGCTCTTTAGCTCAAGGCGAGTGCTCTACCATTTGAGCCACAGTGCCACTTCCAGTTTTCTGAGTGGTTTATTGGAGATAAGAGTCTCAAGGACTTTTGTGCCCAGGCTGGCTTTGAACTGCAATTCTCAGATCTCAGCCTCCTGAGTAGCTAGGATTAACAGGCGTGAGCCACCAGCAGCCGGTAAATAAATATTTTTTAAAGGGTCTACACCTTAATCACAGTATCTACATTATAGGACTGCTGTGAAGAGTAAATTAACCACAGCAGAGAGCAGAGAGGCTACACAGGGTCAGGCAGGAGAAAGAGTCAGCATGAACTCTTTGTCACGGTTATTATTACTCTGTCATTGTTATTATTGTTTGGCACAACTGGGGGGAGGGGTTGAATGCAATCCAGGTAGCCACGCCTCCAGCCCCACTGTTATTCTTACTATCAGTCACCCACTTCCAGCTCAGCTGGTCTTAGATGCCAAAGAGATGAGAGTAGACATAAGAGTGATGGCAGAAAGCCCCTGAGGGCTCAGCTCAGTGCACGGGCACTGGCATGTCCAGGTAGGTCTGTGTATGAACACATCCCTTGGGCTGAACTGCGCTGAGGGCAGACTCCAGCTAGGGACTCAGAGGCTAGCTGGCAGACAGATGGACTGCACTCCCAGACACATGTGAAGCTTCCTTTCACACCTGCATCAGCTCCAACCTTCCCGCCCTCCCTCCCCAAACCTGTCCAGCAAGCCCTTCTGATTCACCTGGGAAGAGCCACACCCGAGCTCGGGGCCAGGGTGGAAGAGGTAAACAAGAGTTCCCAGGGTCCTTGGGGAGCTGGGGACTACAGGAAGATCAGGTGGGTCCCTGGCTAAGCTGAGCATTTTTAGGTTAGGGGTGTGTGTGTGATTGCATTCTATAGAAAAACGGGCAAAGGTATGAGGAAAGTTCATGACCACTTAAGGCAGAAGCCAGACTAAAACATCTAGGCAAGAAAGGGTACTCCATCTCCCTAATGTGTTCTTCATCTTCCCCAGATGATTCAAGTCAAGCTACAGACTCTGGCTGCAAAATTATGTAAATACACATATACCCAAACACACAATTGAGCAGGGTGCTTGTGGTTCCACACCTGAAATCCTAGCTACTCAGGAGATTGAGATCTGAGGATCAAGATTCAAAACCAGCCCGGGCAGGAAAGTCTGTGAAATTATCTCCAGTTAACCACCAAAAAGCAAAGATGTGGCTCAAGCAGTAGCACACCAGCCTTGAGTGGAAATAGCTAAGGGGTAGCACCCAGGCATTGAGAGTTCAAGCTCCAGTACTGGCACAAAAAATAGATTTACCAAAAAAAAAAAAACATTCAGTGAATCAGACCACCCCCCTCCCAGATTGATTCGCTGTAGACCCCAGAACTGGAGAAAGTGGGAAAAGGGGAAGGAGGGGATGTTGAAGATGCTAGGAGAACCCTCTGACAACTCGGCTATCAAAGGAGGTCATGGATGGGAGAGGTACCTCTCAAAGCGGGAGATGGAAAGAAGCCAAGAGGCTGAGTCCCACTCACCCCCGAGGGATCCTCAGGATCGCTGGTACCTCCACTCCCAGTCACCAGGTCATCCTCAGACTCATCAAAAGATGAAGCAGAGGAGAAGCCGCCACTGCTGCCCCCCTCAATCCGGGAGGAGAGTCCCACCGGTTGGGCATCAGGCTCAGGAGTTTCAGGGGTAATGATGAGGCGAGGGACAGAGGACAGGGAGCTGCACTCCAGGTGAGAACGGGGATGAGTCACCAACTCCTCAGGTTCTGGTTCTTCTAAAGAACCATCTCCATTAGGCTCCCCTAAAAGACAGTTTGTTCCAAGGGCTGTACACTGGGGACCATCGGTGCCATGCAGTCTCCAGGGACCATGTCTATCTTGTGTGGGGAAACCCTCAGTCCCAGGGTCTTTCCAAGATGTCTGAGTGTTTGCATGTTTGGGGGAGTCATCAGTATGTGAGTCTGTCCAGGAGCCTTCAGGATCCTGGGGTGTCTTGGAGCTATGGGCGTACAATTCTCTCCCTAAGCCATCGGCACTTGGTTTTGTTGAGAGGCAGGATCCATCTAGGTGAGTCCGGAGATTATCAGCCCAAGGTTGGATACCCTCTTGTTCCGTTTGCCACCCAAGTATTTCCAGCTCTGACCAGGGCTCATCAACCTTTGGCTGGGTGCAGAGATTGGCACAGTCTGGCTGAGCCTGGAGGTCGGATCTGTTTGGACCAGTCCAAACGCCATCTGTCGCAATCTCCGTCCAGGGACCGGCCATCTCCAGCTCTGGCCTGTGGTGGCTTCTTTTTCGATGTGTCTGGAGGCCGGACATGTCGGGTTCTGGATCGGGGCTGAGCTCCTCCGTCTCTCCGCTTCCTAAGCCAGCTGCTTCGGGCTCATCGGCTTGTCCATCTGTCCAGGATTCTGTCTGTGGAACGTCTGTCCGCACCTCCGGTCCCAGGCTGGTTCTTTCAGGCTCGGTGTGCAAGTGGAAGCCCTCTCTCCAGGCTGGAGGCCCGCCCCCCTCCGGCCGTCCCGTCGGGCCCCCAGCACTCGGCCCAGGTCGTTGCTGTCCCGGCTGCCGCCGCCGCCCACCTCGAGGCGTCTCCAGGCCCATGCGGGCCGTCGCCGCCGGCAGCGCCCCGGCCTCCGCCTCGCTCAGGCTCCCCCGGCACGGACAGCGCCTCATGCCCGCTCCCTCAGTTCGGGCTTCGGGCGGCTCGGCCCCCACTTGCTTTCCCCGGCTTTAAATCCCGTGAGGGGTGTGGCAGGGGAGCCCCGACTCGCGGGGTTCCGGCCCGCGGGAGCTCCAGCCCGCCCAGCCACACAGGGGTTAACCGATACTCCACCTCCCAGGGAAAGCCCCGAGGCCCCGCCCACAGGAAATGACGCTCACGTCCCTTCCATCTGCGTCGAGGGGCGTGGCTTCCGCGCGCCGGATGTTGTTCCTGGCCGGGCCTCGCAGCGTGCAGGTGTAGTTCTGGAGACGCTGTTGGCGACCCCCTTCCCATTCACATCTCCGGGGTCTCGAATCCCAGCTTCCCGATCACCCCTCGAGTGACCGGTTCAGCCGCGCCACCCACTCTTCATGCAGAAGCAAAAGGAAATTTTCAAAGATTTGGAGAATCGTACAGGCCGGGGTTCGAAACCCGTGTCTGCCACTTCCTCCGCCGTTTCTTTGAGCGAATGCTTTATGCTCCACTGAATTTCCGTAAGAAATGCTATGTGTTCGGCTGCGCATAGAGGCTATCACTTAATCCCATCACTCAGAACCGGAAGGCTAAGAGAAGGCAAGCCTGGGCTACCAGGTTTTTTTTTTAAGAAGCTAGCTCAAAAAGAAGGGGAAGGGGGGAGTAGGGGGCGTGGCTCAGTTGGTAGAGCCACAGCCAATGAGCAGAGCGTCTGGGACCGAGTTTTTTAAATCCCTGTCTCGCAATTGAAACGAAGATAGATAGATAGATAGATATGACTGGGCATGTAGCTTAATGACACAGTTGCATGCAAAAGGTTTTGGGTTCGATCTCAAGGAAGGAAGGAAGCGAGGGAGGGAAGAAAGTAAGTGTATCTAGAGCAGTCGTTTGTACCAAGCCCTAATATTATTTCACTGTCTCTAATGGCCACTACTAATGACCAGTAAGGGCTGTCGTATTTTACAAATAAAGACACTTGAGGTGAAAGGGTCTGCCAGCCTCTAGCTTTTGTAGCCTTGGGGCTATTTCTATGTTCTGTATGTGAAACATCTGGTGCCAGGCTTGGTACTGGCAATCTCAGCTCTTCAGGGGGTTATAGATACATTTTACATTTTTGCCCAAATGGTAAGCCGCCTCCAGCTCTTAAGTCACATCCTCACCTTTCAAGGGAGACCGCTAGGTGCTTTTAGTCTTGAAATTGACTTATTGGGAAGAGACACAGGTCACAGGCCCTGGGCTTTAGAATCAGTTATCTTTTAATAGACCACTGAGAAATTACAGGCAGAGGCCTACCTGCTACACCATACAGGTTGGTAGCTGAGGTTCAGAGAGGACTAGGACTTTTCTGAGGTCACACAGCAAAGAGATAAGGACCAACAGGCCCAATTCCTGGCAAGGGTGGAAGTGCTGGACAGGGACAGCTGGGTGCTGTGAGGAACAATCTACATTCCTCCCTGGAATAGAAAACAGCTGTTTCTATTCCAGATGGTGAGAAGCATAAGCCCACAGCACTTTTACACACACACACACACACAGAGCCAGTCTGTGAGCCGATTTTTCTGGGATGCCAAGATTCCTGAGTAAGCACTGGGAATCTTGGCTGAGGCTGTTCTGGGAAATGTCAGGCCTACAGGAAACAGAAGTCTCCCACTCAAGCCATCCCAGAATCAAAGAGAGCAGGGTGTGTGAGGGAACAGAGGCTCAGTGTGCAAGTGAAGGGGTTTATGTACACAGAGGCTGGAGGGTGTGAGCTGGAGACAGTTGGGTAGTGAGGGCAGGGGATCTATCTGCACGAACAAGGAGGCTGGGTGCCAAGATGTGGGTGTTTGTGCAAAAGAGAGAGGTGTTCCATGTGCATAGGGAGTGTTGAATTGAATTGAATTCAGAGGAGAAAGAACCTGCCAAGCATTAAAATAAGGGAGGTGGGCAAGATGTTTATGCAGAGGGCTGTGATGTGTGTAAGAAGGAGTGGTGCAGGCTTGCCAGAAAGATGTGGTCTCAAAGGCCCGCCGCGTACAAGGCATTCTGAAGTTAGTAGAAGGGCATGAGGGGGCACGACTGCTCCCCGCAGTGCCCTTGGCAATCCAGCCTGGCTTTGAAACCCCACCCAAACCAACGTCTAGCGTCTCGGCCCTGCCCCTTGCCCCTCCCTTTCTCCCAAGGACGTAAGCTTCGTGCCCGTCAACAAGCTTCCGCAGCGCCATTGGCTAGCTGACCGGGGAGGGCGGGGCTACACGTGTTCCCGGAAGCATGGGAGGCCCCACGAGTTTTTGGACCCCGCGCCTGAGAGCAGTGGGTGCTTAGCAACAGGGGGAGGTGCCCAGTAACGGGGTGTGTATGTGGGAGGGGGGGGTTACTGGAAGAATGGTAGGTGCCTAGCAACAAGGGAGGGGGGGTCTCAAAGAAGTAGAGAGAAGTATCCCTAGAGGATATGTGGATGTCTAGCAACGAAGGGGTGGGGGATGGGGGCTCTATTAGCAGGGAAGGAGGCCTTTGATGGATGGTGGGCACTGGAGTATGGGGGGGCCCAGTCCTACAGTTCATATCTGAATAATCCTCTTCTCCTTAGGCAATGTGGCCTGAAGTAGGAGGCATACTGCGGGGGACCTGTAAACAGCTGGGCCGGAATGTTGGGCTGCCATGTGCAGCCCTGGGGCCTAGGCCCCACTGGTGGGTAAGAGACTGGGGAGGGGGCCCCTAGGGGAAGAGGTGGAGGGAGGCTTTCATGTTGTAAAAGGACAGGAAGGGTTCCAAAAGGGCCATGCAGCAGACCTCGTGTGGTCTGCTCTTTTGCCAAAGTCTATGTCTCTTACAGGGACCACCGGGGGGGTCTTGGGCCCAAAAGCTGCATGAGGATGGGCCTGGCAGAGGCCTGAGTGAAGAGGATATTCATAGGGCACGGGAGGCCTGTCCCAAGAAGATGCCTCGGCCCCAGGTATCGTTGCCCCCCCCCCCCCCCCCCGCCCCCTTCCCTGACCCAGCAACTCCCCATGAAGACTGCTGGAACCCAATCTTGAGGAAGGGGAAGGGTGGTGTCAGGTTGGTTGGATTCTCTGGGCAACGGGCCCACTATCCTGTCCTCAGACCTGTTCCCATTTCCCAGCTGAGTGATCGCTCTCGGGAACGCAAGGTGCCTGCCTCCCGCATCAGCCGCCTGGCCAGCTTTGGGGGTAGGTGACTTTCGGGGAATCTACCTGTGACCTAAATCAGAGAAGGCAGCATTGGAATGAAGCAAGAGAAGGGATGACTCAGAGACAGCAGGGAGAGATGGAAAGAGTGACAAAGGAAAAGCCTGATAAGCCAAAATAAATGGGAATGCACCTATGACAGCCTTTACTGAAAGCTTGAGCTGTCGAACCCCCCCCCCCACACACACACACACACATCACCCGGTTAGGATTGATGAGGGTTTCTTTCCAGTATGTACATGAGGAACCAAGGCTAGGAGAGGTGAGGTGACACACATAGGATCATGCAGCAGAATTGTTCAAACCTGCAAGCAATAATTTACAGGGTTGCAGCCAGAATAATGTGTGGTGATACACAGCTGTAATCCCAGCACTTGAAGAGGATGAAGCCAATTTAGATTATAAAGTAAGACCCTCTCTCAAAAAGAAAAACAATAGGGAGGGAGGGTATGAATACACCTGTAGAGTGAGGAATAATACTGTTTCATGAAATTATATGAGCCACCAGCACCAGACAGTTTTTGTTGTTGTTGTTTTATCAGTCATGAGGTCTGAACTCAGGGCCTGGGCACTGTCCCTGAGCTTCTTTTGCTCAGGGTTAGCACTCTACCACAGTGCCACTTCCAGCTTTTTCTGAGTATGTGATACTGAGGAATCAAACCCATGCTTCATGCATGTTAGACAAGCACTCTACCACTAAAACATTATTCCCAGCCCCTCCTTGAGCTTTTTTAGCTCAAGGCTAGTGCTCTACCACTTTGAGCCACAACTCCTATTTCCAGTTTTCTGGTGGTCAATTGGAGTTTCATAGATTTTCCTGCCCAGGCTGGCTTTAAACCATCATCCTCAGATCTCAGCCTCCTGAGTAGCTAGGATGACAGGTGTGAGTAACCAGTACCCAGTTTAGGGTCTTGTTTTGTTTTATGGTACTGGGGATTGAACTCAGAGTTTTGTATGTTCTACCACTTGAGACACACTCTTAGTCCTTTTCCGTTTTTTCAGCTAGGGTCTCATGCTTACTTCCACCGCTCAAACAGCTGAGATTACAGGTGTGCTTTTGAGTCCGGGGATCTCTTCTTCTTGAATTGGCTTTCAACTAGAGCATAGATTCCCTTATTTTTGCTTCCTAAATAGCTGGGATTACTGGTGTATAGCACCACACCCAGCTCCATGAGTCTTTTTTTTTTTTTTTTTTGGTGGGGCTTGGGGCTTGAACTCTGAGCCTGGGCGCTATCCCTTAGCTCTTCAGCTCAAAGTGAGTGCTCTACCATTTGAGCCATAGTTTCATGTACTTTTCTGCCTGGGCTGGCTTTGAATCACGATCATCAGATCTCAGCCTCCTGAGTAGCTGGGATTATAGGCGTGAGCCAACAGCACCCAGCTGGCCTAATTTTTCTTTTGGCAGTAGTAGGGTGTGAATACAGGATCTTGTACCTGTTAAGCAAGCACTCTGCCACTTGAACCATTCTTCATGCTCATTTTGTTTTTAATTTTTAGGTAAGTTCTAAGCCTTTGCCTAGGGCCAGTCTGGACCACAGTCAACCCACAGGCTCCCATATAGCTGGGGTCACAGCCATGCATGAATTGCCAAACCAATTTATTTACTGAGCTGTAGTCTTGATAACTTTTTGCTTTGGCTAGCCTCAAAATCTGATCCTTCTGAACTCTGCCTTCTAAGGTGTTGGCTACAGGTATTAGAAACCATACCCAGCTCAGCATAAGATTTACAGCAGCTTCTCAGATGACCTATGAAGTATAGCCAGAGATCTGAAGTGCTGGGAGGGAGATGAGGTCCTGGGGAGAAGGCTGAAGAAAGCAAAATAGCCTTGAAAGAAACTCCAGCAAGAAGCAAGCTAGAGCTTGAGTTGGAGACAGATATAGGATGTTGGCAACATAGCAATGCAAGGCAATCTCGCAAGAGTCAGGGAGGAGAGGGAGGAGAGAGCAGGCCCCAGACTACCAGACCCTTCTCTCGCTCCCCAGGACTGGCTGTGGGCTTGGGGCTGGGAGCACTGGCCGAGGTAGCCAAGAAGTCCCTGCCTGGAGGAAGTCTTCAGTCAGGTGAGTAAGCCACATTGCCAGTGTCAGGTACTGGCCTTGTGTGCCCTGAGGTAAGTGACGTCATCTCTCTGAGCCCTAGTTTTCTCTTCTGGAAGATGAGTGTGATGATAATTATTTAAGAGATGAGCCATCTCTTAGCTGTCAGAATCAAAGCTAAGCCCCTGTCGGGACAGCCATTAATAGAAGTATATCATCTAAAGCTGGGCATGATGATGCACGCCTGTTATTCCAGGACTCAAGAGGCCAAGGCAAGATTTCAGCTAGCCTGAGCTACATAGAGAGACATTGTCTCCAAAAAAAAAAACAAAAAAACCAAGCTGGATGCCGATAGACCTGGCTACTCAGGAGGCTGAGATCCAAGGATCGCTGTTTAAAGCTAGCCCTGACAGGAAAGTCTGGGAGATTCTTTTTTTTTTTTTTTGGGTCCGGTCGTGGGGCCTGAACTCTGGGCCTACGCACTGTCCTTCAGCTCTTCAGCTCAAGGCTAGCGCTCTACCACTTGCGTCACAGCGCCACTTCCGGGTTTTTTCTTTTTGCTTATGTGGTGCTGAGGAATCGAACCCAGGGCTTCAGGCATGCAAGGCAAGCGCTCTACCACTGAGCCAACTTCCCAGCCCCTCTGGGAGATTCTTATCTCCAATTAAACCACCAATGAGCTGGAAGTAAAGCTGTGGCTTAAGTGGTAGAGTGCCAGCCTTGAGTGAAAAAGCTAAGGGGCAGCACCCAGGCCCTGAGTTCAAGCCCCAGTACTGGCACACACACATACACACCCAAAAAATAAAAAAAAGAAAGTAAGTAGTAGTCATGTGTGCAGCCTTTTGGGTTGTTGCCTGTTTGGGACTGTCACCAGCAGTGCTGCTGTGGTCATGTTTGCATATCAGGCAGGGGGCACATTCTCTTCTCTATACACCTGGGAGGAGAATTGTATAGGATAAAAGGTGTGTGTTGGGGCTGGGAAGGTGGCTTAGTGGTGAGCACTTGCCTTGCATGCCTGAGGCCCTGGGTTCCATTCCTCAGCACCATATAAGCAAAAAGAAAAAAAGCCCGGAGTGGCGCTGTGGCTCAAGTGGTAGAGTGCTAGCCTTGAGCTGAAGAACTGAGGGACAGCGCCCAGGCCCAGAGTTCAGGTCCCATGACCGGACCCAAAAAAAAAAAAAAGTGTATGCTGCCAGGTGCCTGTGGTTAACACCTATAATCCTAGCTACTCAGGAGGCTAAGATCATGAGTCAAAGCCAGCCCAGGCAAGAAAGTCCTTGAGACTCTTAGCTCCAATAAAAACTACCAGAAAACTGGAAGTGGCACTGTGGCTCAAGTGGTAGAGTGCTTGCCTTGAACTGAAGAGTTGAGGGACAACGCCCAGGCCAGAGTTCAAGCCCCATACAAAAAAAAAAAAAAGGCAAGTGCTTTTCTGGAACCCTCCCAAAGGGTGTGTGCCAGCATACACCCCTGTCTGTGCCAGCACTTGGTATTGCCTTTCTGGTTTGAGCCATCCTGGTTGTAATGCTAACGGTTATCCTCTCCTCCCCAGAGGACGGCTCTAGGCCTGGCTCCAACCCTTTCCTGTCCGAGGCCAATGCGGAGCGGATTGTGCAGACCTTGTGTACTGTTCGGGGGGCCGCCCTCAAGGTTGGCCAAATGCTCAGCATCCAGGGTATTGCATGATCCTTGAACCCTGACCCTTGACCTCACCCACCAACAAACTGGCTTCAGATCCTCCCCATGCCCCCACCCCACCTTGCCTCCTCCCTCACCGTTCCCCTGCCCCACTGTCTCCTAAGACAACAGTCTCATCAGCCCCCAACTACAACACATCTTCGAGCGGGTCCGCCAGAGCGCCGACTTCATGCCCCGCTGGCAGATGCTGGTGAGTCTCCTCCATACCTACAGTTGTCCTCCCCTCTCCGCTCCCCCCCCCACATACTTCATTGCCTGACTGGCAGCCTCAGTTTCTTCAGCTGTAAAATGGGAATTTCCAAGTGGCATTACTGTGGCTAAATGAGGGGACAATGGGCTGGGAATGTGACTTAGTGGTAGAGTGCTTACCTAGCATGCAGGAAGCTCTGGGTTTGCTTCCTTATACCATATAAACAGAAAAAGCCAGAAGTGGCACTGTGACTCAAGCGGTAGAGTGCTAGTCTTGAGCAAGAGAAGCTCAGGAACAGTGCCCAGGCCCTCAGTTCAAGCCCCAGAACTGGAAGAAAAAAAAAAAAAAAAAGATGGGTGCTTTGTTTAGTCCTAGATGTCACTCAGTGCTCTAGCCAGGCAGCAAGAGCTAGGGTTCCGCTACCTGTCATTGTCTCTCTCCCACACACCTGCCTGGACCTCTCTGGGCTTCAGTCTCCTCATCTGAGAAATAGAATAGTAGCCACACACACATTTCCTAGGGTGAAATAAATCATTAGGTAATTTATAATGAAGAACCTAGAACTGCCTCTGCCACCCTATGTGAAGGGTCAGCAGGAGGATTGTGAGATCTAGGCCAGATAAACTCAGGGCAACCTATCTCAAAAAACAAAGTACAGCTGAGTGCCAGTTGCTTGTGCCCGTAATCCTACCTACTCAGGAGACTGAGATCTGAGATTTGTAGTTGGAAACCAAGCCCGGGCTGGAAAGTCTGTGAGACTCTGATCTCCAGTAAGCTACCAAAAACACAGAAGTGGAGCTGTGGCTTAAGTGGTTGAGCCACTAGCCTTGGGCTTAAAAGAAGCTCAAGGACAGTGCCCAGGCCCCCAATTCAAGTCTCAGGACCAGCACACACACACACACACACACACTCACACACTCACTAAAGGGCTGGGGGACAGCTTATAGGCCCTGTTCAAACCCTCATACTGGTACCATCCCACAAAACATGGTTATCAAGCAGTCTCCACAAGACTTGCACAGGCAAGGAAGAAATACAGATTTGGCGGAAAAAAAAGAAAAGAAATACAGATTTGGGCTCAGCACCCCATCTGGCAGTGCCTGCCTGGTCACCTTGGCAAGGCACTTAATTCCTGAGCCTCAGTTTCCCCATCTGTGAAGTAGGATAGCAGTCAGGGTTACTGATGGGCTAGCCCAGCTCACTGGAAATAACTCAGCAGGCTATTACCATGATGGTGACTGTCATGACCACTTTCCCCCCTCTCCCCCCAGAGAGTTCTGGAAGAAGAGCTGGGCAGGGACTGGCAGACCAAGGTGGCCTTCCTGGAGGAGGTGCCCTTTGCCGCTGCCTCAATCGGGCAGGTGCACCAGGGTATGCTGAGGAATGGGACAGAAGTGGCTGTGAAGATTCAGGTGAGTGGTGAGGCTGGATTGCAGGGTGGGTGGATTGCTGTTCCAGAGATGTGACGCTCAGTTGCCCCCCCTGTCCTGCAGTACCCTGGTGTCGCCCAGAGCATCCAGAGTGACGTGCAGAACCTGCTGGCTGTGCTGAAGATGAGCACAGCCCTGCCCGAGGGTGAGGTGCCCACTCTGTCCCCAGCCAAGTAGGGGTGCCTGAGGAAAGGAAGTAGGTTTCTGGGCAGGGAAGGCTGGGTATGCCTGCAGGTATGCATGTGTGCACCTGCGTGACACAGAATACATGCTAATCAGAGAGTGAGAAGAGGTCACATGAGGCTGGGAAGGTGGCTCAGTGGTAGAGCACTTGCCTTGCATGCTTGAGGCCCTGGGTTCGATTCCTCAGCACCACATAAGAAAAAAGCCGGAAGTGGCGCTGTGGCTCAAGTGGTAGAGTGCTAGCTTTGAGCTGAAGAGCTGAGGGACAGCGCCCAGGCCCAGAGTTCAGGCCCCACGACCAGACCCCAAAAAAAAAAAAAAAAGAGGTCACATGACAGTCCAGAGACTGCACGCAGAAACAGACACTGAGCATGCACAGTTCGGGTTCCACGCAGCCAAGCAAGCAGAGTAGGGGCTCAGGGTGAGGTGCAGCGCATTTGTCTCCAGGCATGGAAGACATGCCTGTGGAAGATGGAGCAGGCTGTACTTTATGGGAGCCAGCAGAAAGCCAGACAGAGACAGGCCCAGAAGCAAGATGAGAGGCAGTAGCAAGACAAGAGCATGAACCAGAGGCAGGGAGGAAGTCAAGTTGTATGCCTGTGACGACTCGGATCCGGGGTGCATATGACCGACAGTCCAATCCACAGACTTCCAAAGAGCCCCAGGTGTGGGCAGGATGGTGGCAACATAGCATAGGTGTGAGAGAGACAGACTGGGCTGTGTGTCGGGAGGGTGGGATCGAGGGTTGGAGCAAGGGGACAGGCTGTGGCTATCCCCGGCTGACCTGGATGCCATCCCCCAGGCTTGTTTGCCGAACAGAGCCTGCAGAGCCTGCAGCAGGAACTGGCCTGGGAGTGCGACTACCGTCGGGAGGCGGCGTGTGCCCAGAACTTCCGGTGAGCTGACTTCCCACAGGCCTCAGGGGGTGCCCCTTCCACCCAGGCTGCCCCTCCAGCCTCTGGTAGTGGAATACCGTGAGATGAGAGTCAGACTGAAAGCTGAGCTGGCTACTGAGTGACTAATGTGCAGGTAGCATATACACGGTGCATCCTCTGCACAGGAGTGATAGAATTGGGATTTTTATCACCCTATTCAGAAGGCCTGCAGGATTGGGCTGGGAAGGTGGCTCAGTGGTAGAGTGCTTGCTTCGCATGCATGAGGCCCTGGGTTTGATTCCTCAGCACCACATAAACAGAAAAATCCAGAAGTGATGCTGTGGGTAGAGCGCTATCCTTGAGCTGAGAAGCTGAGGGACAGCACGCAGGCCCAGAGTTCAAGCTCTCACATCTATAATCCTTCTGATAGGAAGTGGTCGCTGGGTCTCCAGCAACACCGAGTTGAAGGGTAAATAAAGCACAGTGGGAAGTGCAGAGGTACTGGTTCAACGTCAGCTATCACCCAGAGGAAGAGGACTTCCTGAAGGGTTTGTCAGAAAAGAAGGCCAGCTCAGACCTACCCTCAGGTCTAAAGCATGATGTCCCACTTACTCTGCTTCCTCCTGCCCCAGGCAGCTGTTGACAGATGACCCCTTCTTCCGGGTGCCAGCTGTGGTGAAGGAGCTGTGCACCAGGCGGGTGCTGGCCATGGAGCTGGCTGGAGGTGTCCCTCTGGATCAGTGCCAGGGCCTGAGCCAGGACATCCGGAACCAGGTACAGTCCTTTATGGGACAACAGGGAGAGCCTAGCTGGGCCCAGGCTCCCTGGCCAAGCCAGGGGGCTCTGCAGGGGCACAGCATTGAGATGACTTCTCCCTGCCCAGATTTGTTTCCAGCTCCTGAGGCTGTGTCTGCGGGAACTGTTTGAGTTCAGATTCATGCAGACAGACCCCAACTGGGCCAATTTCCTGTACGATGCCTCCAGCCACCAGGTTGGTTCCTTGTAATGGGAGCTAGGGTACAGGTGCTGCTGTAACAAATAGTCCCCAGTATTTCAGTAGCTCACTACAGGAGTGCCTTACTACGCACACATCAGGCTGGCTGGCCCTTTTCCCTGCAGTGATGGTTGGGGAGAAAGCTGGAGAGGGTGACTCCTGCCTAACTGCTTTGGCCAGAATGATGTCATGTCATTTCCTTTATCATTACTTCAGTGATGACCTACTTGGTACCTGGATGCAGAAACTCAAGGCACTGAGATGGGGGAGGATATGGGAGGCTGTGGGACCCTAGGAGATGTGCCTGCCCCAGCCTGCCCTGGGTTGGGTACCCAGGAGGTCAGGTTGGGCATTCCCTGGGGAGTGTTTCTCTAACTCCAGGAGGTGATACATAGAAACACATGCATGAGAACTTTATTTATTTTTTTTTTGTCGATAGTGGGGCTTGAACTCTGGGCCTGAGTGCTGTCCCTCAGCTCTTCAGCTCAAGGCTACCACTCTACCACTTGAGCTACAGCACCACTTCCGACTTTTTCTGTTTATGTCATGCTGAGGAATCAAACCCAGGGCCTCTTGCATGCAAGACAAGCACTCTATCACTGAGCCACCTTCCCAGCCCTGCATAAGAACTTTAAGAAGTAATTTGCATGGGGCTGGGAAGGTGGCTCAGTGGTAGAGTGCTTGCCTTGCATGCCTGAGGCCCTGGGTTCTATTCCTGAGCACTACATAAGCAAAAAGAAAAAAGCCGGAAGTGGCACTGTGGCTCAAGTGGTAGAGCGCTAGCCTTGAGCTGAAGAGCTGAGGGACAGTGCCCAGGCCCAGAGTTCAGGCCCCACGACTGGACCCAAAAAAAAAAAGAAGTAATTTGCAATAATAGTTTCAGGAAAGTAATGACCCTAAAACAAAACAAAACACCCAAAGATATGGGGGTCCAGGTGGAGTACAAGAAGATTCTACCTATTTGGGTAGTATTTTATATTTCCAGCTGGGTGGTAGGATTTGTGTTCATTTGCTTTTCTATATATCTTGTTCTCTGGATTTTTCTGGGCCTAAGGCTGGATATGGTAGTGTACATCAGTAATCCCAGCACTTGAGAGTCTGAGGCAGAAGGATCATGAGTTCAAGGCCAGCCTGAGCTACTACATACATAGCTAGACCTCACTGTAATAAATGAATGAAAACTAAGCAGGACTGAAAGAAAATGAAAGCCAGATCCCTTCAGCTGCCATGCTGGGGTGACTGGGAAGTGTGGAAACTGGAGGTTTCCAGTAGCCAGCCAGGTGGGGAGAGCAAGGGTAAGGAATGAAGAGAGAGAGCTGGGTACTTGCTGCTCTGGTAGACAGTGGCGGGCCGGGGGGGCGGGGAGAGGCACATGTGAATGGTCCCCCCCACATTCTTCTTACCCTACATCCTTGTTCCCAGGTGACCCTGCTGGACTTTGGTGCAAGCCGGGAATTTGGGACCGAGTTCACAGATCATTACATCGAGGTGAGTCCTGCAACGTGGAAGTGGCGCCGTGACTCACATGGTAGAGTGCTAGCCTTGAGCAAAAGTTCAGGGACAGTGCCCAGGCCCTGAGTTCAAGCCCCAGGACTGGCAAGAAAAAAAAAAGCAGCTCATAAATATCAAAGCACTTCATAGTATGCCAGGCCCTGTGGTGAGGCTGTGTGCACAGCAGCTCCTCGGGGTCATTTACAGGTAAGGCTGCTGGGCCTGGAGAGGGGCTGCCTCACATCCCCGCAGGCCTAGGAGGCATGCTTCAGGAGTCTGGGTCCAGAGTCCCCATCCCAGCCCTTGCCGTGAGAGCCTGTGATGTCCACCTTGTCCAGTGCCTGTGTCCAGCCTCTGCCTACAGGCTGCTCTGGCCTCGGGAAGCACTTCCTCACCTACGCTGTCACACACACACATACCCATCAGGGTCAGTTGGTCCCAGAGCCTCAGAAAACACTGTCTGGTGAGTATCTAGAGGTTGGACACTCATCCAGTCTTCTAATCATCTAGGTGAAACCATCTGTGTCCAGCTCTGTCCTGATGCTACTGAGGACACACCAGGGACCTAGGGCCCACTCAGGCCTACCTTCACAGAGCTCGTCTGTGGTGGGGCTCACAGGCAGTAGGGAGCAGAGAGATCAAATGTGGGGTTAGGAGACAACAGGAAACTGCCCTGGGGCATGATGGAAGGTTTCCTGGAGGACCTGCCAGGAAAGGTGCAGAGGAGCAATCAGGAGGAGGCTTGAAGGGGATTCCAGCTAACAATTTGTGCAGAGGTCAAAGCTCTTCCAGACTTTTCTGTGTGTATGGATGCTGTTGATACTATGAAATGCAGGTTCTAGTCTGAAGCTAGACTTAAGACGCTGAGCCTCCCACAGGCCATCCAGGTGGGGCAGGTGTGATCCTACCTGATGCTGTTTTCACTGGCCAGGCAGCTGCCCACACAGCCAAATCATTTTGGGCCCCAGAGGTCAGTACTTTATCTGGAGTTCTAGGAAGCTACACAGAGGATTTGGAAAGATACAGTCTTGGCCAAGGGTGGTAACCCAAGCCTGTAATCCCAGCTGTGCTGGAGGCTGAGGTAGGAAGATGGGATTTAAGGCCAGCCCTAGGCAATAGCCAGAGACCTTATCTGAATAACTGTGGGGGGAAAAAAAAAAAAAGGCTGATTGTGTGACTGAAATTGTAGAGTACTTGCTTAGCAAGTATGAGGCTCTGAATTCAATCCTCAAGACAGTATGGTGGGGGGAGGGGGGCGAGGAAGGAAGGGTTGAAGGGAAGAAAAGATACTCCCTCTGAAACTAGGGGTCTGGAGCCGGGAGGCTGTGGAGATGGGCACAGGAGCCTGCTGGGTGGCACTGGGATGCCTAGTGGCAGTCCATGGGAGTGAATAAACTGGAAGCTGCGGGGGAGAGCTTTCTTCCCTGTCGTCCCCCCCGCCCCCCCATGGTCCTTTGGATCTCCTCTGCAGGCCACACAAAGTCAGAGCCACCCATCAACAACCCCCCAGGCCTCTGTAGCCTTTTTGAGTTTAAAAGTGCCCAGTCACATGGGCCCCCGGGGACCAAGGCCTAACAGATGGCCAGACAGGCACAGGTTGGGGGGAGGTGGGGAGTGCTGAAATGGAGTAGAATGCCAGATTCATCCTGGACTCCCCCTCCCCTCAAGAAAGGACCACACAGTGGGGACCCCAGTGCCACACTGAGCCCGTTTCTTCACATCCAATAATAAGAGGAATAGCTTGGGTTGTCCACAGTGCTTCCTTGCACACAAGCCTGTGTTGAGTGTGTCCACAACCACCCCAGGACCAGAACACTCCTGATCCAGGCTTCTCCTTGGGAAAGCAGAGGCTCACCAGGTGGGTGGCTTGCCTGGCCTCTGATCCCAGAGCCAGCCTCCCTCCTCCAGGCTGGAGAGGGGCTCAGCTCTACACTCGCTGCTTTGCTGAGGCCAGGTGTGCCCAGGGCATCCTGAGTGCCAGGGCCCTATGCCCTGGGTAACTGAACCCAATTGGGACCCCAGTATCCCATCCTTGTTGGGTTGTGTATGGACCTGTGTACCTGCCAACTCCTGTGAACAGCAGTTTCACTGTTCAAGGCTGGCCTGGAACTCTCTTTCGTCTTTGCCTCCCCTATGCTGCATTACAAGTGGTGCCAGAGCTCAGGTGTTTCCTTTGATCTAGAACCTTCCTTGGCTTCTTCACTGGTCTTTGACTCCCCAACACCCATCTATCCAGGTGGTGAAGGCTGCAGCTGATGGAGACAGAGACCGTGTCCTGCAGAAATCCCGGGACTTAAAATTCCTCACAGGCTTTGAAACCAAGGTTGGGAGACACTGGGGAATAGTGGTTGGGTGGGTAGAGGTCACTGGGGTCTATGGGGAGCAGCAGTTGGGAGCCCCCTGTCTACTAGGGAATATGGAAGGTATATTTTTACCCTGGGGGAGTGGGCCTGGGGAGGCATCCAGGACAGCTGTCTGATTATAAAAGAACCACTGGGCCAGGCACTGGTGGCTCACACCTGTAATCCTAACTACTTAGGAGTCTGAGATCTGAGGATCGTGGTTTAAAGCCAGCCAGTACAGGAAAGTCTATAAGACTCTTACCTCAATTAGCCATCAAAAGCCAGAAGTGAGGGTGTGGCTCAAGTAGTAAAGCACCAGCCTTGAGCAAAAAAAGCTCAAGAATAACACTCAGGCCCAGAGATCAAGTCCCAGGAACTGCATGTGCATGCACACACAAAACCTTGGAAAATAGGCACTACTTACCTGTCTAATTGTGGTGCAGGGGTTGATTCTGGGGGTCAGGAGTGGAGGACTCCTTGTCTGTAAGAAGTCCTGAGGAAGCACGGTTATTTTGGAGTAGGGACAGGCTACTATGTACTTAGGGCACGCTCTTAGGGGAGTGGGGGGCTTGCATTTGCACTGGAGACTCCAGATTGCTGAGGTCTCTCTTGCCTCCCAAAGTGTGGGGCTCTCATGTCCCTCTGCGCACATCTGTCCCCACCCCTAGGCATTCTCCAATGCCCACGTGGAAGCAGTGATGATCCTGGGAGAGCCCTTTGCTGCCCCTGGCCCCTACAATTTTGGGGCAGGTGACACAGCACGCCGGATCCAGGGCCTCATCCCTGTGCTCCTGCAGCACCGGCTGCGCCCGCCACCGGAAGAAACCTACGCCCTCCACCGCAAGCTGGCAGGGGCCTTCCTGGCCTGCTCCCGCCTCCAAGCCCACATAGCCTGCAGGGACCTCTTCCATGACATCTACCACCGCTACTGGGCCAGGCACCACGCACAGCCACTGGCCCCAAGCTCCTGACCAGAGCAGACCTCTCTTGGGATCTATGACAGCCTCCATGCTGGGGAACAGCACCATAGTAGGGTCACCCACTGCTACGCCTCTTCTCCCTTCCCCCTTTGTCCTGGTCAAAGAGCACCCCTCCCCCTGGAAATACACACCCCTCTTAACCCTGAAGCTCAGGAACTTTGGGGGCTAGAGAGCACCCAGATTAGCTCCTCCCACTCCAAAGTTGGCATCCGGGAACTCCAAGCCAGGGAGCCAGTTAACGGATTTCTGCCACCATCTGAGGGAGCCCTGCGTCCCCCTGCATGCCTTCAGCTCTCCCACCATCCGGCGTGGAAAGGGAAGATAGGGGTTGGCAGAGGCGCCCCTTACCTTAGCCTCCCAAACTCCTCCAGCTGCCCGCTCCCCGGGCTCCAGCCTGTGTATTGGGGGGGGGAGTGGGATGGGGGTCTGCACCTTCCCTCCGAATAAAGGCGCCCCTCCCCTTCCTTCCCCCAGCTCTTTTTCTCTGCACTGAAGGGGGAGGAGCTCTCGGGAGGCCTCCAGGTGCAGATGGTCAGCCCCCACCCCAAGCCCCCTTGTCTAAAAGCCCTGCCTGGGCCATCTGTTGCCCCCCCCTCATGTGCTGACCACCTGCTCGAAGGGCTGTGGCAGCTGAGGAGCGCCCCCCATCACCCCCACACACCGCCTCTGGCCTCCCGGGCCCTGGTCCCTTCTTACTCCCAGCAACCTCGCCTTTGCTAATGGGCTCAGATGCCCTCGCCAGCTGCTTGGCCAAACCCACAGGATGAGGGGTGGGGGTGGGAGTAGGGGCGCAGCGGGCCAGCCCCCCCCCCCCCCCCCGTCCCGGACCTCCCCCGGGCTCGAGCCTGGCGCACCCCGCCCTCCCAGACGCTGGGGTCCGTCCCCCGCTTCAGGGTGAAAAGCGCCTCGTCACCGTTTCTGCCCGCCCCCGCCAGGCCGGGAGAGCCCGGGGTTACGGGAAGATTTGAGGACAGGCGGCCGCACGGCGCCTCCCAGAGCGGTTCTTCTGGACGCGGCACTGTCGGGGGGGAATCTGAGGTCAGGGGTGACAGAAGGCGAGGGGGACCCCCACGCTTGACAGCCCCGGGGACGGGGGAGGGGCTGGAGAACCCAGCCGGGTTCCCCCGGCCCGCCGAGCCCCACCAGACCAGGGGGGCGGGGCGGGGCGGTGTCCACCAGGAGGGCGGGGTTGTATTTGCATACGGGGCGGGGCCCTTTGCGTGTGCAGCCGGCGGCGAGCCAATGGGCGTGGAGGGGCGGGGCGCCGAGGCGGGAGGGACGCTCCCCCGCCCCCGCAGCGGAACCCTCCGGGGAGCCGAGCTGGCTCGCGCGCGTGCATCCCGCACCAGCCTCCGGCCCCGGGCCCGGTCCGCGTCACACCGAGCCGCCGCCGCCACAGCAGCCGCAGCCACTCGGGAAGCCAGGCCCAGCCGGGGCCGCGGGAGGCGGGGGCGCCGGGGCCCTGGATGTCCCGCAGCGCGGCGGCCAGCGTGAGAAGGGTGGGAGGGAGGGAGGGGGGCTCGGGTCGGGGGCGGTGTCGCTGATGTGGCGGAGGGTGGGAGGCGGCCGCGGCGCCCGGATGGAGGGGAGATGCCAACACTGGAGAGGGGGGTCCTGGCTGGGGACCCAGGAACAGGCTCCCCCCCAGCCAAAAACGGGGAGACGAGGTAGGGGGGAGTCGGTTCCGGCACGGGCCAAGACCCTGGAAATAGGGATCTTAGACATAGGAGACCCCCCCCCCCCGACCGAGGACAGAGGTCCAGAAATTCTAGGGACAACTCCCTAAGCAAGGTTTTGGGGATAGGGTCTGGGACACAACCCCCCCCCCAATATCAAAACCATGGCCTCTGAAGCGATTCCAGACAATCCTCATCTTTTCTAGCCTGAGGGGGAATGTGAGCACAAACCTCAAAGACAAGGTCTTGGGGTGGGGGGCCTGGGTACCACTTAACCACCAAGCCGAGGATGGGGGTTGGGAGGCATGTCAGATTCCAAGCAGTCTTCCCCCAGGCCTTAGAAGGAGGCACCCAGAACAGTCTTCCCACCCCTACCCTAGTCCTTGGGCGGGTCCCAGGCACATCCCCTCCTCAAAACAAGGTGCCCCCCCCTCCCGCCGTGCCTGGAACTCCACCTCATTCCATCCCCACTGGAGTCAAACACAGAGCATTTCAGTCAACCCCCACCCCCACACTTGGTCAAGGGTCTCAGGGCACAGGTCTCCTAGGCCACCCTCTTTGTCCCTAGGGCTGCCCAGCTGTCCGAAAGGCCCCACCCACAGACGGTACACAGCCGCCCCCCTCCTCCCAGACCTAGCCTCCCAGGCTCCAGGATACAGGCTGGGCTGGGGGCCACTCCCCAGAGACCCCATGCAGAGCTGCTTCAGTGACCAGCAGCTTTGTATATGGTACCTGAAGGGGGGGGGGCAGGGAACAAGGGATGGGGACATATGTGACTAGGAGTGTGACCCCATGTTTGTGTATATGTGTGTGTGTGTGTGTACTAAAGCTGGTGACTGTGAGGAATCCTGCTTCGTATGTGTGCATGTTGTGGTGGTGGTAGAGGGTGTTTGTGGTGATCCTAGTATTTGTGAATGACAGCTGCTCCCTGTACAGAACCCTCTACTTGTGAGTCTCTGTTTGGGTGAGAGCATGGTTGTGGTTGTGTGGTCGTGTCTTGTGGCCCTGTGTTTTGTGTGCCTTGGTGTGCAACAATGATGTGGGTGATTGTGTGTGTTCAGTGGAGTTCTGTCTGTGAGGCCTTGTTTCATGTGTGACTCTCCTGGTGACTTGAAAATGTTGTATTTCTGTGTATGTGACACACTCTTGTCTGTGTAAGTCTGGGTGTGTAGCTGCCATCATATCCGAAGTCACATCGTGCCTATGTGATGGAGGCTGTGTGTGTGTAAATGACTCTGCTTGTAGCTGCGTGTGTACTTACAGTCTCCTATGTGTGATTTGGGTTATGTATTTATTTAATCAAGTATGGCTCAAGCTCTGATGTTGTTTGTGAGCTGGCTCAGGGACTTGGGGTGTGTGTTTGGGGTATGCGAACGGCTATGTCCTGGTGTAACCTGAATGGCTGTGTGTGTGTGTGTGTGTGTCCTGATCTGTGGGAATGTGCATGTCTGCAAAATGTAGCTCTGTGTGTATGTGAGCATGCTCATACATGTGCTGGATTACCTGAGTTTGAGTCTCTGAGATTTGGTGAGATGGTGACTGCCCATGACACTGCAAATAACTCTGTCTAGGACCGTGTAAAACAAGTTACAAATGCTACGCATGGCCTACCTCGTTTCTTCTCTTTCGCCTTCCTCTTCCTCCTGTTCCTCCTCTCTTCCTCCTTCTCTTCCTCTTCCTCCTTTTCCTCCTCCTCTTTCTCTTCCTTTTCCTTTTCTTTTCGCTCTTTTTTTTTTTTCTTGTTGGTCGTGGGGCCTGAACTCTGGGCCTGGGCGCTGTCCCTCACCTCTTCAGCTCAAGGCGAGAGCTCTACCACTTGAGCCACAGCGCCACTTTCAGTTTTCTGGTGGTTTATTGGAGATAAGAGTCTCACCGACTTTCCTCCCCAGGCTGGCTTTGAGCCATGATCCTCAGATCTCAGCCTCCTGAGTAGCTAGGATTGCAGGTATGAGCCACCAGCACCCTTTTTTGTTTTTGTTTTTGTTTTCAGTTGGTTATAGGGCTTGAAATTGGGGCCTGGAGGCTGTCGCTGAGTTCTTTTGCTCAAGGCAAGCACTCTACTACTTTGAACCACAAGGTTACTTCCGGTTTTCTGGTGGTTAATTGGAGGTAAGAGTCTCACAGACTTTCCTGTACAGTCTGGCTTTGAAACCACCATCCTCAGATCTCAACCTCTTGAGTAGCTAGGATTACAGGCATGAGTCACCAGTGCCCGGATCTACATAGTTTCTTCTGTACACACACCCAACTGTGTACTTGTGTTATGGGCAATTGAGCTGTGTGCTAATGGCTCTATTAAGTGTGTAGGTGGGGCTGTGACTTCCCACCTGTCCATGTGAAGCTGTAATGACACATGACTTGTGCATTACCTGAAGAGGCTGTGTCTCTGTGTAAGAGGGTAACCTAGGAGAACATTGTAGGCACACTGACCATGGCAGAAGTCTGGGTATTGTGGACACTGATGCTGTGTGTGTATGTGCACAGGACCCTTCCTGGAATGTGTTGGTTATGTGAGAATGGCCTTTCTTGGGGATGTTTGTGTCTGGGTGTATGCTGTGTCTTTCATGTAGCTGCCTGTCTCTGTAATGATAGGTTATGGCCATTAGTACTGCAGCACGTGGCTTGTGTGTAGAAAGAAGTGTCATGTAAGAGTGATTTGTCATGTGAATGATAGTGAGACCAAATGTGAGCACTTAGCTAAGTTTTTCTGTCTCATAAAAGGTGTGCTGGTGGCCAGGTGCTAGTGGCTCATGCCTATGATCCTAGGAAGCTGAGATCTAAGTTCGCAGCCAGCCCGGCAGGAAGTCCATTAAGCTTTTTTTGGTTGGTCATGGGGCCTGAACTCTGGGCCTGGGCACTGTCCCTCAGCTCTTCATCTCAAGACTAGCTCTCTACCACTTGAGCCACAGTGCCACTTCCAGCTTTTTCTGCTTATGTGGTGTTGAGAAATCGAACCCAGGGCCTTATGCATGCAAGGCAAGCACTCTACCACTGAGCCACCTTCTCAGCCCCTCCATTAGACTCCTTTTTTTTTTTTTTTTGTCAGTCGTGGGGCTTGAACTCTGGGCCTGAGTGCTGTCCCTCAGCTCTTCAGCTCAAGGCTAGCCCTCTACCACTTGAGCCACAGCACCACTTCCGGTTTTCTGGTGGTTTATTGGAGATAAGAGTTTCACAGACTTTCTTGCCTGGGCTGGCTTTGAACCGAAATCCTCAGATCTCAGCCTCCTGAGTAGCTAGGATTACAGGTGTGAGCCACAGGTGCCCGGCTCCATGAGACTCTTATCTCCAATTAACCACCTCCAAACTGGAAATGGCATTGTGGCTCAAGTGATAGAGTGCTAGCCTTGAGCAGAAAAGCTTAGGGACAGAACCCACGTCCTGAGTTCAATCCCTATGACTGACCAAAAAAAAAAAAAGTATGCTGGTGTGACTGCCCAGGGTTGGGTTGGATGGCTGTGTGTGTGTGAGAGAGTTTTATGAAACCAAACACCTGTCTGTCAGGCATCCAGATGTTATTGTGTGGCCATGGAGCTGTGTGGGACAAGTGTGTACAGCTGTGATCATGTCATTGCGTGTCTGGTTCCTAGTGGATAACCTGATGGGTGAACTCTGATTGGATAGAATTCTGTCTGGGGGCCTGGGATGTGGGTTTCCTGGGCGGGTGCCTGAGGAAACACAACTGTTGCTGGGTGTGGTTGGACATGTGTCGTCCTTGTGGCTATGCTTGGGCCCTGCTCTGTGTGTGTGTGGCTGAGAAAATGGGAGTGAACAAAGACCACTTGCTAGTGTGACCAAGCTAGTGAGGTTGGGACAATCTCTGTAGATGTGGCCCAAATGCCCTGAATAGAGCTATGTATCTTCCTCCTGGCAACTGTAGGACTGTTTCTGTGGCTCTGAAGTGTAACCTGAAGTGTGTTGTGTGGCTGTGATGGTATCTGTGTGTAACTAAGCATGCAGAGTTGTGACTGGGTGTGCCGGACAACTGTAGCCCTGAGGTGGCTTCATATATGTAAATATATGTTAACCTGTAGCCTTGTGCATGTGTCATGACAAATCCATATCATTCCCTCAAGGACCTAGGGCCTCCTGAGGCCAGCGCATCCCTAACAATACCCCCCACACCTCAGTACACCTACTAGTTCCTAGGCCTGTAGAACCAGGTGGCTGGTCTCCCTGGTAACAGTTGCTATGGCAACCAGGGTTCTCACCAGGGAGCCTGAGAGGGAGGGGGTTGGCTAAAGTCCAAAGGGGATGAAGTAGGGGAACTCAACCCCATCCCAAACAAACTTCTCACTTTCTCCTCCCTCCTTTGGGCAGGGCGGACCCAGGAGGCCTGAACAGCATTTGCCCCCAGCCCCTTGTGGGGCCCCGGGGCCTCCTGAGACCTTCAGGACGGAGTCGGGTGAGTGACCTGTTGGGGTCCAACAGAGGCTGGGTAGGTGCATGGGCCATCAAAGGCCCTGAGTTCACAGATACACACCAAAATCACACTCTCAGTGATTGTGTACAGGATCACACCATTACAGATTCATACATTCTTTACACAGCCATAGACTTAGTCATACACACACACACACACACAGATGATTGTTTCAGCTCCATGCATACTTACCGATGAGTGACAGGCATACTTGAAGATGTGCCAAGTAACTATTTCTTCATATTGCTAAACAGGCACATGGGTTCACATGATTGGACTGTATACATATTCCCCAGGAACCACAGGCACTCATGAGATACACACTCAACAATGCACAAGCCAGGTTGGTACCATACACCTGTAATCTAGTACTCAGGAGGCTGAAGCAAGAGGGTGGCAAATTCAGGTCAGCCTGGGCTACACAGTGAGACCCTGTCAAAAACAAAAAACCTGGGCACCAATGTCTCACATATGTAATCCTAACCACTCAGGAGGCTGAGATCTAAAGATCTCAGTTCAAAGCCATCTTGGGCAGAAAAGTCTGCAAGATTCCTATCTCTCAATGAGCAAAAAGGCAGACTGGGAGCATAGCTCAAATAGTGGGCACCACCTGTGAGAGAAAAAGCCAAGCGAGAGCTCAAGGCCCTAAATTCAAGCCCTGGTACCGGTATAAACGCACACATATATACACCCTTACCTCTGACATCACAAGCACAGCCCTTCTACGCCCCTGAATCCCACACCAGAATCCCGTGCCCCTGACCCAGTTCAACTTCCAACTCCTGGGCCTTTTCAACAGCGCACCTTCAACCCAAATACTTCTAAAGCCTCTGACTGTGTAACCCCTGACCCCTATATGCCCTCTGATCCTAGTGTTGTCCAGTGTCTGACTTCCTTCCCATCCTTTGGATCTTCAGGCTTTTTGTACTCAAATCCCAGCTTCCAAACCCCTAAAGCCGTGAATCATGACCCCTACCCCAAACTGTCCTATTCCTTCGTCCCTTGTTTCTGAGCCCCTTGGGTGCCACACTCCAGCTCCCCGGCCCTCCCCCGTGTCCCTTTCCTGGACTGTGACCCCCCCCGACCCTGAAACCCCACTTCCATGTCAACTGACCCCCGCCCTTGCCCCACTCTGCTGTCCTGTGTCACTAGACGGGGCGGGCACCATGAACAAGTTACGGCAGAGCCTGCGGCGGAGGAAACCAGCCTACGTGCCCGAAGCATCGCGCCCGCACCAGTGGCAGGCGGACGAAGACGCTGTGCGCAAGGGCACCTGCAGCTTCCCGGTCAGGGTGAGTGGGCGGGGCATAAGGCGGTGGGCGAGGTGGGTGGGGCATGTGACTGGGCCAGATGTGATGTGGTGGGCGGGGCATAAGGCGATGGGAGGAGCATGATGAACAAGACAAGTGGTAATAGGAATGGTATAAGGTAGTGGGGGCGGGGCACGTGGTGGTGGGCAGGGCCTGTTGTGATGGGGGGAGAAATGGGTGGTGGTGGGAGGGGCATACAGCCCTGGGAGTGGTGTGATATGATAGGATGTGCGTGGTGGGTGGGGCATCAAGTGATAGGCGGGGCGTGAGGCCATGAGAGGGCCCTGATAGGTGGGGCAGGCAGTGGTAGGAGAGACATAAGGCGGTGAGGGGGGAAGGGGGGGGCGGGCGTGCAGAAGTGGGCGGAGCCACCTGCTGGGTCCTGCCAGTCTCCATACCAGGCCTGGTGCTGTGAGCAGAGGCTTTCTGTTCTTAAAAAGCTATGGCCTGGTAGAGCGCTTGCCTTGCATGCTTGAGGCCCTGTGTTCGATTCCTCAGCACCACGTAAGCAAAAAGAAAAAAGCCAGAAGTGGCGCTGTGACTCAAGTGGTAGAAAGCTAGCCTTGAGCTGAAGAGCTGAGGGACAGCGCCCAGGCCCAGAGTTCAGGCCCACGACTGGACCAAAAAAAAAAGAAAAAAAAAAGAAAGTCCATGAGACTCTTATCTCCAATGAACTACCAAACAACTGGAAGTGGCGCTGTGGCTCAAGTGGTAGAGTGCTAGCCTTGAGCTAAAGAGCTTGGGGGCCCAGAGTTCAAGGCCCATGACTGACAAAAAAAAAGCTATGGAGCCTGTTGGAGTTGACATAAAACCCAGGACAAGTTAATTTGTACCAGGAAAATAGCACCTGGAGGGTGGTTGGGGGAGAGGCTACCCAATTCCCTGGGGACTCACAAAGAACCCCACTGGAAGATCATGCTGGAAAATATTAGTAGCATTCGCAAAGCCCTCGACTGTTAAGGGTTTAAGGGTTTTGCTTTAAGACAGCCAGAACTCTGTACAACATACTTTGTTGTGCTTTTCCCATGGGAAGACAGCAGGATTGAGGGCCTTGCTGTGGAGTTCAGCCCTTTCATGGCTGGGGGACTCAGGCTAGCTCTTCTGCCTAATTTTCCCTTCCCCTGAGTGTGAGGGAAAGGGAGGAAGGGAAGACAGCCAGTGGAGGATATGCTGTTGAATTACAGCTCTGGGCAGCCAAGCTCCATTCCACCTCCCATCAGTCCTTGCCAGGGCAGAGAGGCCCCCCCCTCCCCCCCCCCCTGCCCACTGGCTCTGGCTCTTTCTACCTGTGGTCCCAGGAGGCAGAGCAGCCTGGTATAGCCTTCAACCAGTCCCCTCAGCCACAAGGATGCAAACCCAGCACCATCGTTAAGCAGCAGTTAAGGCCCCAGGACAGAGCAGCACAAAAACACCAAACAAAAAACACTTCAATCCACACCTGTGTTTCCTCAGCTGCACATCTGGGCTGGGAAATGCACTGCACACCTCAACTTGCATTGAGGTGGTGCAGAATGAACGCATTCCCGTCTCTGATGGGCCTGGCACGGTGCCGGGTGTGTGGCATCTGGGTAGTGAACCCAGGAAAGGCTCCCAGGTGCTTAATATTTCCTGTCTCTCCGTCCCCATCTCCACTCAAGTACCTGGGCCACGTGGAGGTGGAGGAGTCCCGAGGCATGCACGTGTGTGAAGATGCTGTGAAGAAGCTGAAGGCGGTGAGTGAGGGGGGCCTCTGGAGCCAGGGAGGAGGTGAGGCCAGCCTGGCACAGGCGGCCCTGACCAGGCCCCTCTGTACCCTGCCCCCTCCCCCAGATGGGCCGGAAGTCCGTCAAGTCGGTCCTGTGGGTGTCTGCCGATGGGCTCCGAGTAGTGGATGACAAGACCAAGGTAGGAGGCCCCCTCCTCCCGCTCTGCTCCAATCAGGCCAAGGATACCTGGCCATGCCCCCTGGGACCTTCCCGACCCTCCTCTCCCACAGGGCTCTTGTAGACTGTGCCATGTGTTCCTGTCAAGGCTGCAGCTCGCTGCACAGTCCTAATTCAGAAATGAGGGCTGCAGTTATTTGTGAGTTGGTATAGAGTGGGTGAGAGCACGAACTGGAGCAGCCGCCTCAGCACGGATCCCAGCCACCCCCTCACCAGCTGGGGCGGGAGGGTGGGGGGAGCCTGGCCAGGAGATTCACCCCTTCCGGGCTTCAGTGGCCTCTTCTTAAAAAAAAAAAAAAAAAGGGGGGGGGGGACGGGGGGGTTGTGAGAGATCCTTCCAGTAGAGAGAAAGTATGTAAAACCTGTTTAAACACTGGCCACAGTCAGGTGAGCATGAGGGTACACGCCTGTAATCCCAGCACTCAGGAGAGAAGGTTCACGCTGTGCGCGTGCTTCCTTCTAGGACCTGCTGGTGGATCAAACCATCGAGAAAGTCTCCTTCTGCGCTCCTGACCGCAACCTGGACAAGGCATTCTCCTACATCTGCCGGGATGGCACGACTCGCCGCTGGATCTGCCACTGCTTCCTGGCACTCAAGGACTCCGTGAGTATCATCCAAACCGTCCGCCGCAGACCCTGCTGCTGTCCCCACTCAAGTGTTTCCCACACCTTTCCCTTCTTATTTCCCAGTCTCCCAATGCATGCTGGGCTTGGGAGTGCATACCTGTCATCTCCGCAATCAGGAAGTTGAGGCTGGAGGACACTCGGTTTGAGGCTAGCCAGGACTATGTAGTAAGGCCTTGTGTCAGAGAGAGAGCAAGAGAGAGAGCCCAATCCTAATAACTCTGAGCCCCCAAAATTAGTCAGTACCCCCAATCTGCCCACTTACACATGTAACTTGAACTGACAGGAGAGTGGAAACCACATTTATATTGATTGAGTCTCTTGTAAATGGCGCTAGCAAGGGTTGATACGGGAATGCTGGCGCCTGGGACAGCTGCTCTTCGCTGAACTCAGCAGAGTACACATGGGCGGAGTCAGTTTGCTATTGCTGGGTCACAAAGCACCCCTAAATTTTGTAGTTTGAAATTGAAATCACGGCCTTTTTGGGAAGGCCAGCAGCACCGCTCTGGCTCCAGGATGTCTCCTGCCATTGCTAGCCTCTGGGCTGATGACGTCAGGAGACTGGCCAGATGTCTTCCTGTGGCGGTAGGATCTCCCCAGGGCGTCTTTCCAATGTGGAAGCTTCTAGAGAACTTAAGCTCAAGAAAGTCTCAAGGAAGAAAGTGCCAAATGTGGCGGTGCGCATCTACAATCCCAGCTGCTCCAGAGATAGGAGGATTACAGTTCAAGGGTGACTGAGCAAAAGTACAAGACCCGATCTGAAAAATAATGAAAGTAAAAGGGACCGGGGGGGGGGGGGGGGTGGGGGGGGGGTGGGGGGTGGGGGGGTGGGGGGGGGGAGGGGGGTGTGGTTCAAGCGATAGAACACCTGCCTAGCAAGCAAAGGTGCTAAGTTCAAACTCCAGCACCTCCCCTAGCCCCATTCCCCCCAAAAAAGAGGAGAAGGTAGGGGGGGCCAGAAAAAGTTGTATTGCGGTTTTGGACTGGCTATCACCCAGCATGGCTACCATGGTACTGTGTTTGTTCCAGGAGAGGACCAAGACTCCACCAGGGGTGGGGGAGTGGAACCTTCTAGAAGAGCACATGTGGGCCAGAAATTTGTTGTGGCTATTTCTGGAAGATCTGTTGGCGCATGGCAGGGGGTGTGGATTTGGTGTCTAGCCACCCGGCTGCGTGGGCCCAGTGCCATGACCCCCTGTGGGGAGAAGGGGGGCTCCTCAGGGCTCACAGGAGGGCTCCTTGTAATCCCACCCAGCAAGGTCTTGCGAGGCCCAGAGTGACTCAGTGGATGGAAATATTTAGGGAAGAGAAGCAAACCAAACTGTGAGAGAATCAAAGCTCGGGAAGACCGAGGAACAGTAGGTAATTGCTTCCTCAAATCTGAGCTTCAGGGTTAAAATACTCGTGGAATTCCTAGGATTCCTCAAATGTAACCTTGTTCATTTTAAGTGACTTTCACACGAAATTAGTTATTTTAGCCAAGTGCGGTTGGTGGCGCATGCCTGTAATCCCAGCACTTGGGAGGCTAAGATAGATCATGAATCCCAGGCTAGCCAAAGTGGTAGAGTGCATGCCTAGGAAGCGTTGAGTGCCTGAGTTCGAACTCCAGTACCACCAAAACAGAAATAAATAGCAAAGGATGGTTTTTGTTTTTCAGTCAGTCATGGGTCTTGGGCCTGGGCACTATCCCTGAGCTCTTTTGCTCAAGGCTAGTGCTGTATCATTTAGAATCACAGCCCTACTTCTGGTTTTCTGGTGGTTAATTGGAGATAAGAGTCTCACAGACTTTCCTACTGAGTCTGACTTTAAACTGGGATCCCCAGATCTCAGCCTCCTGAGCGGTTAGGATTTCAGGCATAAGTCAGCAGCACCCAGCCAGAAGACTTAAAAAATATACAATTTTATAATTATTAAGGTAATGTACAGAGGGGCTACCATTGCATAAGTCAGGTAATGGGTATATTTCTTTTTTTGGACAATGTCATACCTTCCTTCAAGACTCTTGAAGAAAATACCACCAACAAAATATTAGAGATGCTGGGGACACATGGCTTACACAGGGGGCGGAGATCTGAGGATCACCGTTTGAAGCCAGCCCAGGCAGGAAAGTCTATGAGACTCTTTTGGGGGGGCGGGAGGGGGGAGAGGGTCTGGTCGTGGGGCCTAAACTCTGGGCCTGGGCGCTGTCCCTCAGCTCTTCAGCTCAAGGCTAGCGCTCTACCACTTGAGCCATAGCGCCACTTCCGGCTTTTTTGCTAATGTGGTGCTGAGGAATCGAACCCAGGGCCTCAGGCATGCAAGGCAAGCGCTCTACCACTGAGCCACCTTCCCAGCCCTCTATGAGACTCTTATCTCCAGTGAACCACCAGAAAGGCCAGAAGTGGAACTGTGACTCAAGTGATAAGAGTGCCATCCTTGAGCAAAAGAACACCACAGGGACAGCCAGCCAGGCCCTAAGTTCAAGACCCAGGACCAGCAAGTGCACAGAAAGACACAAATTAAGACAGAAATATGTGTAATGCAGTGACCTTTGGTGTATTCAAAATGACAACTAACTGTCATTTCTCTGATTCCACAACATTCCCACCCCCCTAAGGAGGCCCCTATACCCATGAAGTTGCCTGCCCTGTCCCCTCCCCACCCCGAACCCTGGCCAGCAGCTACTCTGCCTTCTTCAGGTTTCTGCCTGTTGTGAATGAGACAGAATCGTATGTCTGCCTTCCTTCACTAGCCATGATGTTTCCTACCCTTAGGTGTTAGAGCTGAATTTTTTTTTCTGGCCATTCCTGGGGCTTGAACTCAGGGCCTAGGCACTGTCCCTGAGCTTCTTTTACTCAAGGCTAGCACTCTACCACTTGAGCCACAGCACCACTTCTGGCCTTTTCTGTGTATGTGGTACTGAGGAATTGAACCCAGGGCTTCATGCATGTGAGGCGAGCACTCTACCACTAAGCCACATTCTCAGCCCTGCATTCTTTTTTTTATAGCCAAGTAATACTCCACTGTGTGGATTCTTCAATTTATTAATACTATTCTGCCCCTCCACTAATGGATATTTGGGTTGTTTTCACCTTTGGGAGGTATTTGACTGTGTTTAGCTTGTTGTGTTTGTGCTGGGCCTTGAATTCAGAGCTTCAACCTCTTGCTTAGCTTTTTTTTTTTTTTTTTTGTCAGTCATGGGCCCTGAACTCCAGGCCTGCACATTATCCCTCAGCTCTTCAGCTCAAGGCTAGCACTCTATCACTTGAGACACAATGCCGCTTCTGGCTTTTTCTGCTTATGTAGTGCTGAGGAATCAAACCCAGGGCTTCATGCATGCAAGGCAAGCGCTCTACCACTGAGCCACCTTCCCAGCTTTTATGTTTGTTTGTTTTTTTTTTAATCATGGCTGAGCTCTATCACTTGAGCCATACTTGTAATTCTAGCTTTTTGCTGGTTAATTGGAAGTAAGAATCCCACAGACTCTCCTGCCTGGGCTGGGTTGGCTTTGAACCATGACCCCCAGATCCCAGCCTCCTGAGTAGCTAGGATTACATGTTTGAGTTACCAGAACCTGGCTTTGAGGGTTTTTTTTTTCTTGATCGTAGGGCTTGAACTCCAGGCCTGGGCGCTGTCCCTGAGCTCTTTGCTCAAGGCTAGCACTCTATCATTTAGAGTCACAGCACCACTTCCAGTTTTCTGGTGGTTCATTGGAGATAAGAGTCTCACAGACTTGCTGCCTGGGCTGGCCGTGATCCTCAGATTTCAGCCTCCTGAGTAGGTAGGATTAAAGACATGAACCACCAGAGCCTGGCTTTGAGTTATTTTTTTAAGATAAGATTTCAGTGTGTATCTCAGGCTGGGCTGAAACTTGCTATATAGTCCAGGTTAGCCTTGAACTTGAAATCCCCTGCCTCAGCTTCCAGAGTGCTGGGATTACAGGCCTGTGTCACCAGGCTGGGCTTTAGGTTACGTTCTGTGTGTGGAGTGTGTGTGTGGGGGGGGAGTAGTCCAACTCTCCAAGAATGTAGGTATTGATTTTTGAGGAGTGTCTTTCCCCGTGGAGCCCTGTGGACCTCCTTATTGAGGACAGTGGAGGCTGTGAGTGGAGGCTGATTTCTTTGCTCTCAGCTCTGTTTGCACTGCTGTGTGTGTGTGTGTGTGTGTGTGCGTGCATGCATGCGTGTCCCTGAGCCAGTGCCATGCTGTTTTGATTAATGTTGCTGCATAGTTAAGTTTTGAAATCAGCAAATGTGATGATTCTCCTTCTGTATTTTCTTTTTCTTTCAGAGTTGTTTGGGCTATTCTGGATTTCTTTGGAACTCCAGATGAATCTTAGTGTTGGCTCATTTCGGCAAAGAGTACAATTGGGGGTTCTGATAGTTGGTTAAATCTATAAATTACTTCGGGACATACAGCCATCTTAACCATAAATTAAGTCTTCCAGTCTTTGTGTGCGTGTGTGTGTGTGTGTGTGTGTGTGTGTGACATGCGTGCATGCATGCGTGTGAGCACAAGTCCTGGGGCTTGAACTCAAGTCCTGGACACTGTCCCTGAGCTTTTTTTTTTTTTTAAACTCATGGCTAGCACTCTGTCACTTATGCCACAGCTATACTTCCAGCTTTTGGGTGGTTAATTGGAGTCTCCCAGACTTTCCTGCCTGGTCTAGCCTCAAACTTCAGTCCTCAAATCTCAGCCTCCTGAATAGCTAGGATTATAGGCACGAGCCACTTGCCTAGCTCCTAGAATTTGTGTCTGGCATGTTTCACTCCAGCTGATATTTGATTTATGGTGGAGATTTTGTTGTTCTGTTCATTGGAGTTTGCTTTTGAGCCAGGATCTTGGTTTTTCTGCCCAGGTTGGCCTTGAACTCCTGGCTCAAGACATAGTCCTGTCTCTGCCTCTGGAGTAGCTGAGACTATGATTACACACACACACACATACCCATGCTGGGGATGAGCCCAGGGCCTTTGCACGTGCTGGGTCATCTCCCTAATGCAGAGCCACACCCCACCCCAGGAGCTGCACTTGTCACCCTGGCCTACAGTACTGATGAACCACCCAGGCCCCGAGAGGTGCAGGAACGCTTTTGGGAGCCCCACACCCAGAGCTGGGTCCGCGCCATCTCTGACGGACCCCCCTCCCCCCCCATGTGCATGTACAGGGAGAGCGGCTGAGCCACGCCGTGGGCTGCGCGTTCGCGGCCTGCCTGGAGCGGAAGCAGCGGAGGGAGAAGGAGTGCGGCGTGACGGCCGCCTTCGACCCCAGCCGCACCAGCTTTGCCCGCGAGGGCTCCTTCCGCCTGTCGGGTGGCGGGCGGCCCGCCGAGCGCGACGCCTCAGACAAGAAGAAAGGTGGGTGCCGCCTGGAGAGGGGAGGGGTGCTGCTGAAGTCGGGACCCTGCTTGGGAACAGCACTAGAGGCTCCTGTTGGCCTGCCTGGACGGCTTCACCCATCAGCCTCACGGCCTCAAGAGTAGCTAGAGAAGTGCGTATATGTGTGCCAGTCCTGGGGCTTGAACTCAGGGGCCCTGGGCACTGGCTAGCGCGCTACCACTTGAGCCACAGCTCCACTTTCAGCTTTTTTGATGGTTAATTAGAATTGAGTCTCACAGCTTTCTGCCCAGGGCTGGCTTCAAACCACAACCTCAGATCTCAGCCTCTTGAGTAGCTGGGATTACAGGTGTGAGCCTGCTTTTTTTTTTTTTTTTCCCCAGTCCTGGGGCTTGAACTCAGAGCCTGGGTACTGTCCTTGAGCTTCTTTTGCTCAAGGCTAGCACTCTACTACTTGAGCCACAGCACCACTTCTGGCCTTTTCTGTGTATGTGGTGCTGAGGAATCGAACCCAGGGCTTCATGCATGCGAGGCGAGCACTCTACCACTAAGCCACATTCCCAGCCTTCCCCTGCTTCTTCAGCCTGAGTGTGGAGAGCTGGCTTTCCCAGCAGTCAGAAGATAGTCTCAGTATGCAGGAGCCCAGTCTGAGGCACTGGAACAATCTAGAAAGCTAAAAGGATACAGCTGTGCCAAGCCAGGTGTAGGATAGAGGAAACACAGGGGTATCATTGAGGCGAGAAGGATGATGAAAAAGGGGAGAGGAAGCTGGCCACCACTAACTCACACCTGCAATCTGGCTACTTGGGAGGCTGAGATGGGGAGGATTGTGGTTTGAGATCAGTGTAGGGTACTCAAGGTACCCTTTTCTCATCCAATAGCTGGGTACAGTAGTGCACACCTGTAATCCCAGCCAGCAGGAGGCTGAGGTTGGGAGACTTAGGATGTGAGATGTCACCTGACCATCTCTCATGTCTTTAGCAGAGGCAGTGGCTGCTCCGGCTGTGGCCCCTGGCCCTGCCCAGCCTGGACATGTGTCCCCAACCCCCGCCACCACATCCCCCGGTGAGAAAGGGGAGGCAGGCACCCCAGTGGCGGCAGGCACCACGGCAGCCGCCATCCCCCGGCGCCATGCCCCTCTGGAGCAGCTGGTCCGCCAGGGTTCCTTTCGAGGGTTTCCAGCTCTCAGCCAGAAGAACTCTCCATTCAAACGGCAGCTGAGCCTGCGGCTGAATGAGCTGCCATCCACTCTGCAGCGCCGGACTGACTTCCAGGTGAAGGGCACAGGTGAGCCCGGCCCCAGGGGGAGCACCGATGTGGGCAAGGAAAGAGGAAGATGGTTCACACCGTGTGATTGATGAGCACTGTCTGCTGGGAGCAAAGGCTAGATGGGTGGGACATATCGTGATCAATTGATAATGTCTGCAGAGAATAAGGAATTGGAGGAAGGGTATGAAGAGCTGGGAGTGGATGGCATGCCTGTAATCCCAGCACTCAGGAGGCCAAAGCAGGAAAATCATGAGTTTGAGAACAGTCTGGGTTGCATAGTGAGGAAGGAAAGAAGGGAGGGAGGGAAGGAGGGAGGAAGGAAGGGAGGGAGGGAGGAAGAGAGGGAGGGAGGGAGGGAGGAAAGGAAGGAAGGAAGGAAGGAAGGAGGGAGCTGGGTGACATAATACATCATGATTAGCAGTGCTCCAGGAAATAAGTCTTCCTCGCACAAGGGAAAGAAGAAAAGCAGCATATATGCTCTTGGGAAGGAAAAGAGCCCGGATCCCCAAGGACCTGTTCACTGATCTCTGCCTTTACCTTTTTCCAGTGCCTGAGATGGAGCCGCCAGGTGCCAGCGACAGTGACAGCATCAATGCTCTGTGCACACAGATCAGCTCTTCTTTTGCCAGTGCTGCTGCCCCCCCATCAGGACCACCACCTGCCACAGCAGGTACAGCAGCCCCTCACTGGGCACACACCCTCCAGGGCACCTTCCTACAGCCCCTTCCCCATTTACGGCCTCCACGGACAACCTGGGAATTTTGGATGGCTTAGAGTAAGAACCATTGATCATCCTAGAGCCATGGGATCATCTTAGAGCCATAGAATTATCTAGAGCCAGGAGATCACCTGGGAACTGTGGGGTTACCTTGGAACCATGGATTACTTTAGAACTATGGGATTATCTTAGAAGCTTGGGATCATCTTAGAACCATGGGGCACCTTAGAACTATGGGATCATCTTAGATCATGAGTCATTTTATTTTATTTTATTTTTTAATATGGCTGGGTGCTGGTGGCTCACGTTCGAAGCCAGCCTAAGCAGGAAATTCGTCACAGACTTTTTTTTTGGGGGGGGGGGGGCGTCCAGTCATGGGGCCTGAACTCTGGGCCTGGGCGCTGTTCCTCAGCTCTTCAGCTCAGTGCTAGCGCTCTACCACTTGAGCCACAGCGCCACTTCCGGCTTTTTTTCTTTTTTGCTTATGTGGTGCTGAGGAATCGAACCCAGGGCCTCAGGCATGCAAGGCACTGAGCCACCTTCCCAGCCCCTCATGAGTCATTTTAGAACCGTAGGATTATCTTAGAACCCTGGGATTATCATAGCATCATGGTTCATTTTAGAACCGTGGGATCACCTTAGAACCATGAGATCATCTTAGGACTGGCAAAAAAAAAAAAAATCTATGCAGTCCTACGATCTTTTTTTGTTGTTGGTGGTGGTGGGGCTTGAACTCAGGGCCTGGGTGCTGTCCTTGAGCCTCTTTGTGCTCAAGGCTAGCGCTCTACCACTTGAGCCAGTGCCACTTCTGCTTTCTGAGTGATTCATTGGAGGTAAAGAGTCTCATGGGGACTTTTCTGCCTGGGGTGGCTTCAAACCATGGTCCTCAGATCTCAGCCTCCTGAGTAGCTAGGGTAACAGGCGTGAGCCCCCAGCGCCTGGCAGTCCTAGGGTCTTAAAATGCTAGAATCAGAGGTGAGGCAGCTCCAGAGCCGCCCCCTGATGCCCAGCCATCCACACTACCAGCTTGGCACTGCCCCATGCCCTTTCACCCACCTTCTCTGCTCTCCCAGGATCGTCTGCCTGGGGTGAGCCCGCAGTGCCCCCTGCAGCTACCTTCCAGCCTGGACACAAACGGACACCATCAGAGGCTGAACGATGGCTGGAGGAAGTGTCTCAGGTGGCAAAAGCTCAGCAACAGCAGCAGCAGCAGCAGCAAGCCACCTCGGTGCCCACAGTGCCCCCTGCCCTACAGCCCTTCCCTGCCCCCGTGGGGCCCTTCGACACCACACCCGCCCAGGTGGCGGTGTTCCTGCCACCCCCCCACATGCAGCCTCCCCCATTTGTACCTGCCTACCCCGGCCTAGGCTACCCCCCCATGCCCCGGGTGCCCGTGGTGGGCATTACCCCCTCACAGATGGTGGCCAACGCTTTCTGCTCAGCTGCCCAGCTCCAGCCTCAGCCCGCCACCTTACTTGGCAAAGCTGGGGCCTTCCCACCCTCCGCCGCCCCCAGTGTCCCTGGGGGCCAGGCCCGGCCACGCCCCAATGGAGCCCCCTGGCCTCCAGAGCCAGCCCCTGCCCCAGCCCCTGAGTTGGACCCCTTCGAGGCCCAGTGGGCAGCGTTAGAAGGCAAACCTTCCACCGAGAGGCCCCCCAACCCCTTTTCGGGAGACCTGCAGAAGACCTTCGAGATTGAACTGTAGCCCCAGCTGCCCTGCCCACCCTGATGCGCTAGACGTGCCATGCCTGGGAGTGGGGACCCAGCCTCCCTCCCCTAAGACTGCGCCCCTCAGCGCCCCCCTCTAAGCCCTTCTCTCCACCACCCCTCAGAAACCACTACAGAACCAATATCTTGATGGCCAGGTTGCGACAGGATGGAATTCAGGGACCGACCCAGCCTGGCTAAGGGAACTATTTCACTGCTGGACTGAAGCTGGCAATGCCCCGCCCCAGCCCTTCTCCCCTTCCTCCCCCACCCCCCCCACCTTCAGTTCAAGCTACATTTCCCAGTTTCTCCTGTTGCCCTTCCAACTTGCCAGTGTCGGGCAGGATAGAGGAGGGGCTACCCACCTAGGGGCCCTCCTGGGCCCACCCAAGTCTGGTTATCTCCTCTCCCCCACCTAAACACAGCACAAGCTAAGGGCTCCCCTGTGCCCACGCTGCGTTCACTGCCAATGCTGTGCCCACCCCTACTGCCTTCCCTCACCACTCGGGGCTCTTTATCATCCGGGGGACCGAGGTCTCATGGGGCAGGGGCCAGGTAGGGGGCCCAGGAGGTGGGGAGGGGGAGAGGAGATACTCAGTTACCTCATGTGGGTGCCCGCTGGGGAGGGGAGGGAGTCCCAGAACAAAGAGATGGAGTGCCTGGCGGGTACTTTTCTATCTTTTATTTCCAGATTTTTTTTTTTGTATCTAAACTTGCAGATTTGTACTATACAAGGACAGCCAATAAAGGAAGACTGTACTGGTGGCCCTGGGCACGCCTGCAGGGGGTGGGGGGGTGGGGCTTTCCTGAGTCATGGGGAGACAGGTGGGAGGAGGAGGGACTCCCTGAGCCCTACCTGTGAGTCATGGCTGGGGCTCAGCTCCTGCCATGTGGGCAATTGCAGGGAGCCCGACGTTAATCACCCCACTTCTATTATTAGCAGACTTGGGATGAGGAAAATAAGAAGGGCAGGTTCTAAAGTACCTCTGATCCCTTTCAACTTTGAGAACAAGTAGCTTCTTCTATAGCTGGGGCCAAGCTCAACAAAGACCACCCCCCCACACACCTCCTCCCCACAAATGCTGCGGGTCTCACAATTCAGGCCACGCACTTCCCACCTGATGTGGCCACAAGCTCCAAAAGCTCTCTTAGGATTTAATATATAGCCTGAGGCCTAGTGCCTGCAGCTCAGGCCTGTACTCCTAGTCACTCAGGAGGCTGAAACAGGAGGATCATGGTTCCAAGTCCCCCTCTACCCCTCAGAGATAAGCCCCACTGACTCATCCCCAAGCCTCTGCCCACACACCTGCACCCAGCCTGGCCGGCACTGAGTTCAACCATCTTGTAAAGCCTGTCTCCGTTGAACCAACTCTTTGACCCTTAAGGCCGGGCCAGAAGCACCCCCTCTGCTCCCTGAGCCCCAGGGACCGGGGACAGGCCCAGCCATCAGGGACAGTGGCAGGCCAGGCCTCTGCTGGCCTAGATAACGAAGCTGCTTCTCCCCTGGGCCCAGCGCCCTGAGAGAGGGTGGGAAAGGGAGCCATCTCTCCAGCTCCTGGGGGAGGGGGAGGGGTCTGCCCATCTCCCCCGTCACGTCCTGGATGGAAACAAAAGTGAGGAGGTGGTGGTCTCCAGCCCCCCACTTCTTGCTCCCAGGATCAGCGCAGGAACCCTGGAATAAAGCCCCCGAGCCCCCAGCGTTGAGGTCATTTCGGAGGAACTGGCCTGCACCCCCTCTCTGGCCCTACGGGAAGCCCCGGCCCCTCTGAAGCCATTCCCCACGCCCAGCGCCTCTGCTCTCCCCAGCTCCTTTCGTGGCCTTGTCTCCCCCCTTCCTCCTGTGATTCCAGTCATGTCTGGGAAGCTCCGCCCACTGCAAGGCCCGGATGCCCGGGCTGCTGCTGCTGCTGCTGCTCCACATGCGCCCACCAGTCACTTTGGCTGGAAGATCGAGACCAGCCGGAGCCAATACCGACGAGGTCACGTGGTCCGGGACTCGGCAGCACGGTGGGACAGCGCCACCTGCTGGCTGGGGGGCTCAGGACAGTGAAACGCGGTGGCACAGCGCCCCCTGCTGGCTGAGGCCGCGCAGTGCCTGCCGGTCCCCACTGGGGCCCTGCCCAAAGGAGACAAGGAAGACAGAACACACACACACACACACACACACACACACACACACACACACACACACACACACACACACACACACACACACACACACACACACACACACACACACACACACACACAGAGGAACAGTAGGGCTGGGAAGGTGGCTTAGCGGTAGAGCGCTTGCCTAGCATGCAGGAAGCCCCTGGGTTCGATTCCTCAGCACCACATACACAGAAAAAGCCAGAAGTGGCGCTGTGGCTCAAGTGGTAGAGTGCTCGCCTTGAGCTGAAGAGCTGAGGGACAGCGCCCAGGCCCAGAGTTCAGACCCCATGACCAGTAAAAAAAAAAAAAGAAGAAGAAAGAAAAGGAAAGAAGAAGGAAGAAGAGGAGGAGGAGGAGACAGCACCCAGGCCCTGAGTTCAAGCCTCAATACTAGCACACACAAAAAAAGTTATCCTAGCCAGACACAGGTGGCTCATGCCTGTAATCCTAGCTACTCAAGGGGCTGAGATCTGAGGATCTCGGTTCAAAGCCAGCCCAGGCAGGAAAGTCCATGAACTACCAGAAAACCAGAAGTGGCGCTGTGGCTCAAGTGGTAGAGCACTATTTTTTTTTTTTGGGTCCGGTCGTGGGGCCTGAACTCTGAGCCTGGGCGCTGTCCCTCAGCTCTTCAGCTCAAGGCCAACGCTCTACCACTTGAGCCACAGTGCCACTTCCAGCTTTTTTCTTTATGTGGTGCTGGGGAATCGAACCCAGGGCCTCAGGCATGCAAGGCAAGCGCTCTACCACTGAGCCACCTTCCCAGCCCCTATTTTTTTTGGAGGGCGGGGGTCCAGTCATGAGGCCTGAACTCCGGGCCTGGGCGCTGTCCCTCAGCTCTTCAGCTCAAGGCCAGTGCTCTTCTACTTGAGCCACAGCGCCACTTCTGGCTTTTTTTTTCTGCTTATGTGGTGCTGAGGAATCGAACCCAGGGCCTCAGGCATGCAAGGCAAGCGCTCTACCACTGAGCCACCTTCCCAGCCCTAGAGCACTATCCTTGAACTAAAGAGCTGAGGGACAGCGCCTAGACCCAGACTGCAAGCCTCACAACTGACAAAAAAAAAAAAAAGTTATCCTTCAAGGCCCGGTGCAGCCCCTCCCTCCTCTAGAAAGCTCTCCCCAGTCCACAATTTGTACCAACAGCCGCTTTGTGAGTGTGTGTGTGCCAGTCCTATGGTTTGAACTCAAGGGACAAAAGACCGGGAGGGGATTTCCCCTTAGTTGTTTTTTTTTTTTGTTTTTGTACTCAAGACTAGTGCTCTACCACTTGAACCATAGCCCCACTGCTGGCTAATTGAAGATAAGAGTCTCATAGACTTTACTTGCTGGGCTGACTTCAAAACCAGATCCTCAGATCTCAGCCTCCTAAGTTGCTGGCATTACAAGAATGAGCCACCAGCCGCTAAAAGGAGAGAGGGACAGCAGAAAAAAAGAGAGAGGGGAGATAGGAGGAGAGACAGACAAAAAGAGACTGACAGAGAGGAGAAAGCGAGAGAGAGAAGCTGAGTCATGATTGCAGCAGGCGGTACTGCAAGTCTTCCCTCTGTCTGAGGAGACGGCAGCTGCCGGGCGCTGGCAGGTTATCAAGCCATCCTCACCTTTTGGCCCCTGAATGCCACCCCTGGGACTCCCAGGGCCGCCTGTTGGGGCGTTATTTATAATGGGAGGAAACTGGGAGCAGCTTCAGCCCCTGGTGATGAGACCGTTCTGAGTAAACAGAATGGAAACATTAGAATCAGTGTTTACACAGAGACATTTTAACTTAGGAACTACTTACATTTTAAGAAGGCGAAAACACAGGCTGTGTAAACAATTTGCTCACCCAGTTATGTAAAACACACATATACACACAGAGAGAGAGAGAGAGAGAGAGAGAGAGAAAGCTCACATAGAAGAAGATGCAAAACAATAATACAACAGTCTTAAGCTAACTTACACACACCCTTCACCCACCTTCAGAAATCATCCAGAGTTTTAATATTTGTGCCTCCCCCTATTTTCTGTCTTCCTTTTTGTTTGTTGTTGTTGGCTGTGAGGCGTAAACTCAAGTCCTGGATGCTGTCCCTGAGTTCTTTTGCTCAAGGCTAGAGCTCTACTACTTTGAGCCACAGCACCGCTTCTGTTTTCTAGTGATTCACTGGAGATGAGTCTCATGGACTTACTTACCCAGGGTTGGCTTTGAACCATGATCCTCAGCTCTCTGCCTCCTGAGTAGCTAGGATTACAGGCGTGAGCCACCAGCGCCCAGCTCCAGCTTTTTTTTGTTCATGTGGTACTGAGGAATAAAACCCAGGGCTTTATGCATGCTAAACAAGCACTCTACCACTAAGCCACATTCCCAGACGCTTTATTATTATTTTTTTTTGTCAGTTGTGGGGCTTGAACTCAGGGCCTGGGCACTGTCCCTGAACTTTTTCACTCAAGGCTAGAGCTCTACCACTTTGAGCCACAGCACCACTCCATTTTTCTTTTTTCTTTTTGTTGGTCGTGGGGCTTGAACTCTGGGCCTGGGCGCTGTCCCTCAGCTCTTCAGCTCAAGGCTAGTGCTCTACCACTTGAGCCACAGCACCACTTCTGGCTTTTTTCTTTTTTGCTTATGTGGTGCTGAGGAATTGAACCCAGGGCCTCTGGCATGCAAGGCAAGCGCTGCACCACTGAGCCAACTTCCCGCCACAAGTATTATTATTTCTTCAAGTTTTGTTACAAAGTCAAAATTTGAACTTGGATCCTTTGGGGTAAGCTACAATAGAGTGATACTTTATCTAAATCACCTCGAGGCTTTGTTTTTCCTTGTGGAGGAGAAAAATTGGAAGGAAGAAAGGAGACAAGGAAAGAATCAGAAGAGAGACCACCCCTGGAAAGCTTAGGGAGCAGCCTGTAAAGTCCCTCTCCGCTAATCAGACCTTAGCACTAGATAGGGGTGTTACAGAAGTGTCCTCCCATTTGGCTTCAGCCCCTTAAGGAAGCCCAGCCCCCACACTGTCTCAGAAACCCGACAAGTGCTCAGGCTGCCCCAGTACCCTTGCACAGTCTCTGGTCTGCCACTTGCCTTGAAGGCTCTGCTAAGCTTGGGAAAGGCCAGTAGGTCTTCCGAGATAGAAACTTGTTTTTACTTTTTGTGCAACCCTGGGGCCTTGAACTCAACCTAGGCACTATCCATGAGCTTTTGTGCTCAAGGCTAATGATCTACCACTGGAGCTACAGCTCTGCTTCAGGCTTGTTGGTGATACATTAGAGATCACAGTGTCATGGACTTTCCTGCCCTGTCTGGCTTTAAACTGAGTAGCTAGTATTACAGGTGTGATGCATGCATGGTATGCAGCTTAGAACTGCTTTTTATTGAAGTAGATGCACACATGAGTAGCAGCATAAACTATGAGTGTAAGAGCTAGGTGGACAGTCACCAGCTGAACCAACTTTGTTCCCAGCTCCCACATCAGGACATCTCCATCCCCCAAAGTCCCCTCCTGGATCCTTTCAGTCCTCTCCCCTCCCTCTTTCCCAAGATCATTTTCCAAAGAAAAGAAGAGAAATACACACTAAAGGCTGGTATGGGAGTGAACGCCTGTAATCTCAGCACTTAGGAAGTTGAGGCAGAAAGATAGAGAGTTCTCCTGTGGGGAGAAAGAAGAGAAGGGAAGAGAAGAGGGGAGGAAGGAAGGGGAGAGCAGGAGGGTAGGAGAAGGGAGGGAAGGGAAAAGGAAGAGAGGGAGAATCAAACTTTTCTCCACAGCTATAACAAAGTACTCAACATAGATCTGCTGTGTAGTTCAGTGGTAGAGCTCTTATCAAACAGCCTCAGGCCCTGAGTGCCATCCTCAGCCCATGAGGTTGTATGTGGAGAAGGACGGCTTGTTTAGGTCATAGTTTGGGAGGTTCAGGGCCTGGCATTGACCCCATGCTTGGCTCCATGAAGGCCTCATGTCAGGAACTTGCTGGAAAGGGAAAGATCCCATGGGCAGGCAGGAAGCCAAGGCCCAGGGAGGTGCCGGCCTTGCTCTTTTCTAACTGCTCTCTCGGGAGAGATAATCTAGTCCCACTAGCACTGCCTTCAAGTCCTCCATGGGCGGTGTCTCTGTGTTCCAGTCACCTCCTGCTGGGATCTGTGCCTTCTTCCATCCCCAAGCTTCCAACAAGTAAATCTTCGGGGACAAACCATAATATTCCGGATTAAAAAATATATTTTGCACGTGTGTGTGTGTGTGTGTGTGTGTGTGTGTGTGTGTGTGCCAATACTGAGGCTTAAACTCAAAGCCTGAGTTACTGCCTGTAAGCTTTTATACTCAAGGCTGGTGCTGTGTCACTTGAGCCAGACTTCTGCTCTCTGGCTTTTTTGCTGGTTATTTGGAAGTAAAAGTCTCAAGGATTTTCCTGCCCTGGCTGGCTTTGAACCTTGATCCTCAGATCTCAGACTCCTGAATAGCTAGGATGACAGGCCTGGGCACTGTCCCTGACTTCCTTTTTTTTTTTTTGGTCAGTGGTGGGGCTTGAAGTCAGGGCCTGGGAGCTGTCTCTGAGCCTCTTTGTGCTCAAGGTTAGTACTCTACCACTTGAGCCACATTGCTACTTCTCTTTTTTTTGAGTGGTTAATTGGAGGTCAGAGTCTCACAGGAACTTTTCTGCCCGGGCTGGCTTCAAACTGCAATCCTCAGATCTCAGCTTCCTGAATAGCTAAGACAACAGGCCTGAGCCACCATACCAGTGATGATAATGATGACCATACAAGTATCAGCCACTAGGGGGTGTGCCAGCCTGGGCTGCACCAGCGCATACTGACCACCAGGGGCCGCTGCGGGACTTGTCCCGCGGGCCCAGTGACCGGCTGGACTATTTCTCTTTGGACATTCCAGAGGGGAACTGGTGGATCCTAGACAGTGTTGCCAAAAAGCCCAAGGCCAAGGCTGGGGCCTAATGCAGGGGACATAGGCAGGAGGAAATTTAGATGCTTGGTGCAATTTCCAGACTGCACAGGAGGTAAGGGATCTCAGCAGCTAGCCGCCCCACCCCCACCCTAAGAAATCTGACCTCAAAGTTTTCCAATCCTGTGTACCACCCCTGCCTCCCTGCCTGTCCCCTGCTTCCAGAACAGCTACACAGCCAGGTGATCGGGGAGGAAGACTGGGAATGAGATGCTACAGGAGCTCTCAGGAAGAGAGTGGAAATGTTTAGAAATTGCTTGCCACATTTGTATTCTTTTCTTCTATGGATGTCTTAACAACACAGATTGATATGTGTGGCATACACCTCCTCTTCCAGGAGTTCTGTAAAAGCAGGGGCCTGGGATTTCTTTTATCTCTTTCTTGGGTCATACAGTATTGATGTGTGAGAGCCTGAGCTTTTTCCCTCAGGCCTGGCACTTTCACTTGAGCGACACCTTCACTTCTGGCTTTTTGGTGATTAATGGAAATAAAAGTCTCATGGACTATCCTGCCTGGGCTGGCTTTGTACCATGATCCTCAGCTCTTAGCCCCCTAAGCGGCTATGGACTACCGGTGTGAACCTCTGGCTCCCAACAACATTAAGGATTTAAACTCAGGACCTCATGCTTGCATAAGGGATGAAGGGAGAGAAGGGGAGAGAGATAAAGGATAAGCAGGAAGAGGAAAAGTGCAGGAGGAAAAATAAAGGCAAGCAGGGCTGAGAATGTGGCTTAGTGATAGAGCGTTTGCCTAGCATGCATGAAGCCCTGGGTTCGATTCCTTAGTACCACATAAGCAGAAAAAGCCAGAAGTGTCGCTGTGGCTCAAGTAGTAGAGCCCAAGCCTTGAGCAAAAGCCTCAAGGACAGTGCCCAGGCCCTGAGCTCAAGCCCCAGGACTGGCCAAGAAAATAAAAATAAAGGCAAGCAGGAACAAAAGATACAAAATAGGTGGTTTTAATTGAAGATTTCATAAAAGGGGATCAAGGGATGGCCAGGTCCAGGGAGTTTTGGGAGGGACCGGACGGCAGGGGCCTACTCCTGACAGTACATTATCAGTGCACCCTGAATTCTAGCCCACAACAGGTGCAGGCTCAGGCCCGGGGCAGGGCAAGCACACTGAGCAGGCAGTGGCGTGCGCTCTAACCCTGGGGCCGCGCAGGCGCACTGGGTGAGTGGTCGAGGGAGCTCAGGCTACGGGCGCGCGCAGGCAGGCGTACTTAGCAGGCCTTGGCGAGTGCGGGTGCGCTCAGGCCCCGCGCTGCGCAGGCGCACGGGGCGGGGGGGGGGGGGGGCGGGGGGCGGGGCGGAGTGGGCGTGGCCGCGCGCTCTCAGGCTCTGGGCCGCGCAGGCGCGCAGTGGTGTGGCTGGTGCGTGGGTGCGAATCCAGGACGGCAGACGCAGCGGAAGGAGCCGTCGGTGTTGACGCAGCGCGCGTTGACGCAGAGCGGGGAGGCGGCCTCCATCTCGTCACACTCGTTGACGTCTGCGGAGGGGCCCGAAGGACAATGACCACTCGGGCCTGCCTGGCCGGCCCCTCCCCACCCAGGAGCCCAGGCCGGCGGCCTCAGCTCTGGGTCCCGGCCTAGGGGTGTGGTAGGCCCAAATAACTAAGGTTTGGGGGTTCCCTGTCTATGGCAGTTCTGGGGCTTCAAACTCAAAGCCTGGATGCTGTCTCTTTACTCAAGGTGGGCGCTTCTACCACGGGGTCATCTGCACTTCCTGCTTTTTGCCGGTGAATTGCAGACAAGAGTCTCATGGACTTTTCCCTGCCCAGGCTGGCTTCAAACCACAAAGATCCTGCCTCTTGAGTAGCTAGGATTATAGCCTGAACCGCCAGCGCCCAGCTTCCCCCAGCTGCTGTTTTTGTTTTTTTCCTGTAAACCACTTGGCTTGACCCCTGTCTAACCTAGGCAGATGTTATTAATATTCCTGTTTTACAGATAGGAAAGACATGTTTTCCAAAGAGGTCATGCAGTTGTCCCAGACAGCACTGGCAGTCCTCAGAAGTCAGGTGGACAGGGTGGTGTCCAGGCCTTGGAGTCCAGCCCTGCCTCTGTCACACCCCGACACACCTCCCCCCCCCCTTCTTCATCCAAGTGCCAACCTCCAGCAAGGACGGCTCTCTCTAGGCTGGTCTCATCCCCTTTTCCCAGAGTCCCTGACTCCTCCTACCTCTAGCCCCAGCTTCCTTTCTGGCTGGGCCTTGCCCTTCCCTGCTCCTTACCAAGGCAAGCCATGCGGGTTATGTCCAGGCGGTAGCCATCAAAGCAGTCACAAGTGAAGCCCTCTGGCACCCGCACACAGCGGCCATGGGCACAGCCATCCAGAATCCCGCAGTCCTCCGCCTCCAGCCCTTCGTATCGCTCAGACAGAGCGCCTGGAGGGAACAAGGAGAGAGGATTTCTGTTCTTATTTCTGCATTTAGTTATTCATTTATTTAGTGCTGCTCCTGGGGCTTGAATCCAAGTCCCTTAGGTTTTGTGCTCAGGGCTGGTACTCTATCAGGTGAGCCACAGCTCCACTTCCAATTTTTGGTGGTTAATTGGGAGTTAAGAGTCTCATGGACTTTGCTGCCCAGGCTGGCTTCCAACTACAGAACGCAGAGCTCAGCCTTCTGAGCAGCTAGGTTGATAAGACAGGCATGAGGCAAAAGCATCCAACTTTCTGATTGTTTTCCCAAGTCCAGTCCTGTCCCTCCTGGCCTCCTGACTCTCTGCTCTCTGTCTCACCTGGCTTGAGCCAGGGCATCACTCACCGGTGTAGCCTCCAGCTTCCGAAGACTCCTCAGGCTCTGAGAAGGAGCCACGAGTGTCCCGGGACCGATAGGACCACCCGGCGCCTCGCCCAGGTGGCTCAGGCGCCTCAGAATCGCTGTAAGGGCCGCCATCATCCTCAAAGTCCGGCATGTCGAAAGGGGGAGCTCCATAAGGGGCCTCACGACGTGCAAAGGGCCCAGGCGGAGGTGGGTAGGGGTCATAGGGCAGCACAGGGGGTGGGTACAACTCTGGCCCATAGGGGAGGCCCTGGTAAGGTGGGCCTATGTCTGGGCCATACTCATAGGGAAGTCCAAAGCCACCTGGCCGCGGGGGGCCGTATGCAGGGGGGCGCAGCACATTGCACAGGGCCTCGAAGTCATCTGTGAAGAGCAAGCCATCACAGTTGGCACTTGGGTGCCTCTATCTGCAGGGTAATCCCTCCCGCCCCCCCCCCCTGCTCCCCATGCACGTACCCCTGTTGGGAAGAGAGGATAGGGCCTGGAGAATCATGGTGCTAAGCTCCTAAGATCTGAGGACTCAAGACAAGGGTTTGGGGGGACTGGGTTTCTCCAAGGCTGAGGATTAGGGGGGGCATCTCAGATCTCCAGGGACTGTATGTTAGGATCTGGGGCACCTGGTCTGTGGACCAGGATGTGGGGATCTGGACCACTGGCATTTGAGGTCTAAGAGCTCAAGAGTTGAGGATACAAGAGACAGGACTTGGGGAGTTTATGGTGCTGGAGCTAAGGGATCTGCTGAGACAGCCCTGGGATTTCTGTTATTGTAATTAGAAGTCTTCAGAATGTGACTTTGGGCTGAAGATATGGCTCTGTGGCAGAACGCTTGCCTAGTGAGGACAATGACCTGAGTTTAAACCCCAGTACTGCCAAAAAATAAAAATGAAATTAAAATGTGTCTTTGGGACCAAGATTTGGAAACAGGCTATGACATAGATTAAGATGCTACATTTGGGGGGACCTGGGGTTGTGATACTGGCAGCCTAAAGGGCTGGACGGGCGGTACCTGAGTCCTGGGCAGGGCAGAGAGCACAGTCCATGCCCCAGGCTTCGCCATACAGACAGCAACACTCTGTGTAGGTGGCCTGACGGTCCAGCCGAGGCCGACTGCACACGAGGTCAGGCCCCACTTCCTGCCAGCACACTCCCAGATTGTCATCTGTGGGCAGGGAAAACAAGCATCAGGAGGAGGGACTGGTACTCAGATCCTCTCCAAGGCTGAGTTCCCCTCCTGAGTGCTGGGATTATAGGCATTGACCACCATGCCTGACATCCTATGGGAAATGTTTGAGTGAAGTCTCAGAAATGTGAAGATGTTAAGGAACAGGAAAGGAGAGAAGAACATTTGGGCTGAAGGATAAAAAGTGTGTCAGAAGCTTACAGAAAAGTGGAGAGGAGCAACTAGACAGGGCCAAAACTAGAGAAAGGAAAAAAAAAAACCTAAAGAGAGAGATACAAACGCATCCAGAGTCAAAGACTCAAAACAAAACAGGAGAAGAAAAAGTACAGAGTTCAATCCTCCAGTACCAAAACCAAAACCAAACAACAACCAAAAAAAAAAAAAAAAACCAGAATAAAACAAAATTCCACCCTATTGGCTATCCACCCAAGGTGTAAAAGGAAAGCTGAGGCCTTGGGTAAAGCACATGCCTGTAATCCCAACACAGTGGGATCAATCTGATCAGGAATCAGAAGGCTGGAGGATCAGGAATTTGATGCCAGTCTCAACTAGATGAGGGGAAGAATCTACCTCAAAACAAGGGGGCCAGAGAGGGGGACATGCAGTGTGTGTGTGTGTGTGTGTGTGTGTGTACACAAGAAATAAGTGAAAGATTGCCTCTAAAATCTCTGATGGGCGTGGCCTCCTGGGGGCGTGGCCACAGGGGAGGCCTGGTCGCCTTGAGGGCACGGCCCAGGGATGGCCTTAAGGCCCAGCCAAGGAGGGTGGTGGGCGGGTCAGTGGGTGTGGCATGACCGCGGGGGCGGGGTTGGAGGCGGGGCTACCGAGGCTCTGGCTCTCATTGGACACGCAGCGGCGCCGGGAGCCGTCCAGGACCAGCGGGGGCTCGCAGGTGCAGTGGTAAGAGCCCACCGTGTTGACGCAGCGGCCGCCCTCGCAAGCTGGCTCCTCGTCTGCGCACTCGTCATTGTCTAGGGAAGCAATGGAGGAAGGGGATTGATTGTTAAGTGGCAGCGCTCCTCTCCTTCCCATTTCTCTCCCCTAGTCCCTTGACAGTCTGATGGATGGAGTCTAGACTCCAAGAAGGCCTTCCCGCTGTGACTAGACACAGCACAGGGGTGGGGTGGGGAGCTGTAGGACCCTCACCAACACACTCCAGCCGCTGTGCGTGGTAGTAGTAACCGTTGCTACAGTAACACGAGTAGCCTGGAGCGGTGTTCACACACACCCCACTCTTGCACACCTGGTCCCGGAAGAGCTGGCATTCGTCCACATCTGCAGGAAGGGTGGAGAGACATGGAGCCCAGCCAGGGCAGGGGGGAGGCGGGCTGGATGAAGGGAGGGTGTGACCGCTGGAATGAAGGGGGAGGATGCAGAGTCTCAGGAGACATAGGGGCAAAAAGAATAAATTCATTAAAATTAAAAATGAAGACAGATCAAGAAATCCAGAGAGAGAAAGAAAAGAAAATAGGAAGAGACAGAGAGACACGGTCAAGGGTGAGTCAGGGTATGGAGAGTGGGTGAGGGCTAAAGTCTGGTCTCACCTCGCCAAAGGCTTAGGTCTCCACTGGACGCCAGGTAGCCACGACCGTGGGGACACAGTGACTGGTACTCAGCTACACAAAGAGACAGGGCTAAGCCTAGACCCCTGCGCTTGCTGCGTGTGTGTGCGTGTGTGTGTTGGTACTGGGGCTTGAACTAAGGACCTTGTGCTCTTGTTTGGCTTTTTTCCCCATTATAGTTTGAGCTACACCATGACTTCTGGCTTTTTCCCTCCCAGTTCTGGGGCTTGAACTCAGAGCCTGGGCACTGTCCCTGAACTTCTTTTTGTTCAAGGCTAGTGCACTACCACTTCCAGCTTTTTCTGTGTATGTGGTACTGGGGAATCGAATCTGGGGCTTCATGCCTGCTAGGCAAGCACTCTACCAGCCTCTCACAGACTTTTCTGCCTGGGCTGGCTTTGAACTTTGATCCTCAGGTCTCAGCCTCTTGAGTAGCTAGGATTACAGGCGTGAGCACCAGAGTCTGGCTTCTCTGCGTGCACCTGTGACCTCTTCCTCAGTTCCCATGGTCCTCTAATTCTATCCAAACCCTCACGCTGTGCCCACCTGTCTCAGTGCCTGGGCACTGCTGGATGCGACATCCGCTGCCCCAGCCTTCGCCCACGGTACAGCAGCACTCCTGCCACGTCACGTTCCGCGCCAGGATGTTGTCACATGCATCCGGGGCTGCAGTGTCAAAGTAGCACTCCCGTCGCTCGCTGCCCACAGGCCCCTGTCTAGGTGGGCTGGGCCGGCGGGGTGCGGATGGAGGGGGTGGCCTGGCTGGCAGACTGGGACTGGCAGGTGCCTGGGGTTGTGAGCCTGGAAAGGTGCCTAGAGAGGAAAAACACAGGGGGGAGGGAGTTAGGTCAGTGTGGGTCGGACGCTTAACCCTCCATGTCACAGAGGGGGAAGCCGAGGCCCCAAGCATGGCACCAGTCATGAGTGGCACAAGAACACTTCATACTTCTTAATCTGTCATGATCTTTCTGCCATCTTCTAATTTATGCCTTGTGCGCACGTGTGTGTGTGTGTGTGTGTGTGTGTGTGTGTGTGTGTGTGTGTGTGTGTTAGTACTGAGGCTTGAATTCCAGGCCTCACTTTTTTTATTTTTTGGGGGTCAATCATGGGGCTTGAACTCTGGGCCTGGGCACTGTCCTGCCACTCTTCAGGTCAAGGCTAGCACTCTATCACTTGAGCCACAGCACCACTTCTGGTTTTCTGGTGGTTCATTGGAGGTAAGAGTCTCACAGACTTTCCTGCCCAGGCTGGCTTTGAACCGCAATCCTCAGATCTCAGCCTCCTGAGTAGCTAGGATTACAGGCATGAGCCACCACTGCCCAGTGGCCTCACACTCTTATTTAGTTATTTCTCTCAAGGCTGGCAATCTATCACTTAATCCATACTTCCACTCTGGCTTTTTTGCTAGTGAAATTAAGATCAGAGTCACTTAGATTTGTCTGGGTGAGGTGATTGTGAACCTTGATTCTCAGACCTCCACCTCCCCTACTAGCTAAGATGACTGTCCCCCATCTCTTTTGTTGTTATTTGAGACATGATCTCACTTTGGAGCTCAGTCTGGTCTGGCACTTTCCATCTCCCTGCCTCAGTTTCTCTGGTGTTGGGATTACAAGTGTGACCCACCAAGCTTAGCTTTCTGTTAGACTTTGAGGCCTTTAGGACAGAGATTGGGAACATTACTGAAACCCCAGTGGCTACAATAAAGTCTCAACACATTAAACACTCTGTGAACACCTCCTGAATGCAGTAATTTGGCAGCATCTAGGCCAGGATGTAGATCTCCTGAGAGAGTCCTAATATCCATGGCAACCCACTCGATCAGAACTTTTGTTGTTGTTGTTGTTGCTGTTGAAAACAATAGCACTAACTGGTGGCAGCGGTCCATATCAGGGCTGGTCAGGCCACAGTGCTTTCCTACAGGGTCAGCATCCACCAGCTAAACAAATAAACAAACCATTCTCACCAGCAGAGGTCCGTGGGGGGACACAGCGTCCAGTCATGGGGTCAAACTCCTCAGGACTGCTAGGGCAGACACACAGGAAGGAGCCTTCGACATTCTCACACAAGGCAGTTCCACACACACCCTGCAGCGTTGCACACTCGTTCACATCTGTAAGCAGGAGATAGGAACACACATCTGTAATTCCCTGAACTCTGAAAATCTGTGCTTTCTACTGTAATGAAAAAAAATTTTTTTTGTCTGGTACTAGAAATTGATGGAACACTCAGGACTTCATATTTGCTAGGCAGGCACTTCACAGTTGGGCCAGGCCCCCAGCATGCTTAACCAGCAAGTGGAAGTATGGGTCAAGTGGTAGAGCACTAGCCTTGAGTAAAAAATAAAAAGGTCAGGGACAGCACCTATATCTGAGTTCAAGCCCCATGACCAACACACACACACACACACACACACACACACACACACCAGAAAAATAGTGGCTCAATAGTAGTATCTGGGGGCTAGGAAGGTGGCTCAGTGGTAGAGCGCTAGCCTTGAGCTGAAGAGCTGAGGGACAGCGCCCAGGCCAAGTTCAGGCCCCACGACCGGACCCAAAAAAAAAAAAGCAGAAAAAGCCAGTAGTGGTATTGTGGCTCAAGTGGTAGAGCCCTAGCCTTGAGCTGAAGAACTGAGGGACAGCGCCCAGGCCCAGAGTTCAGGCCCTATGGATGACAAAAAAAAAAAAAGTAGTATCTGCCTAGCAAAACACCAAAGGCTCAGAGTTCAAATCCCAGTACTGCCAAAAAGAATCATGCACTTTATATATATGAATTGGACTTCAAATAAAAATACCCACAAAACATACTGAATTTTAGTTAATGATATGTACAAATACTGAAGAATTCGAGGGATTTATGTACCAAGGCCCGCAGTCTAATTATACAATCTGCCCCCAAAATTATACAGATTCATGGACAGACATGAAAGAAAGCAGGTGAGAATCAGCCAGGTGCTGGTGACTCATATCTTTAATCCTAGCTATTCAGGAGGCTGAGATCTAAGGATTGTAGTTCAAAGCCAGCCTGGGCAGCAAAGTCTGGGAGATTCTAATCTCCAATTAATCACTAAAAAGTCCTAAGTGGAGGTGTGACTCAAGTAGTAGAGTGCCAACCTTGAGTTTAAAAAGGCTCAGGGACAGCATCCAGGCCCTGAGTTCAAGAACCAAGACCAACACACACACACACACACACACACACACACACACACGAACTGACAAGCTAGTTCTTCCCTACCCTCCGGCCCCAGCCACCCCCAGGAGCCCCGTACCCACGCAGTGACGCCCGTCCCTTGCCCCCTCGTATCCCTGGTCACAGAGGCACTGGAAGGAACCAGGTAGGTTCTGGCACACTGCATGAGCACCGCAGAAGGACCGGTTCCGGCATTCGTCCACATCTGCAACCATCAAAGACATCAGGACACCTCTGGAACTTCCACCTCAACCCCCCACATCTCACTCACTGCATGACCAACACCCACCCTGGCAGCCGCCGCCCGGGGTGGGCTGATAGCCAGGGTCACAGGCTGGTACACAGCGGTAGGAGCCAGGGGTGTTCTCGCAACGCTGAGCTCCACAAATAGCAGAGCCATATTCCTGGCATTCGTCCACATCTTCAAGAGAAAGAGAAAGAGAAGAGGGAAGTGAGCTCAAGAGCTGGATGGATGGGCTCTGAATGCCGCCTCCACATCCCACAATTGAGAAGTTGTCGTGAATCTGATATTCAAGGAATCTGAGCTTCCAGAGATGAGCAAGTGCCCAGAACACTGCCATTTCTCAAAAGGCGCAATCAGAATCGACCTCAGGGCCTTTGTATTTGCTCTTCTCTCTGTCAGAAATACCCGCCATTCAGCAATCTGCCTTGCTTCCTCTCTCATGTCAATCTGCCTTGCTTCAAGCTCCATGACCAACCAAAAAATAAAAGATAAAAATAAAGACATAAGGTAGAGCGCTAGCCTTGAGCTGAAGAGCTGAGGGGCAGCGCCCAGGCCCAGAGTTAAGGCCCCATGACCAGACCAAAATAAATAAATAAAAAATAAAGACATAAAACAGTGCCTTACATATAGTATGGACCCCATAATATTCATTATGAATCCTGAACTAATTTACATATTGCCTATATTAGATCCATGAGAACAGAGATTTTCTTTCTCTTTCTTTCTTCTTTCTTCATTTCTTTCTCTTTCTTTTTTTCTTTTTTCTTGTCAGTTGTGGGACCTGAACTCTGGGCCTGGGCGCTGTCCCTCAGCTCTTCATCTCAAGGCTAGCACTCTACTACTTGAGCCACAGTGCAACTTCTGACTTTTTCTGCTTATGTGGTGCTGAGGAATCGAACCCATGGCCTCATGCATGCAAGGCAAGTGCTCTACCACTTGAGCCACAGCACCACTTCCGGTTTTCTGGTAGTTATTTGGAGATAAGAGTCTCACAAACTTTCCTGCCCAGCCTGGCTTTGAACCGCAATCCTCAGATCTCAGTCTCCTGAGTAGGAGTACAGCTGTGAGCCACCAGTGCCTGGCCCACAAGCCCTGCAGCCTCCTGCCTCGGTTAGCTCTGTGCTAGGTGATTCTTGGCTTGTCCAGGTAACTGGGAAGTGTCCTCCCCAAGCCTGTGCCTCCATAATAGAATGCAAGGACATGGAGGAAGGGGAAAGGTAGGAGTTAGGGGAAGGGTGCCTTCCTCCCGGACCATATGGCAGTGTGTCCCTTTTCGTCACCCAGGAAGCAGATTGGAGTGGTGGGTCTGTCTCACCATCACAGGTGCCCTCCGGGCCAGTGTGATAGCCAGGATCGCAGTCCCGGACACAGCGGTAAGAGCCAGGGGAATTCTCACAGCGTTGGGACCCGCAGAGGGCTGGGCCCTGTTCACGACATTCGTCAATGTCTGAGGAGGGAGGCATGAAGGTCAGATGGGGTAATCGGGGGGACGGTCAGGCGAGTTGGAGGGGATAGACAAATTAAGAGGGGAAGTAGAGAAGAGATGGGGTCACCTGGCCTGCCCACTAGACCTAAGCCCCGCCCATAACCACATAGCCCCGCCCCATGATGACATGGTCCCCCATATACCTGTAGCTCCACCCACAAGTCCCAACTAAGTGCCAAAGCCTTTCCCACAAAGGTGGCAGGGGGAGCTGGGAGGGGATGTCGAAGCTGGGAGGGGAGGGAGGAAGAGTTTGGGGGCACGATCAGATCAGGGGCCCCCTCACCCAAGCAAGAGGCCAGGTCTGGGCCTGTACGGTGTCCCGGAGGGCAGATGCACTCGAAGGAGCCATCGGTGTTGGTACAGACACCGCTCTGGCAAAGGTCCTCTTCGCTGCACTCGTCCACATCTGCAGAGTATCCCAAACCGGAGTTCACCTCCTTCCTCTATTAACATCCCAAGCCACACCCCTCCCCTGCCCTTTTCCCTGCCCCTCCTGGGCCCGTACAGCCTTACCTGGCCTGGCCGAGGCCCCGCCCCTTTCTGCAAACCCCGCCCCCAAAGGTTTAGGGAAGATCCTTTCCAACCACTATCCAGACTCCTCCTCCTCCCCCAGTCGGGGTTCCCCTGCTTCACCCTGACACTCCCGGAAGTCCCACCTCCCTTATTGCAAGGAGACACCCCTCCCCTCCCCAATTATGTAGAGGCCCTATTCGACCCTCTTCCACTTTTTCAGGGTACCCACCAAGGCAAGATGCTCCGCGAGGTCCAGGCCGGTAACCAGGGGCACAAGTGCAGGCAAAGGAGCCGTCGGTATTGAGGCACTCGCCGTGGGGGAAGCAGAAGTCACCTTCCAGACACTCATTTATGTCTAGGGTACGCCAGAGAGAGAGAGAGAGAGGCACGCCCAGTAGACACAAGCCCCGCCCACAGCGGGCTAGGGTACGCCAGAGAGTCACGCCCACTAGACACAAGCCCTGCCCACAGCAGGCTAGGGTACGCCAGAGAGAGGCACGCCCAGTAGACACAAGCCACGCCCGCACTGATGTAAGCCCGCCTCCACCATATATGGCCACGCCCACAACAGTTGTGTCTCCGCCCTGAAGGCCCACCTAAGTGCCCATCCCTCTCACAGCTTCTCACACTTCTCCGACTGGCTTCCTCATTCAGGAGCCCTGGCCCTAACTCAGGCCCGGGGTCGCTCCCCTGCTCACCAGCACAGGGTCCAGGTCGACCCGATGGCGCCCGGTAACCCGGTGCACAACTGCAGCGGAACGAGCCTTCGGTGTTGGTGCAATGGCCGTGGAGACCGCAGGGGGCTCCTGAACTACACTCATCCACATCTATGGGGGTCAAATGACACAATCAAGTTTCATGTTCACAGGTCAGGGAGTCAGGAGTCACCTTTAGATTCATGGACCAGGGCTGGGAAGGTGGCTCAGTGGTAGAGCGCTTGCCTTGCATGCACGAGGCCCTGGGTTCGATTCCTCAGCACTACATAAGCAAAAAAAGAAAAAAGCTGGAAGTGGCGCTATGGCTCAAGTGGTTAGAGTGCTAACCTTGAACTGAAGAGCTGAGGGACATGGCCCAGGCCCAGAGTTCAGGCCCCAGGACCGGACTCCCAAAAAAATAGGTTCATGGACCAGGAGGGCACCAGTGAGCTTAGGCCTGTAATCTTAACTACTCAGAAGGCTGCAATCTGAGGATCCTGGTTCAAACCCAGCCCCAGTAGGAAAGTCTGTGAAGACTTTTTTTTTTTTTGGGTCTGGTCGTGGGGTCTGAACTCTGGGCCTGGGCGCTGTCCCTCCGCTTTTCAGCTCAAGGCTAGCGCTCTACCACTTGAGCCACAGTGCCACTTCCGGCTTTTTTCTTTTTGCTTATGTGGTGCTGAGGAATCGAACCCAGGGCCTCAGGCATGCAAGGCAAGCGCTCTACCACTGAGCCACCTTCCCAGCCCCTGTGAAGACTTTTATTTCTAATTAACCAGCAAAAAGCGAGAATTGTGTGACTCAAGTGCTAGAGTACCAGCCTTGAGTGGAAAAAGCTAAGGGACAGAGCCGAAGCCCTGAGCATAAGCCCCAATATTGGCACAAAGATCGAAGTAGGTAGATTGATAGGTGGATAGATTCAAAATAAATAGATAGATTCAAGATAGGTAAAATAGACAGCGCAGGTGGCTCAGGCCTGTAATCCTAGCTATTCAGGAGGCTGAGATCTGAGGATCAAAGTTCAAAGCCAGCCCAGGCAAGAAAGTCCGTGAGACTCATCTCCAATTAACCACCAGCAAACCAGAAGTGGCGCTGTGGCTCAAGTAATAGAGTGCTAGCCTTGAGCTGAAGAGCTGAGGGACAGCGCCAGGCTCAGTTCAAGCCCCACCACTGACCAAAGAAGAAAGATAAGACAGACTTAAGACAGGTTCAAGATAGATAATAGAGGACAGATTCAAGATAGATAAGATTCAAGATAGATAGATTGGTTGATGGATTGATCCCAGGATGGGTTCAGGGATTGTAGTCTGGTCAGGTAAAGAGTCACAGCTGGGAATTGTTGTCCAGGTAAGAGGACTAAGGTCCAGGTTAGGTTAGGAGTCAGGTCAAGCTTGTGGTCAAGTCTGGGGGTCATGGTCTTGGGTCAGGGGTCATGGTCTTACCAGTGCATCTGCCACGATGCAGATGATGGCCAGCAGGGCAGGCCCTGCACTGGAAGGAGCCAGGTGAGTTTACACACTCCTGCCCAGGACAGGCCAGGTGGTTCTCACACTCATCCACATCTGAGGAGCAGGGGAGAGGGTGCCTTGAAGAAGCAACCTGACAAGCCCTCCCCCATCCACACTCCTCCCTCCCTCCCCGGCCTCACCCTTGCACTCCGAGCCAGCAGCGTTGGGTTGGAAGCCTGTGGGGCAGACGCACTGGAAACTGCCTTCTGTGTTCTCACACCGCCCATAGGCACAGGGCGAAGGGCTCCGGGCACATTCATCCACATCTGGGTCAGAGGGGAACCAGTCAAGCTGTGAAAGGGATCTAGACACCTCCACACTGTCAACTCCATCTACTTTTCCAGCCTTGAGTCAGCCTCCCAAGAGGCTGTGTGTGTGTGTGTGTGTGTGTGTGGTGTGGTGTGTGGTGTGTGTGTACTGGAGCCTGAACTCAGGGTCTTTTCACTCATTTCACTTAAGCTGTACCTCCTGTTTTGGCTTTTTACTGGTTAGTTGAGATGTAAGCCTCAGGGACTTTCCTGTCTGGGCTGGCTTTGAATTGGGTTTTTCAGATCTCAACCTCTTGAGTAGCTAGGATGAGCCACTGGTGCGTGATAAAACCATTCTTTGCCCATGTCATAGGCTCTCAGCCTACCCTACCTCATCCATATATCCCTTTCCCTGCCTCTTTGTTAGTGACACACTCCCACCTTCTCAGTATCTCATTCCTCTGCCCCTGGCCTTGGTCTCTGAGCCCAATTAGGATGTTCTGTCCCACAGTAATACGGCTCTCACAGCAAGCAGTGGTGCTGCAGGACCCAGCACCCTCACCTTGGCAAGGAGCCCCTGGTCCTCGGGAGCGGAAGCCAGCAGGGCAGGCACAGTGGAAGGAGCCAGCCGTGTTGTCACAGCGGCCTGGCCCGCAGGGTGGGGGCTCCTGTGCACACTCATCCACATCCTCTTCACATGTTGAACCCCGGAAGCCAGCCGGGCAAACACAGCGGAAAGAGCCAGGCAGGTTCTCACAGACCCCACGGCCACAGAGGCCCGGGCTCTGGGTGCATTCATCCACATCTGTGGGGTGGAGAGGTGGGGGCAAGAGGACCGTAGGATCACTTGCTGCTTTATTCCCTGAGGCTCCACCTGGCTTCCCTGACCACCAACTTGACCTTCCACCCTCCATCATACCCCCTCCCTGCCTGTCCCTGTTGTTCTAATTCTCCATCCTCGCATTCAGCCTTTCTTGCATCCCATTAATTGGCCTCTCCTGCCTTGGGTCACTCTATAAAGGCCTTAGATCTGGTTCCAGGACCTGGGGTTTCCACCAAGCCAACTTCACTATTCTCCTTATCCACTCACCAACCCTCATCTCTGCTAGAGGCTCCCCTTTCCCCTTTGCCCACTTCCCTTCAGCCCCTCACCCTGGCAGCTGGCTCCATGAGGTGCAGCCTGGTACCCGGCGGGACACACACACAGGAAGCTGCCGGGTGTGTTCTCACAGCGCCCGCGGTCGCAGGGCGGCGGCACGCGGCGGCACTCGTCCACATCTATAGGCAGAACAGAACTGGGGTGGCTGGGGAGCGGGCAGAGTCCCGGGAGAGACTGGAGGGGGCGTGGCCGGCGTGGGCGTGGTCACCGTGCTGATATCAGAGTGGGGGCGGAGTCTGCAAGCGTGGTCCTGGTCCGGGGTGGATTCAATGGAAGGAACCCACGTGGGGGCGGAGCCTGGGGGCGGAGCCCGAAAGTGGGAAGGCCTAAAGGAAGGGATTGAGCCAGGAGGCCAGACAAGGGCGGCTGTCCTGGCTGGGACCAGAGGAAGACCGTGAGAGGGGGCAATTTGAGAAAGAGATGGAAGGGACCTCTGAGCACAAGAAAGGGAAAGCAGGAGCAGGGATAGAGAAAGAAAGGCAGTTTGAGATGGGGAATCTGGTGCGAGAGGGATGCAATCAGGGCAATCCGGATGGTTTGTAGGACAGAGGCGGGGCCTGGGGACGGAGCTAGTCAGAGATGGGGAAGAGGAGGGGACAACAGAAGAGCCGAGCCAGGGCCTGGTTTGGAAGAAAGCTAGGCAACAGTAGAGGCCAACCGCCAGGAAAAGAAGGGCTAGATTGGGAAGAGAGGGCAGGGCAGCAGCCAAAAAGAGGTCTGGAGCTGATCTAAAGGAGGGGGCTGGGGCTGGTGAGACCGGGCAGTACTAGGGGCTGGGCCCTATGGGGAAAGAAAGGAAGGTCACTGCGACTCTGGAGTGAGCAGAGCCCAGAGCCAGGCAATGGTGGGACCTGGAGCCAGGCTGATAAGTGTCTCACCCAGGCACTCCGTAGCCCTCGGGCTGGCTCGGAAACCCGGGCCGCACACACAGCGGAAGCTTCCTGGTGTGTTCTCGCAGCGCCCCGGAGCACAAGGAGAGGGTACTCGGCGACATTCATCTAAGTCTGAGTGAATGGAAGGGGAGGGTCACCAGGTGATGGGCAGAGCCCCACCCTATCCCCAGCACCCACGCCCCGCCCACCTCCTCAGTCCAGCTCACCGACACAGCGGGTACCCTGGGGGCTCAACCGGAAACCCGAGTCGCAGGCACAAGTGTGACCACCAGGTCGGGATATACATCGGCCTGGGCCACACACCTGAGGGTTGCGCTGACACACACCAGAAGAAGGACCTGGGGAAACAGAAAGAGGTCCAGTCAGTGAAGTTCCTCCAATTCTGATCTCAATTCCCTCAAATTCTCCACCTAAAACACCTTTAGGGACCACTTCTCCCCAAGTCCAATCTTAGAGGAGAATCTTATTCTTCTTTATCTTGAAATACTTGCATTTGAGCTGTCAGAAGCTGCCCACCATGGCTCTCTAGCTGGTGAATGAATACTTCAGAGGTTATCTCACTGAAACCTCATGACCATCCTCATTTTACAGCACAAGAAACTGAGTCTCAGAGGACTTAAAGGTCTCTCTCAACTAATAGAGAACTGAGACCAATTCTGGTGCCAGGACCCAATCTAATTACCATGCAACCCTCCACACATTCTTCTAGGTTCTTTTTTTTTTGGTCTAGTCGTGGGCCTGAACTCTGGGCCTGGATGCTGTCCCTCAGCTCTTCAGCTCAAGGCTAGCGCTCTACCACTTGAGCCACAGCGCCACTTCTGGCTTTTTTCTTTTTGCTTATGTGGTGCTGAGGAATCGAACCCAGGGCCTCAGGCATGCAAGGCAAGCGCTCTACCACTGAGCCACCTTCCCAGCCCCCTCCACACATTCTTATCTCTTCCTACCAGACCCTTGTCTGTATTTGATCTCCTCTGGCATCTTCTTCCCTCCAGAATCCCTGCCACCAACACCCTCCATTCTCTACATCACCTGGCTCAGGAATTTCAGGGCCAGTCCAGGCAGGGATGCTGGGAAGAGGAAACTCAGGGCCAGGTCTCGACTCAGGTCTGGACTCAGGGCGGGGCTCAGGTCGAGGCTGAGGCCGAGGCTGAGGGCGAGGTTCTGGGCGATGAGTAGGCAGAAAGCCTGGTAAGGAAAAGGTATTAGGGAGTGGAGACTGAATTTGAAATAATGTCCCCCCACTTCCTAGAACCAGCTCACCTGTAGGTGGCCGAGAGGTGGCCGCTGGGGCACGTGGCTGACTGAGAGATACTCGAGGTGGTTCCTGAGCCAGGGGTCTGGTGTTGTATCGGAGGTCAGAGGCTGAGTAGTGGTAGCCAGGGCCAGCAGGGCAGATCTCACGAAAACCCTCTGGAAACAAAACAGGGAGAGGAAGAGGAAAGAAGCGGAGAAGAAGAGTGGACAGGAGGGTGTTGGCTGGGGGACAGGGCTTGGTTTGAGAGAGTATGCCAGGAGTTTTGCTTGGATGCAGGGACGGAGTGGTGTCCTGCAAGTATTCGAGAGTAAAGATGGAACTACAAACAGTTTTTACCCATTTGGGATGATGGCAGGGACTGGGGGTAAGAATAGAATCTAGTTTGATAGCTATAAGGGTGAGTTGGGGGAACAGAACTCTATCTGTGGTAGAACTTCTTAGGGAGTGCTCTAAGGGGGGGTGAAGGCGCCTAAACTGAAGGCTGTGTCTCCAGAATTGGGGCTCTGACTAAAGCTCTGAGACAGAATTCCGTATCTCAGGAGCAGGGGGTTGAGGGGAGGAGAATGCACTGGAGACAGACTAACTTTAACGTGGAGTGGTGCAGGGGTGGGTGTGGCTAAGGATGAAGGTGAAACCTCCAGCCAATCAAGAGGGCACTGGGGGCGTGGCCAAAGCTAGGACCATTGGAGGGGGGGCGGGGGTCTTGAGTGCTTCTAAACCTCCTGGGAAGAAGCCTGTGTGGATCCTGGCAGCCGAGGGAAGGACGCGTCTGGAGGCACTTACCCGAGCCGAAAGGTGGGCAGAGCTGGCAGCCTCGACCCCAGGCTTTGCCCACACGGCTACAGCAGCAGATCTGTTTGGTGATGTTACGCAGAATGGGCAGCGAGCAACCGCCATCCCGAAGTACACGGAAGCAGGGCCCCTTCGCCTCTGAGATCACGTGTTGGGCTGGAGGGAAGGGGAGAGCATTGGTTTGGGGGGGGCAGGGTGGGGAGTAGGGGTAGGACTGCGAGATTGGGGAGGTAGAGGGATCACAGGAAAAGTTTGGTGGGGGCAGAATTTGGGGGAACGTTTTTAAGACAATGAAGGGCCCGGGATTAGTTTGGGATGTGGTCTGAGGTCAGATCCGACTTGGGATCCAGCCCCTCTGCTGGCAGCTCACAGATGCAGCTGCTGCGGGATGAATCCAACAGGAAGCCGTCGGGACACACGCACGTGTACCCGCCGCGCGTGTTGGCACATTCCCCGTGCTGGCAGCGCCCTCCGGTCGCACACTCGTCCACATCTGCGTGAGTTGGGTAAAACTTCACCGTGGAAAGGGCCACTGATTACTAGCCCTCCGACCCGAGAACCAAGCTCCGCCTCACCTACACAGGATCCATTAACCCTCTCAAAGCCAGTGGGGCAAGGTCCATCGGCTCCACCCACTCTGTTCCCTGTGGAGAGAAGAGAGGGGTGGGCAGAGAGGAAATTAGTGGGTGCAGAACAAAGATGGGGTGGTAGGGACTAAGAGGTGTGGAGTCTGTGCACCCTCACTTGGGAGGCTCTTGAAGTTCATGGATATCAACAAGGCACAAAAGCATTGAGAACCCAGGGGCCAAAGCCACTGGGTTCCAACGCCAGAAAATGGCGTAGAGACCAACGCTAGTGGCTCACACCTGTCTGCCATCTTGGCTACTCAGGCAGGAAAGTCTGTGAGACTTTTCTTTCTTCTAATTTTTGTATTTTGTTGTTGTTGTTATGTGTTACCAAGGAACCAAACCCAGGGCCTCATGCATGCTAGGCAAGCACTGTACCACTAAGCCACATTCCCAGCCAGTGAGACTCTTATCGCCAATTAACCACCGAAAAGCCAGAAGTGGACCTATGGCTCAAGTGGTAGGGCGCTGGCACTGAGTGAAAAGGCTAAGGGGCTACACTCAGGACTGAGTTCAAGCCCCAGCAAACACCCAAAGAAAATTGTAGCCAGGTACTGTTGGCTCATGACTGTAATCCTAGCTACTTAAGAGGCTGAGATCTGAGGATCACAGTTCAAAGCCAGCCAAACAGAAAAGTCCTGGTGAGACTCTTGTCTCCAGTTAAACCACTCGAAAACCAGAAGTAGCACTATGGCTCAAATGGTAGAGTGCCCAGGCCCTTAGTTCAAGCCCCACAAAAGAAAATTGTAGATGTAGCTTAAAAATGATAAAATTCTAGTTCTAGCTAGAATTAGTGGTTTGTCCTGGGGGGGGGGGGGCGAAGGGGAGCAGGAAAAGTTACTAGGGGGCTGGGAAGGTGGCTCAGTGGTAGAGTGCTTGCCTTGCATGCACTGGTCCTGGGTTCGACTCCTCAGCACCACATAAGCAGAAAAAGCCAGAAGTGGTGCTATGGCTCAAGTGGTAGAGCACTAGCCTTGAGCTGAAGAGCTGAGAGACAGACCCAGCCCCAGGGTTCAGGCTCCACGATCGACCAAAAAAAAAAAAAGTTACTGGGGCTCCCAGTACCTGAGGGCGGGGGAACAACCCTTGGGGCTTACCCAGGTGCTCCGAGCATGGCTGACAGTCGTGAACGCCCCAGGCCACGCCTTCCCCTCGACAACACACTTCCTGAGTTCGGAGCCCGGGCAGCGGTGAGACACACTGTGGGGGATGCATTGGATGAGCGCCTCCCCACCTGACGGCACTTCCCAGGCCCCTTCCCACGGGCCTCTTCTCACTTCGCCTCGGCGCAGCTCCCGAAAGCAGTAACCGAAGCCCGAGGCGTCCGAGTAGCCATCCTCGCGGGGGGCGCTCTGGGCCAACACGGTGTAGGGCGCAGCCGCCTCCGCCCGGGCCGCCGCCTCCGCCCTCGCCACGGCCTCGGGATCCGCCTCCTCCCAAGGGCCCGACACTCGCTCCACCTGGTGGACGACCACCGACGCCTCCTGCGGGTGCTCCACGTGCACGCTCACCATGGATGCCACGCCTGGCAGAGAGGGCAAAGGGATGTCTATAAAGAAGGGGGGGGGGTGTCTCATGGGGGTGGGGGAGCGTGCTAGGACCGGGAGGAGAGGTACTGGAGAATGTCACCAAGTTGGAGGTCAGACAACAGGGACAAGGGACTGCGCCCCTCACCGTGCTCGTCGTCGCGGTGGTTGGCCAGGGGCATGGTGTACACGGAGCGGGTGATGCCGGGCATGGCGGGGGCGGGGGGCCGGGCTCCTGAAGCATGCAACTGGCAGAACTTGCCGGCGAAGTCCGGAGGACAGAGACAACGGTCAGGCTTCACGCACACCCCGCCGTTGTGACAGATCAAGGGACACAGAACTGTGGGTGGGGAGGAATCGAGGACATGCGCGATCGGCGCCCTCACCGGGCAGGTTCCCCTCATGCCCACGCACCCCATGCTAAGTCAGCCTCCAGCGTGGCAAGTAGGCCGCCAAGCTACGGGGGGAGGGGGGCCAGGCAGAGGACATCTTCTGGTTGTTTGCTTGGACCGGATGCAGTGGTTCAGCCTTTCTTTTTTGGTGTGTGCTGGTCCTGAGGATTGAACTCGGGGCCTGGACGTTTGCTCAAGGCTAGCACTGTACCACTTGAGCCACAGCACCACTTCCAGCCTTTTTCTGTGTATGTGATACTGAGGAATGGATTCCAGGGCTTCATGCAAGCTAGGCAATCGCTCCTCACTAAGCCACATTCCCAGTTCCCTGTAACTGACACCTGCTTTCGCCCATATTACAGCAATAGCCACTTTCTGCAAGAACAAGGTGTTCCGGCCCCGCCCACCTTCTCGACCACGCCCACCAACCATGAATCCCCGCCCACGGCCCCAGCGCTGCCATTGATCATGGGCCCCGCCCACTGGCCAAGCACCCCTTTCTAACATCACCTTTTGCCGCGGGTCTCCCGGCCTCACCCAGTCGTCTTAACCTGTTACCTTCAGTCCCGTCCACCCTTCGTCCTCACCCCGATTTGCCCTCCTTCCTTTATACCCAGTACCCCCCCCCCCCGCCCCACCTCCAGTAGAACCTGGGCGGGATAAGCAGCAGGAACGCGACTCCTCTCCCCTTTGCACGCCTTCGCCGGGCCCCAGGCCACCTCTGGGCGGGGCACTGCCAGCTGTGCGGCGGGGTAAACAAAAGAGAGGGGGTGCGGCGGGGGCAGGGCGGTGTCCCCACATTCCCCACCCTTGGGGAGCCCCGGGACCACAGAGCCAAAGGGAGATTGGATGTGTCTATGGAGGGCACCCCTCCCTCTCTTCCTCCCCTGAAAACAGCTGGAGACAGCTGTGCCGAGGGGAAGGAGGGTCGGCAGACCGCCAGGGCGGTCCAGAGAGGGGAGTTAGGATTCTGAGCCACCACTGTAGAGGGGGGAAAAAAAAGCACAGGAAAAGGCCACCTCAATTTAGAAGGGTCAGGGGACAGGAGTCCTGGGAGGACATCAGCTAGGTTCCCGGTACTCTGGTGTTCAAAGACAGCTTAAAGTTTCTAGAACAGAGAAGGCTAACTCAGGAAACAGAGGATCCCTTTTAAGTCCTTTAGGGGAGAGTTACGTAGAAATCAGGGCAATCAGAGCAAGCTTGGATGAAGTGGTAGTTTCTAGCACCTAAGAACCTTCACTGGCTGGGACTCTAAAATACTGTGGAAACCCCTTCAACCAAGAGATTGGGTGCCACCCCTGCCCTAAGTCTTTTGAATTGACTTAGGGGAGGGGAGAGATGAATCTGGAGTTTGGGGGATAATCCACCAATCAGGACCAACTCTGAAGTTCTCTGAAGATAGATGAGATTCAGTTCCTGGGAAGGGAATCAGCTGGATTTGGAGAGGCAGGCATTAGGGGTCTCTGATAGGATTGGGGTATTCCCTTGGAAATCTAAGGAAATGTGACCCCTTTGTGGGCTCCCCAACCAGGGAGGGAGTTATCACTGCACAGCGCTTGAAGTCTCGGGTTTCTCCTGGAAATGGAAAAAGTGGTCAAGGGACAATACTAGCATTCTCCAGAGAGGGCCACAGTTTGGGGGAATTACTTTAAAAGACTGGGAGGGAACTTGGCAGGAGGAGTTCGTCTCCAGAGTCTGTTAGCAGGGGTGTGGAGGGAACTCTAAATCTAGAGGCAGAAACTCAGGGGTCCCTGGTTAGAAGCATATCTGGATTCCAAATACTGTAGGGGGGGGGGGGCTTTGAGTGGCAGGGCCTATAAGAAGCTTCACTAATCTCATTTCACTAAGAATCGAGACTCCAAAATGGGAAGGGTCTCGGATGGAAATCCTGGGAAGCCAGCCAGACCAAGAGGCACTTCCTAGCTGCAGAAAGTCCTTCTCTGCCTTATCTTGGGCCTGGTTTGAGACTACCAGCCTCGATTCCCTGAAAGGTGCCCAGGCTGGAGCGTTCAGCTAGATGAGATGAGGACATCGGGGTCCTGTTGAGGTCAGCCTTCCTTCCACATGCCCCTCCTTGTGCCTCCAGGGGCTTGGCACCCGCCTGGGCACGGCGCCTGGCACGGGCACGTAGGGGCTGGGCCGGGAGGGAGTGAAGGAAGGAAGGAGGGAGGAAGGGGAGGAGAGAGGGAGTGGCAGCGGGAGGGGGCTCAGGCGGGAGATGAGCTCACGCCGGGGCCCGGGTTAGGCTGGCTAGGGGCCAGGCTGGGCGAGTTCTCGGCGCCAGGGGCCCCCACTCCCCACTCCAAAGGACCTGAGGGATGAGAGGCAGGGAGGATTCGACCTTCCCTGTAGTCTGCCCACCTCCACAATCTGGAACAACAGGTGGCCGCCGTTCTTTTCCATCTCACCTGAGCCCCCACCCCTAAGGCTCAACCCCCCCACCCCCCACGACCGGTGCATGCTCTTCGCCAGTCTCCTCCGCCCCCCAGGGGGCGCCCCTTCCCCAGGCCTCCTTTCTGGATTTCTGAAGCATGTGGGACCCCCCCCCCTGTAAAAAGCCCCTTCTCCCCCACCCAAAGGCACAGAAAGTCGGAGCCTCCAACCCACCCCCCCACCCCCGCCGCTGCTCCCACACAACCCTAAAAAAAAAAGGAAAAAAGTGTTCCCTTGGTTCCCCGGGGGCCCATTACACAGAGACTCCAAGTTAATTCCCTTCCCAAAAGTTCTGACGCTCCCACTTTTGACTCAGAGGCAAAAGCCGGCCCCAGCCCCCTCACGTGGGACAACACTGGTCCCCGGGACCTCAAACTGCTTGCAAAATCCAGACCCTGACGACCCACCACCCCGATCTAGGAGTGTGAGCCCCTCATCTTCACTACCCTAAGCATTAACTCTCTCCACCCCTCAGCACTGATGCACATGAAATCTGGGCTCCTTCTCCCAGCAGGATTTTTGTCTCTCTCCCACCCCCCCATCTCCTGGGGTCCTCCTCCCTCAGGGCACCCCCCCCCCCCGACTCCTTCGGCAGCATCACAGCCCCCATCCCCGCACTCACAGGCGCGGAAGCCGGGTCCCCCCGGGGCCGCCCCGCCGGGCGCGCCGCTGTCCACGCTGGTGGCGTTGCGGGGCGCGCAGGTCGGGGTGCAGCGGGAGCCGCTGGGCCCATGGATGCAGCGCAGGCCGCACACGGCCGGGGTGAAACGCACGCGGAGCCGCTCTCGGGGCCGGCCCTGCCCGGGTTGGGGCCCGAGCAGCACCAGGAATGACACCCAGAGCAGCCGCGCGCCGCCCGCCATGGCTGCAGCTCCGCCGCCCCAGCCCGCCCGAGGGGCCCGGCCGCGCCCGCCCGCCTGCCCGCCCGCCCGCGGGGGAGGGCGGCCGCGCCCCCGCCCAGGCCCCCCCTCCCCACCACTCCCTCCCCGGCGGCCGCGCAGGGGCGCGTGGGGCTGGGCGCTTAGCCAGAGGCGCAAAGGCTGGGCGCTAGACGCGCAGGGGGAAGGGGGGCGCCCCCTCCGCACCCCCACCCCGCACTCCAACAAGTGGAAGAAACTGGCAGGGGAGCATCCGGGAAACGAACAGGTGGGGGTGGAAGAACTTCCTCTCCCCCACCCCCACACAGAGTTAAATCCATTCAAGAGGAAATTCATAAAATGTAGAGAGGGGCGGGGGGGGGGGGGGGGGGGGAGTTGGGGGAGGGAGGGTCTCGCATTTGGGAAGCCAGCTGAAGGCTTATCTGCCTGGGGTTGATCATCTAGATAGGCAGCTGTTGTGTCCCATCTGAGCAGCCAGGTGACATCTGGGGGGTGAGAAGGGTCGTGACATCTAAAGGAATTAGGGGGGGAGGGGTCGAGATCCTGGAGAGGGGGCACACTTGGAGATGTAGCTGCATGGAGCCAAGACCCCTAGCAAACACACACACACACACACACACACACACAACACACACACACCTGGTCAGAGAAAGCCAGCAGAATGGATAAAGGGAAAGGATGGATTGAAGTTGCGGGCAGGGGTCCTCACATCTGGCCCTGGGCCCGCATCTGGAAGACTTTAGGAAGGAGGGGGCACATCTGGACCGAAGACCACAGCAGAAGGGGGACGGCTGGGGATGGCTGATTCTAGATGGCGTTCTAGTCCGGGGAGAGCCTGGGAAGGGTCCCCAGGGCACAGCAGGGGAGGGTCCAGCTAGGGGGGAAAAAGACTTTGACCCTCCCCCAGCCCCGCACCCCCAATCCTGGGCATTCTGTTCTGGGGCAGGCTCCAACCCGCACAATCGCTTTTGTTGTCTGGGCTGGTTTCAGCCTCGTTCTCTGCTGGGCCAGTGGGCCACCGCCCCCCTCTTCTTCTGAGGGAGCCCGGACGCCTGGCTTCCCGGCCCCACCCGGACGGGTCAGGGCCTCTGGCCTGCGTCTAGTCCTGTCCCGGGCTCACCTCGCACAGCCGGAGGCAGGGGTCCCTAGAGGTGGCCTAGTCCTGGGAGAGGGTGGGGGAGACTGAGCTACAATGGGGAGGGGTGGCCTGCAGGCGGCAGCTGGACCGTGGGAACCAGACGGTTTTATCAGACCCGGAACCCCCCCACCCCTCCCCAGGCGGAGGAAAAGCGGATGTTCTTACCCCGAGCCTGGCCCACTGGGGCACGCTGTGGGGGCCTTTTTTTCAGTAGTGCCCGGCCCCCTGGCCTTCCAAGCCTCCTCTTCAGCAAGGCTCTGGCCTCCTGTAACCTGGTTTGGGGGGGGGGTGTGTGCAGAGAAAGGGCTGGGCTGCACTGAAGCTTGACACCCCACCCCTCCAAGGATAGGGCCTCCCCCACACCAGGAGTTCTCCCAGTGGAGATGAGCCCCCTCCCCCACCTCACCCCACTCCCCAGCTCCTTTACAGTGAACAGGCCTCAGTGTTCTGTAGACAGCTTGGAAAGAAAAAGAACAAATTCAGAAAGAGAAGCAGCGAGACAGAAACAGACACTAAAGAATCTCAGCTAGGCTGGAAAAAAGAAATAGAAATACTGACACAGGCCAATAGTGAAAGGAGGGGAGGGTGTCCCCAAAAGATTGGATAGGAAGTGGTGTTGTGGCTCAAGTGGTAGAGTGCTCGCCTTGAGCTGAAGAGCTGAGGGACAGTGCCCAGGCCCAGAGTTCAGGCCCCACGACTAACAAAAAAAAAGATTGGATAGGAAAGTGAATGGTCACTTACGTCAGTGGCTGCCAGTTGAGGGACACCTGTCTCTTGTTCTCGCTGGGGCTGGGACTAGGGCTTGGCACTGGGGGTACTAGGGTAGGGCACTGCCAGAGGCCTGTGCATTCTTCAGGTGTGCAGCTTCGGACCCTGCAGGAGGCTTCAGAGACAGCTAGGGCTAAGTGAAGAAGGACCAGCTTATCTAGTGCATCTCATTTTCCCACTAGAATGAAACTGGGGAATGGAGCCCCCCCCTCCCCCCCGCTGCACCCAGCCCTTACCCTCTTTCACCCCCTACCCATATCCCATCAGGAAGAAGGAAGAACCCACCTCGGGTACAACGGCTCCTCCTAGGTGCCTGGTCTAAGCAGCAACGGCAAGATGCAATGCTATAAAAAAATAGGGGAGAAGAATAGCCCCACCCCCAACTCAGAACTTCCCCTAAAGGAAAGCAGGGAAGGAGGTAAGGATTCTTTAAGTGTGTGACAAACTTGCATTAAAATTGTTTTTTTTTTAATTTCTGTTTGCCTCAGTTTCCCCATCAGTGCAATGGGCTTAGATACTGGAAGAACAAAGGCCAAAACAAAGTTATCCCCCCCACCCCACCCCCAGTCCTGGGGCTCAAACTTAAAGCCTAGATGCTGTTTCTGAGCTCCTTTTGCTCAAGGCTAGCACTCTACCATTTGAGCCACAGCAGCATTTCTTGCTTTTTCGGAGTAGTTTACTGGAGATAAGAATCTCATGGACTTTCCTGCCCAGGCAAGCTTTGAACCATGATCTCAGCAACCTGAGTATCTAGGGTTACAGGCATGAGCCATGAGCATCTGGCTTGCAAAGTTACTTTCATGTAATCTTATGAAGTCCACTTGGCAGCTATGGCTTTGTTACAGGATAGATTTTAAATTGTTATTTAAAAAAAAAAATAACGAGGCTGAGTGCAGATGGCTCAACCCTGTAATCCTAGCTACTCAGGAGGTTGAGATCTGAGGATTACGGTTTGAAACCAGCCTGGGCACGAAAGTCCAAGAGACTCCTGTCTCCAATAAACCACCAGAAAACCAGAAGTGGCGCTGAGGCTCAAATTGTAGAGCACTAGCCTTGAGCTGAAGAACTGAGGGACAGTGCCCAGACCCAGAATTCAAGACCCACAACGGACAAAAAGAAAAAAAAAAATGAAGATTTCTAAGAACATTCCCAAATCCCCGACTGGTTAGGATCTAGAACTCCGCCCCCCTGTTCTAACCCTCCAGCCCAAATTGAGATTCAGGCGACACCCTGAAGCCTGGTCGATAGGTGGTGCTACAACCTTAGGTCTCTGCGACTGGGCACTGTTGGTATCTGCTCCCTGTGACTGTAGGTCCAGCAGGGTGCTGAGATGTGGAAGGGGCTACTGACATCCAGGATAGGCAATCTCCAGGCCTGAGTTCTACCCCGTTCCTGCCTTCCATGCTGGAGCCAGCATCTCCTGATCTGTGGGTCTCAGCTTCCTGCCTAGACTGGAGGAAGGACTCTTTCCTGAAGACATCTCTACACCCAGAAAAGTTTCAGTGGCCAAGTACATGGCAATCCAGCCTGCACCACTCCCCCCTCCCCCCCCTCCAGACAAGTCCATTATCCTCAGGCTTAAGGGGGGGGAGTAGGGATGAGGGCTTGCGCCCAGACCCCCAGAGCAGAGCAATGGAGGATGCTGAGAAAGGGGTCATCTGCTTATTGGACCTATTCCAGACACGTGGGGCCCAGTGGAGAAGGAGGCCTCCCTCCCACACCCAAGGGACTTCTGAGACCCCCTTCAATCCTGTCACGATCCCTCCTGCTTTTTCTTCGGGTTAACCCCTTCCCGGCTCCGCCCCCCAGCGGGGCTCGGGTTACTAAATGCATTCGCAGAGACTAAGGCGGGAGCAGAGCCCGAGGCCTTTGTAACGGAGTGCTAGGCCGCTGGGCAAGGGGGTGGAGGGCTGGGCAGACTGTTTGTTTGGATCGTGTCACCCCTGGATAGGAGGGGGTGCTTATAACTCCCCAATCAGTAGGACATTCTGCATCTCCCGCCGCGAAATAAATGGTAACTCATTCAATCCTGGAGTCCTAGGGCATGCCCAAACCTGAAGATCTCCTCCCTCCCATGATTCCCCCCGAATCCCCATGCCAGCACCCCCTGAATCCATGTCTTCCTAATCTGTTAGAAAAATCAAAAGGTCCTTGTAAATGAATCCAGTGTCCCTGGAAATCCAATACATCTCAACTTTCCCGTAAACACTCTCCTGAGGCTCCCAACACCTTTCTTCCTTGAGAACGTCCCCAAATTTGGGGAACTCCGTCCTAGCTCATCTCTATCATTCTTAATGGAATCCGAAGCCTCTTCTCCGAAATCGACTGGGGATACTCTCCAGCCTCCCCCCCCCCCCCAAAAAAAAGAAATAGTAAGCCCCTGGATTTGCAGGACCTTATCCATCTCTCTGCACCATACTAGGGGAGGGGAGGGGCGCTTTCCTCTTAAAATCCCAATACTTCTAGGAGTCTGACCCCTACACAATAGGGACCCTAATGGATCCCCGGGCTCGGTCCTCTTCTCATCACTATGTCCGTGTGTTTGAACGCCCCTACATCCGAAAGCCTTGGTTCTCCCGGACCTCCAGACTTACTGGGTGCACCAGGAAGAAGGGGCTGCAGAGGGAGGCTTACCCGGCCGGGCGGCCCAGGTCCTCCGCGACCTCCATGGCCGGGCTGGGGCCGGGGCTGGGGTCGGGGCTGGGGTGGGCAGCGGCCGCAAGCATCAGCAATATCAGCGTCAAGAGAGGGTGGCGGCTGCGGCGGCCGAGCTGCCACATCTTGTCCGGCTCCCGGCGGGCGGTCTGTCCGGCCGGCCGGTCCAGCTCCGCGGGACCCCAGCCCCGCCCCCGCCCCCGCCCCTGCTCCAGGGACGACTCACTTTCTCCACTGTCCCAGCCTGCAGGCTGCAAACTTCCCGCCAATCAGACCCCGGCGCTTGCCAGCGCTCCGCATTTAGCCAATCAGGTGGCGGCAGGGGCGGGGCTAGATGGACAGGTGCGGGGCGGGGGCGGTGGAGGAAGGCCGGGGTCTGAAGTTTTCAAGGCGGCGGGAGCAATCCTGGAGTCAGGCACCGAGTCCTCAAACCCTCTTAGGCAGTAAAGGTTCCCGATGAGGGGGTTGCTTACAACCGGGAGGCATGCACAAGGAGGCACATGGTCCCTAAATTAGATTTCTGCTGGCAGGCCACATCCCTCCCTCACAGTTCTGACTGGTGTACAAGTCACAGCCCCACAGTACCCATTTCCCACGCCAAGGGTACTAAAGATTTGGGGGTGAAAATCTTTTGGTGTGTGTGTGTGTGTGTGTGTGTGTGCCAGTACTGCCTTGAATTTATAGCATTTTGCTGGTTACCTGGAGATGAGTCTCATGTACTTTTCTGCCAGGGCTGGTTTGGAACTAGATTCCTCAGATCCCAGCCTCTTGATTTTCACTCCCAAAACACCTGGTTTGGGAGTGAAAATCCTGGTGGCTTACACCTATAATCCCAGTACTTAGAGAGGCTGAGGTAGGAGCTTCTAGTTCAAGGCCAGCCTGGCCCACATATCCTATCCCTGACTATCCCTGCCTCTTCCAGAGAAATAGTATGGGCCAGGTTCAGGTCTTTTCTTCTGAGGGTCCCAGAGCCACACTAAACTTTCCAAGATTTGTCCCTTCCCAAGGCCCTATCCCTCTGTTCCAGGATCAACATCTGCAAGAGCTTGTCCTGGGGGGTGGGGGGAACCACTCTTGGCTTCTTCTACCCACAGATTCTGTTCCAAGAGAACTGCAGCTCTGCCCTATTCAGCACCACCCTGCTTCTGCTCCTAGGAGGTACTAGATTCCTTTCCTGCTACTAGATTCCTTTACTGCTTGCATCTTTTATTTGTGCTGGTCCTGGGGCTTGATCTCAGGGCCTGGGCACTGTCCCTGAGCTTTTTTGCTCAAGGCTGGCACTCTACCACTGAAACCACTTCCAATCTTTTTGGGTAGATAATTGGAGATAAGAGTCTTAGGGACTTTCCTACCTTGGCTTTCAGTCTGCAATCCTTAGATCTCAGCCTCCTGAGTAGCTAGTAGAGGCATGAAGCTACCAGTGACTAGCTCATTGTAATTTGCATGTGTGTGTGGGGTGGTGGTGGTGGTACTGGGGCTTGAACTCAGGGGCTTGCACTCTTGCTCAGCTTTCTTGCTCATACTTGAGTCAGGAGTAAATACAAATTTCTGCCCTCTTTTCACATAAGACTTGTTTTTCTTCCCCCTAAGACCCTGCCTGTAGGGCTTCAGACCCTGCCCCCTGACCACCTCCATTTTCCTGATTGGTCCCACCATACCTCTTCCAGAGAAGTCCCATACTTAGGATCCTAGCACCGCCCCCCCCCTCCCCGCTTTCCATGTTTGTTCAGCTTCTGTGTTCTCTCCCAGCCATCTGATTTTTTTTTTTGGGGGGGGGGTCCGGTCATGGGACCTGAACTCTGGGCCTGGGTGCTGTCCCTCAGCTCTTCAGCTCAAGGCTAGTACTCTACCACTTGAGCCACAGAGCCACTTCCGGCTTTTTTCTTTTTGCTTATGTGGTGCTGAGGAATCAAACCCAGGGCCTCATGCATGCAAGGCAAGCGCTCTACCACTGAGCCACCTTCCCAGCCCAGCCATCTGATTCTTGAGGTTTCCTTAGTCCTATAGCAATAGCCCATCTTCAGTATTCCTGGGCTAAGTTTACACAAGGCACTGGCCCCTGGTACTACCTGCAGAGCCCACCTCAGACTAAAAACAAACAATCTAGGTTCACCGGTTCCTTATTTTTACTCCTGCCAAGGAGTGGTGTGCGGAGTGAAGCTTTCACCCCTCCCTCGCAGTGAGACACTCAGGCTGACTCACACTGCTACACTTCCACCGTGATAGCCACCTACGGCAATCCCTATCTCATACAAACACCTAGAAATCTGGGCCCACCATCATTCACGGACAGGCATCCCCCTGGGGCAGTTAACAATGGCATGGCTGTCTGATCACAGCCATTCAGGGACTGACCCAGCTGGAGGCCAGAGTGCCCGGCTCTGCCCACATGTGCTCTGCCTTTGCCTTTGTTTGACCTCAAAATCCCCACTCACATGGCCCTACAGGCCACCATGGTCCCTCACCCATTTCCATCCCCCTTCCCACATCCTACCCTGTGGCTGGAGCATTTGCTGGGGGCGCTGCCGAAATCTCTCCCTTCTGCCTGAGATCCAGGGCATCTTCAATGCTCGTTGCTAGGCAACAGCCTCTGGCTCACCACTGCAACTTCCGGGGATGGTATTGGCCTCCCTTCCTCCCCTCCCCATTATTTGGAGTACCCAGCTCCCAGTCTTTTCCTATCTTCCAGAATCTTATCGATGTTATCATCCCTGGATTCTGCTCTGATTACTAACCCTTCAGAACCTCTCAGAGGTCTAGTCCTAAGGCATTCCAGAAGCTTCTCCCTATCATTCTCCTCTCCACACACTTTTTCCCTACTTTGTGTGTGTGTGTATCAGTGGTGGGGCTTGAACTCTGGGTCTGGACACTGTCCCTGAGCTCTTCAGCTCAAGGCGAGCACTCTACCACTTGAGCCACAGTGCCACTCCCAGTTTTCAAGGACTTGACTGTCCAGGCTGGCTTTGAACCGTGCTCCTCAGATCTCAGCCTCCTGAGTAGCTAGGATTACAGGCTTAGCTACTGTACTCTTGCCTGGCTCTGTATAGTCTTATTTGGAGAAAAACAACAACAACAAAAGCCAGGTGCCTGTGGCACTAATCCTAGCTACTCAGGAGGCTGAGATCTGAGGAGCATAGTTGGAAGCCAGCCCAAGCAGGAATGCCTGTGAGACTCTTATCTCCAAATTAACCACCAGAAAACTGGAAGTGGTGCTGAGGTTCAAAATGGTACAGTGCAAGCTTGGCGGGGGGAGGGGAAGCTCAGGAATAGGTCCCAGGCCCTGAGTTTAAGCCCCAAGACCCCCCCCCCCCAAAAAAAACAAACAACCCTCAGAAGAACCCTTCAGTGTTCCAGATATAACATCCCATCTTTCTCTATTACTTTCAGATCATGAGATTCTACATTCACAAGAGTGCTCTGCATTGGGCAATGATGTCAGTATTTTAGATGGGGGGAGCATTATATAATATCTCTGTATTCTAGACATGCTGCCATTCTATATGCCTCCCCCTTCTCTATAATTCCTAACAGTCACATATTTCTCAGTGTTCTGAATGTCCTAGAATATTTAAAACAAAAATTCATGACAGGCATGCAACTCAGTGGCTGAGAACTTGCCTAGCATGCATAAGGCCTTGGGGTTTGATTTTGTTTTGTTTTCAGTTGTGGGGCTTTAACTCTGGGCCTGTGCACTGTCCCTCAGCTCTTCAGCACAAGGTGAGTATTCTATCACTTAAGCCACAGCGTCACTTCGGTTTTCTGGTGGCTTATTGGAGATAAGAGTCTCACAGACGTTCCTGCCTGAGCTGACTTTGAACGGAATTCTCAGATCTCTGCCTCCTGAGTAGTTAGAATTACTGGTGTGAGCCACAGGCACCAAGCTAGGGCCTTGGGTTTTATCCCCAGCACCAAGCAAAACAAAATTTGCTTTGGAGTTTGAGGAAATCTGAAACACACAGGTTTTAGAATCCATTGCCTTTTAGGTCAACTGTTTACTCTAGATTTTGAGAGTCAGGAATCTCCATGCCATCTGGGTGTAGCAGTCCATGTCCATAATTCCAGCTACTTGGGAGACAAGACCTATAGCCATCCATCACAGTGACCATACTAAAGGGTTCAGAAATGCTCATCTGAACCAACTCAAGCCAATGATGATCAACCCTATGATTTCTGCTGCTAGAAAGCAAAAGAATGTTAAAGAGCTCCCTAAGATCGTCTCGCCACTGATTGACTATGATGCATCCTAGAGGAAAGCAAATCCAAGAGATAAGAGAAAGCCCTTGGGGATGAGGGTTTTGAACCCCTGGATCCAGCCATGCCTGAAGTCAGATGGTAAGCCATTTCTTAAACCAGGAGAGGCAAATACTCATAAATTTACCACCAGGAACCCGGTTAGGACCCACATCTCCCTAGGGGCCACCCCCTCCCCAAACAATCTAAGAATACAAAACAGGGTGTTGGCAGTGAAAATGTTATTGAGGAGAGTTACTTTGGCTTCCTAAAAAAGTAGTGGTGGGGGGAGGAGGGGAAATGGAGACCTAGTAACAAATGATTGCTTGGAGGAGGCCCTGGCCCTGAACCCAGGGCTCCCACGGGAAGCAGGCAGGGAGGGGGAAAGGGGAGAAGGGCACCTGAGTCCCCTGGGAGCAGAGTATCCAAAGGCACCTTGGCAAGCTGGGTTTAAAAGGAAGTTTCGTTGAGTTTCTTCTTGGGAGATGCAAGGGGTGTCCCAAGACCCGCCGAGGGCCGAGGGGCTGGTGTGGGTGGCCGCCGGGGCTCTGGCGCGCTCCGTACCAGTTCCTGGCATCTTTCCACAAAGCTGCCTCCCCCTCGGCGCCGGATCTCTGCTTGTGGGGGGCTGGGGCTCCCATGGCGACCACACAGTGAGGTGTTGCTGGAGGCTGAGTGGAGACTGAAGGGGGTGGGGGAGGTGGGCACCTGGCATCATGGGGCAGTGGGCTGCCCCTCCCCCAAGGGCCACACTGCTGTTGCCTGTCATACCCCCCCCCCACATACACACCATAAAATGGAGGAGAAATAGAGCTACTACCTGGTAAGTGAGGTCCGGGGTGAGGGGCTGGGGAGGGAGGACCGGGAGGAAGCCAGTGGGGCCAGCTCACACTGCTCCAACTGTCCCATTAACTCTTCCTCCGTCAGACCACCTGCTGGGGGCCCAGAAAGCAGCGTCAGGGAGCAAGACAGTAGTAGTGCAAGCATCCAGGGTTGAGATGGGTGAAAAGATTTGGAGAGTGACAGGGAGGGGTCAGAGGTGAAGGGGAGGATGGGGAAGTGAGGGTAAGGAGCTGGAGGACAGGGTGAGAAAGGAGATCACACCACAGTAGGCTTTGATTCAGGCTCTGGAGTGACAGGGGGCCCTGGGCTGGGTTCAGAGCGAGGCAGGGAGGGTGGGCGTTGGTGGTATAGTGGGTAGCACAGCTGCCTTCCAAAGTGAGGCAGGGAGTACCAGGTGCCTGGCCAAGGCCATCCATGGCTGTGGTCAGATCCCACATGGCCAGGCTGCCATTGGCCTGCCCAGTGAGCAGGTAACGCCGGGGTCTGGAGCCCAGTCGCCGGGATCCCTCGCACTCCAGCACGGTGAAGGCGGTAGTGGCGGAGCCGTCCACGGAGCGCACGGAGCACACCCTGCGGACAACAAGCCATCAGGGGCTGCGCTGGCTGTGCAAGTCCGCTTGTGTGTGTGTGTGTGTGTGTGTGTGTGTGTGTGTGTGTGTGTGTGTGTTGTTTTGCTTTTGCTGGTTCTAGGACTTGAACTGAGGGCCTGGGCACCATCCCTTACTTAACTTTTCCACTAAGATTAGCACTCTACCATTTGAGCCACCAAGCATGCTTGCCCTCCCATGGAGACCCCTTTTCTGGCCTCTGTGGCCCAGAGGACAGTCCTTACCGCTGCCCAGTGGCTGAAAGACGCACGAAGAGCTGGCTGGCACTGGGCACCACCTTCTGAATGAACACCTGCTGGTCATCTCGCTCACCATAGGGGCCTGGACAGCCAGGGGTGGGTGTTCAGGGCTAGCCAGGGACCCTTGGACCTCCAGACCCTAAGGCCTGCTTTCCCACTGCTGAACCCCCTTCTAGACCTAGGTCCTGTTCCCAGGCTGCTGGGTGGGGTCAGGGAAGAAGAAAGGGACCAGTGGTTAATTCAAGCCCATCAGGGGATTGGGTGCTGGACTGGGGGTGGGTGGGGCCCTGGGCCAGGAAGCTATCAGTAGGAATTGGTGAATGTGACAGCCCCACAGGAGTCATCAGGGGGTCAAGTGGAGGTTAGCAGGGGCCAGCAATCAATGGTGAAGGTCAACTAGAGCAGCTCGATTGGTCGACAGAGACCTACAGGGGTCATTGGGGAGGGGCGGGCAAGGCAGTGGGGAGGGGCCAGGAGCCAGGAAGTACCAATGTCATTGCCAGCACTGCAGCCTCCATGCCCATCAGCTGACTCCAGAGCTAGGATCTTGAAGGATGCCAGGGGCGTGGAGCCCGGCTGTGTGGAGATCATGCCACGGAAGCGGGTCACAGACCACGTCCGCACGTGGTTGTTGTCAGCACAGACTGAGGAGAGCACAGGACGGCAGAGAGTCAGGCTCAGCCATGGGATTCACAAAGCTCAACCCTTCCAGAACCCCAGAGTGACTCTTTTTTGCCTCTCTGCGGCCATCCAGCTGGTCTCTCCTGCAGGGGACCCACCTGAAATGAGGTGCTTCTCAGACAGCATGATCTTGATGACAGGGCTGCGATGCACAGTGAAGGTCTGGAAGAGCTGGGGCCCCGAGCCCACGGTCTCGGGGTGCTGCACAATGACTCGTACACCCCCCGAACTGGTGCCATAGGCGATCTCAATCCAGTTCCCACTGTCACCTGGTGGGGGACAAAGACAGGACCTGCATCACAGAGAGACAAAAACCAAGGGGGACAGAAAGAGACAGATCCAGGGGAGATGCCAGAGATCAGGGGGCAAGACAGAGAGACAGACAGGCAGGCTGGCAAGTAGACAGATACAGACACACAGAGAGATGGTAAGATGAGGGAAATACGGGGCTAGGAAGACAAAGGAACACAGTACAAAGACCACAAGCAAAATTTAAGACAGTAAGAGAGAAGAGATAGAAAAACAGAGACACGGGGAACTAGGAAACTGAATTAGGATGACACAGAATCAGACAAACAGATAGATATGACATGAAGAGAGAAAAATGAAAGTCTGCTGGGCACGAAGTCTACAGGACTTTTTCTTCCCGGGGTTGACTTCAAACTGCAATCCTCAGATCTCAGGCTCCTGAGTAGCTAGGATTGCAGGTGTGAGCCACCAACACCCAGCTACCTTTCTGGTTTTATGAACATACAAATGTCATGCCTTAGACTGGCGCCAGTGGCTCACGCCTGTAATCCTAGCTACTCAAGAGGCTGAGATCTGAGGATCTCCGTTCAAAGCCAGACTGGGCAGGAACTCCCATGAGTTTTCCAATTAACCACTCCTACTCCAGTTAACCACCAGAAAATCAGAAGTAGCATTGTGGTTCAAGTGGTAGAGCCTTAAGTTGAAGAGCTCAGGGACAGCACCCAGGCCCAGAGTTCAAGCCCCACCACCAACAAACAAACAAAAAAAAGTCATGTCTTGACCATAGGTATAGAAGAGAAACAGCAAGATGAACTCCCAGCGGCCAGTTCTGCCTCCAGTGGAGAGGCTGGGCCCCAGCTAAGCCCTAAAAACACTGCTCCATGAATGTTTGCTGAATGACTAAATAATAAATCCCATGCTAGGCCACACAAGTGGCAACGTGGCTACAGGCTGGGCCTGGGATGGCTGGTAATGAGGTGGGGGGCAGAGTAAGTTGTGTGAGAGCTTACTGGTCTTGGGGGTGAGGTAGACACTGAGGGCGGTGACCCCATCCTCCGCAGGGTCCCGGTAGAGTTCGCTGACAAGGAGGTCATTGTCCTTCATGCGTAGCGGAAACTTCTGTACATCTGGGGAAGATGGGGGGGAGGGATGAGTGAGGCCGTGTTCCAGGCACCCAGCTGGACCCCTCTGGTCCCCAGGAAGCTGTTGCTCACCCACATAGTAGATGGAGCCATTGCTGCAGCCCAGGAGGAGGAAAGAGCCAGCTGCATCGTAGCTGGTAATTGGCTGCACCTCTTGGACCTGAAGCCAGGACAGGCAGGGCAGGAGGTGGTAGGTAGTATGGTACCTTCCACACCTTTGCTTCTATTGTACCTCTCACAAAGTGCCCTCCTTCCCTCCAAGACCCACCTTGGTCCCAAACTTACTTCTCCCAGCCTGGCCAGGTATAGCCTATCTCTACGTGTCCTGTACCTCCTTTTTGAACTTTTTTTTTTTTTTGTCAGTCGTGGGGCTTGAACTCTGGGCCTGGGAGCTATCTCTGAACTCTTTTTTTTTTTTAATTAATAAGTTTTTTTTTTAATTGTGAAAATACCATACAGAGTGGGTTACAATTACATGAGCAAGGTAATGAGTACATTTCTTATCAAGCATTGTTGCCTCCTCCTTTGTTTCCCCTTCCCATCCCAGCCCTCCCATCTCCCCGGTCCCCCCTCTGCCATAACATCTTGTACATCTCATTGTTGCAATGGGTCCACCTGTATCCCTGTTTAAACAATTTGTTTTTTCCCTTCCCCTCCACAAATTATACCAACATCAAATACAGTGAAAACAGGGGTTCTACCGTGGAGGACTCTGAGCTCTTTTGTTCAAGGCTAATGCTTTAACAGTTGGAGCCACAGCGCCACTTCCAGTTTTTGCATGGTTAATTGGAGCTAAGAGTCTCATGGACACTTTCCTGCTTGGGCTGGCTTTGAACTGTGATCTTTAGATCCCAGCCTCCTGAGTAGCTAGGATTACAGGTCTGAGCTACCAGCACATGGCCTTCCCTTTTGAACTTCCATCTCTGTTTCTCTTCAATTTGTTTTCTGTGTACTGGGCATAGGGCTTGAATTCTGGGCCTGGGCACTGTCCCTGAGCTTTTTTGCTCAAGGCCAGTGCTCTACTGCCTGAGCCACAGCACTACTTCTGGTTTTCTGGTAGTTCATTAGAGGTAAGTGTCTCATAGACTTTCCTACTCAGGCTGGCTTCCAACCCCAATTGTCAGATCTCAGCCTCTTGAGTAGCTAGTATTACAGGCATGAGCCACCAGTGCCTGGCCTGGGAAGACCTTTGACACACACATAACCAGGCTCTGCCCACCACTGGATCTCCTGGCTTTCTCTAGGTACAGTGGGAAAGAAAGGAACCCCTCTTTCAGGCTACATGATCTGGAAAGGGGGACTCCAGGCTGGCCAGAGCTCTGACCTGCCAGTGCTTGGTGACAGCATTCCACACCCCAATGCGCCCCGTGTGGCTTGTGGCGATGAGTTGGTTCCCCACGAAGAACAAGGCCTCCACAGGCACACCCAGATGGAAGACTCCTGTGGGGGACAAGGACGGGACAAGGAGAGTCAGCCAGGACCCCATTTCACAGGGAGGGATGTGGCAGCAGGAACGCCAAGGCTCAGAGGATCCTATTGGGCCATGGAATTCTTTCCAGTAGAAATTCCAGCAGAAAGAAAGTAAAAAAAAAAAAAAAAAGCTGGGTGCAGGTAGCCCATACCTATCATCCTCCATATACAGGAGACTGAGATCTGAGGATAGCAGTTCAAAGCCAGCTCAGGCAGGAAAGTCTGTGAGACTCTTATTTCCAATTTCTCAGCAAAAAGCAGTAAGTGGACCAGCCTTAAGTAAAAAAGCGAAAGGACAGCACTCAGGCCCTGAGTTCAAGTCCTAGTACTTGTACAAACAAAAACAAATGAATAAAAATATGTTGGTTTAGGATGGATATATTTTTTCCCAAGGACAGATTGGTTTAGAAGTTGAGCACTGGGCTGGGAAGGTGGCTCAGTGGCAGAGTGCTTGCCTTGCATGCATGAGGCCCTGGGTTCGATTCCTCAGCACCACATAAGCAAAAAGAAAAAAGCCAGAAATGGCGTTGTCGCTCAAGTGGTAGAGGGCTAGCCTTGAGCTGAAGGACAGCGCCCAGAGTTCAGGCCCCACGACCAGACCAAAAAAAAAAAAAGTTGAGCACCAACAACAACACAGATTCTAACATGCCCTGGGATTTTACTCCCATGGAACATTCTAACAGAGCAAAGAGATCTAACAAAGAGTGGACTTTGATGGGGGAGAAAATTGTACCAGGGAGGATTTTCCTAAGAAGATTTTCCTCAGAAGAGGATTTTCCTAAGAGACCAAAGAATTCCAACCAGATTTGAAATTCTTTTTTTCTCACCCATTACTGAGGTTTGAAGTAAGGGCCTCACACATGCGTGGCTGGTGCTCAACCACTTGTGCCATGCTTCCCTGGCTTTTTGCTGATTATATTAGAAATAGAATCTCAAAGATTTTCCTGCCCCAGACTGGCTTCAAACTGAGATCTAAACTTCAGCCTCCTGAGTTACAGGTGTGAAGCATGATGCTCAGCCAGGATATGAAATTCTGAAGGGTTGGAGCTTTCTCATGGGATACAGAGAATTCTCATGGGATACAGAGAATTCTCATGGGGTTAAGAATGCTGTGGGGTGGGCTATTTTAACAGTCTACAGAATTCTCCAGGGCAGAGGGTTCTGGAAAAGGCCAGCAGTAGTACCTATCTCAGAGCCTCCGCCTTCTGCCTGCAGAGCCCACAGCAGGATCTCGTTGCCTGTGGCCACGGCCACCATCTTGTCATGCTCCCCCAGTGCTCCACCAGGTACGCGGGCCGTTAGTGCCAAGCGCTCGATAGGCCAGTCTAGGCGGGGGCTAGAAAATACCAGCTGCCAGCCAGAGGCTTCCTTCAGCCTGATGGATGTGAGGGGAAGGGAGGGGAGGGATTACTAACCACCATCTCAGACCATCCCCATCCAAGATCAGACCCTCCCCCCCCTCGCTCCCCTTTCCTGGCACCTATAGCAGACAAGAAACTGGGCATAGGCCACAGCAATCCAGTTGTGGTGACCGCACACCAATCGCACCATCCCAGGTTCCTCTGGTTGTCCTTGGGAAAAAGACAAGGGCCTATAATAGGATCATAGGGGTCCACAGGCTGCCCTTACCTCCCTGGAAGACAGAAAGCTACCTGATGGTGGAGAAGGGCCTCGCTCATCCAGCATTCGACCCAGCAGCCCTGCATTTCCCAGATTGGGGGGCATCGTGTTGCTTCGACGTACAGGGGCTGGGCGTACTCCACCCTGCTGGGGCCCCACCAGGCTATGTCGGTTTCGGCGCTTCACTGGGAACACTGGGGGAGGGATAGAGTAGTGATAGTTGTAATGACAGTTATGGGTGTATATTGCCTCCTCCCTTCCCTCATGTTCATACAGATGCAGCATTCAATGACACTGAGTCACACAGCAAGTTTGTCCCTTCCCAGTGCCTGTAAGTCTATTGCAGAGCAGAGTTTAGGGCTACTACAATATTAACATGAAGAGAAGCTTTCAGCCAGGCCACAGTGGTTCACGTTGATAATCCTAGCTACATAGGAGGCTGAGATCTAAGGATCATGGTTCAATGTCAGCCCCAGCAGGAAAGTCCAGGAGACAATTAGCTCCAATTTACCAACAAAAAATCTGGAAATGAAAGTGTAGCTCAAGTGGTAGAGCTCCAGCCTTGAATGAAAAAGCCAAGTGAGGGCTGGGAAGGTGGCTCAGTGGTAGAGTGCTTGCTTTGCATGCATGAGGCCCTGGGTTCAATTCTTAAGCTCCACACAAGCAGAAAAAGCCGCAAGTGGCACTGTGGCTCAAGTGGTAGAGTGCTAGCCTTGAGCTGAAGAGCTGAGGGACAGCGCCCAGGCCGAGTTCAAGCCCCACGACCGACCAAAAAAAAAAAAAAAAAGAAAAAGCCAAGTGAGAGCATAAGGCCCCGAGTTCAAGCCCAGTGTTAGCACTCATGTGTGCATGCATGCATGTACACACATTTTTTGGAAACGGGTAAAGCTAAGGAAAATAATAGCATAGGTCCTGGCAAACTTTACAACTGTAGATAATGACTGAGGCTAAGGAAATAAAGCCATACATCAAATCTCCCCTTTCTGTCCCTTCTACTAATCAGCAGTCTAGTGGACTACAATTCCCAACAGCCTCTGGGGGCACTTTCTACAAAAGGTGGGCTGGCTGGTTGTCTTGGGGAGTCTAATCAATAATTTCCTCCTTTCTATGTGAAGGACCCTAGTTCTTCCAAAATCTTCCTAAACAGAAAACAATGCTGGACTACAACTTCCATTGTGCTCTAGTGTATGCTTCTGAGCTTTCAAGGAATTATCTGGCCCACTGCCTCATGGAAAATACTGTTTCCTACTTCCTCTCCAAGCATCAGGCCAAACATCTGATACAGAACTACAATTCCCATCAGGTCTCAGGATTCACAAGGCTGAAGCATTGTGTTAAATATAGATTACAGCCTATCCTTTGGGATTTCTCACCTGGTGGAGGTAGATAACCATTGAAGAGGACATTTCCACAGGAAGATCGATCCAACTCCTCCCTCAGCTGTAGACGACGAACTGCAACGAAGGACTCAAAGCTGGGCTTTAAGGGATGCTGAGGCAGGTCCCTTTCTACCTCCCTATCTCTTTCTCTACAGAATAAGCAAATCCCCTCAGAGGCAGAGCCAAATCCCTGTGGTCTTAGTTCTAACCCACCCCTCTTTCAGGAGAGAGAGGGAATAAAGATAGGGAACATTCAGGAAGCATCCCCAGAAGACTGGTTGCCTATGCAGTGAGCATATTAACTGAGAATCCCCACTTACCTAGTGGAGTGAGCCCATAGAACTGGGCTTCATGAAGGAGACTGGAACCGTGGACACCCCTGGGTAGAGGAATTGACTAGGAGTCAAGGTATGGAGTATAGGAAAGGGCAAAGAATTCTGAAGGAGAAGTTAAAGAAAACTGTACAGAAAATTTGGGAAGGCAGTTTTTTTTTTCCCTTCTTTTCCCTCCCTCCTCTTTCTTTCCTTCCGCTTCCTCCTTCCTTCCTTCCTCCCTCTCTCTCTCTCTCTTTTTCTTTCTTTCTTTTTATTTGCCAGTACTAGGGCTTAAACACAGGGCCTAGTGCTGTCCCAGAACTTTTTCACTCAAGGCTGGCACTCTACCACTTGAACCATAGCAATACTTCTCATGACTTTTTGGAGATATGAGTTTCCTAGACTTTTCCTGCCTGGGTTGGTTTTGAACTGTGCTCCTCAGACCTCGGCCTCCTAAGTAGCTGAAATTACAGTTATGAGCCATTCTCCCTAGCTAAAGCACTCATTTCTACTAGAATCAAGAGTCTAAGTAAGCCAAATGGAGCGGAGCTTTTTGGTTATCTTAAGAGATTTCTAAGGGTTTGAAGATGGTGGTGTTTCCTCCCTCCTTTTCATCCATACTAACCTGGGGTCCAATTCTTTGGTGCGTAGGAAGTTGAGGATGGGGGCAAAGACGGTGGGGTCCCTGTCGATGAAGATCTGAGGGAGGAAGAGAGGGAGGGATGGAAAGATGGGGTGGGGGGGGGATTTGAAAAGGATGGACAGGACAAAGCGGGACTGAGTGGGATGCTCTCCCCGCTATGGGCCGCCCCATTTCAGCCGTGGCTTGACTACTCACAGCCCCAGTCTCATCTTTCAGAGTCGAGATGCGTCCGCTCAGAAGACTACAGCAAGGAGACACAGCAGGTAACCACACACCAGAGATGGGAGATAGGAAAATGGTGCAGATTAGGTTTCCCCCCTCCCACCCCGCCCTCTTTTCCCACCCCTACCTCGCCCCAAACTCCCTTCCCCGATCACCTGGAAAAGAAGGAGTCTGGGATCCAGGTGAGCGTTTGGCGGGAGGTACTGAATCTAAACCGGGAAAGCAAGAGATGAAGAATGGGGAGGAGGGTGAAACACGACGCCCCCTTCCCCCCTTCCCCCCCCCCCCCCCCGCCGGACGCCGCGAGTTCGCGGCCCACCCCGGGAGGCTCCGGGCCTCCCCGCACGGGGGCGGGGCGACCCTTGATTGACAGGGATGAAGTTACGACTCCCATCCGGCTCCCCGGCTCCGAGGATGGGGGGGAGGGGGTGTCTAAGGAATCTCCCACCATCACCTCTTGCCTCCTACGTTCAGATGAATCACTTCCCCGGGAGGGCCGCGACCCAGGACCCCCTCGGCCGCCGTCTCAGCCGCCGCCATGGCCCCTGGGGGTGAGCCGGTCAGCTTGCACTCACTTCCGGGTGTGCACTCAAATCCCGCCCCCGATGCTTGCTCATTGGTTAGGAGACTCCCGGGACAGCTGGTGATTGGACAGAGTGCTCGCAGGTCGCAACTAGTTCTCCGCCTCCTTAAAGGGATCCGCCTTTCCTGCCCTGGACGGAGCGGACGGGCGCCGTGGCTTCTTTGGGGAAGTTTGTGTTTTTTTTTCCCATCGCTTCAGGGTTTGCGGTTTAGGTGTGACTTTAGTGGTTCATCAAAGCGCACGTGTGAGTGCCAGTGGCTCACGACTGGAATTGTAGCTACTCAGGAGGCCGAGAACTGAGAATCTGGGTTCAGAGCCAGCCTAGACAGGTCTATGAGACTCGTCTCCAATTAAGCATCAAAAAGCCAGAAGTGAAGGTATGGTTTAAGTGGTAGAGTGCTCAGCCTTGAAGGAAAAAGCTAAGGGACAGTGCCCAGGCCCTGAGTCCAGCTTCCAGTACCAGTACAGAGGAGCATGTATTTAGACCAAGAAATCAACCCACACGGAGGGGTACATAAAGAAGGTCCCTGCACCCCGCCACTCCAGCCCACTCTTCAAGCCTCCTGCTTGAGCCGGTAACGCGCGAACAAACCAGTGCAGACCGTCAAAGCCAAAGGGTTTATTATAGGTACATACAGTGTGCGCCAGCCACACTGCCCCACACCCACACCCCGGGGCTCCAGCGGCTCCTCCAGGCGGCCATGGGGGGACTGCCACAACCCGATACCCTGCCAGACTCCCTAGAGAGGTGCTCCAGCCAGAAGCATGCAGGGGGGAGGGCTCCCCCTCTCCCCTCCCTTCCTGTGACATGTCATTTACAGTTGGAGGGGGGGGAGGAGAGGAAGACAGGTGTTTGTTTTTCTTGAGCTTTGACGCCCCCTCCCATTTAAAAGCCTTGGCGCGGATGCGGGGCAGGGGTGGAGGGGGAGGGGGAGGGGGAAGGATAGAGGTGGGGGTCGACGTTTTGCAAAAATAAACTAAGTCAGGAATTAACCGCATGGCTCTGAGGTGGCAGAGTGCAGGGACCTGGGCCCCTTAGCTCCCCCCTCCCAGACAGAAGTCAAGGCAGCATTGGAAGTGAGGTAAAGGCAAGGAGGGGCTGTCCCCTCCCCACCCCTAGCACCCTGGATGGTCCAGGGGACCTCACCAGCGCCCCCCGTGCCCATCCTTAGGGCGGAGAGGAGTCCAGGAATGATTGCCCCCACCACTTCAGTTTCTTTTGAGGGGGGGGCAGGATCTGGGGACTGGAGTAGGGGAGGGGCTTGACTTAACTGGCCCCCTGCCCGCCACCCCCCAAGCTCAGTTATTGCATAAAAATAATGGATCCCCAGCACCTGGGGTGGGGGGATGGGGCTGGCGAGCGGGAAGGGGCCCAAGATATGGCTATAGGGGCAGCAATTCCCCCACACATACACCCACCCATTTCTTGGGGTGTGGGAGAAGTCCCCTCCTTTCCAGTGCCCGTCAGGGTGCCTCCGCGGCCATTGCGGAAGGGAAAGTGTCTTTGTGCCCACAGTGCAAGAGAGGAGGGCCAGGGAGATTTGTCAGAACCTGGGGGCAGGTGCTGGGGATCACTTCCGGCGCCCACTGGCCCTGCGCTCCCCGGCTTCTCGCTTGGGATTGCCCTCATCTGTAGACGATGTGGTAGGGAGTGTCTGGCCCCAACGGGCAATCTCTGCATGTTCGGCCACCGAAGCCGCCACAGCCTCCAGCCAACCGTTCATCTCCTCCTGGAGGAAGAAGCAGGACACAGGGTCCATATTTGGAAGACAGGAGCTGAATGATCTAGAACTGAATGCCCTCATTCCCCCCAGGTAATCATGTTAATAAAGATGAGGACACAAGCACTTACGCAGCAATCTATAATGTACCATTGTCTGTTCAGGGCACTTTTGTGAATTCTTTCACTTACACGTATCTAGGATTATATGCAACCTTTGCTAGAGATAAATCATCAAAACAAGGGGAAATATCCTGGCAGATATAGTTCAGTGATATTTTCCAGACTCTGAGTAAAGTACTTTGTATGTATCAACTAATTTAATTCTCACAAATACACTATCATAACAAATTATTTTAGGGATAAGGAAAATGAGGGCTGGCAGAATAAGGCCTACTTCACAGTTGTGTGTGCGCGCGTGCTGGCAATGTAGCTTAAATTTAGGACCTTTGCACTATCAGCTTTTTCACTCAAAGCTGGTGCTCTACCACTTGAGCCTCACACCCACTTCCCGTATTTTTTTTTGCGGGTTAATTGGAACTAAGAGTCTCATGGGCTATTCTTGCCCAGGCTGGCATTGAACCGGGAGCCTCAGATCTTATCCTGAGATTAAAGATGTGAGCCACTGGTGCCCAGACCCTGGATCACCCCTTTTGGAAATTAGTCTCTCCTCCTATCTTTCCAATATCACCTAAGTACCCAAGGTAAGGAAGTTGGACTTTGGCATCAGGGACTACAGGCAGTCCTCGCTGAGCCTCTTCCTACCACTCCTGGTTTAGGGGCCTTCCCTGGGTTCCCACTATCTTGTCATTATAGCCTTGATAACGCTAGCCTATGTACATCCCTGCTATAGCCCTATCACTCTGGATCAGGACCCAGTCACCCAACCAGCCATATCACTTTGAGGGCTACATAGAGGGTCATCTCACCTCATCCTTAGCCTGAAGCAAATACTCGCTGCCATCTTGGGTCCTGGAAGAGGAGACATAGGACTTGAAAGATCTCAAGGGGCCCAGTTTCCCTCTTCCTCCCTTCCCAATGTCCTTCAGGGGAGCCCAAGGCCTGCTGGATAAAGCAAGCTGGGCCTTTTGGATCCCTCCCACCTGCCATGGATGGGGTCGGGGGATGGGGGCCTGCTCACTGGAGCTTGAAGACGTGTTTCTTTTTCTTGTAGTCATTAGCCACCTCGCTGGTGGCCTTGTGCAGGCTGAGCAGTGGCTCCCCACCATGCGTGCCCCCTGAGGCTGGGCCTTTGGCATCCTTGTAAAAGCCTAGCTCCCCCTTGCTGAGCACACAGTAGAGGCTCACCCACGACCTGGGTAGATGACATAAAAGTTTTAGGCAAAGCTACAACACTGTGGCTTGGCAGTAGACCTTCCGACCAATGGGCCTTTGTCCAAGCTAGTTAGCACAGTTACCCAGGGCTCTCTTTCCTGTGGCTGGCTGTTCCTGCACTGTGGGAATCATCTAAGGCTCCCAATATCAAGCCTATTGCCCAGTGCGGTGCCTCCAGGGCTTGTCTTTCTTTAGCCTACTCCCACAATAGTCAATTACTGTCTCCTCCAGGTTCTGTGCATCACCATCCCTTACTCAAGACTAGCACTCCACCACCGGGAGCCACCCTTTCACTTCTGGCTTTTTGCTGATTAATTGAAGGTAAGAATCTCTCAGACTTTTCTGCCCGGGCTGGCGTTAACTCTTGATCCTCAGATCTCAGCCTCCTGAGTGACTGAGACATGCATGCCTCCTCAAGACTCCCAGATGGTGTATGACATCTTGAGCCTCTACCTCATACGTCACTAGAACCCTCGTGACAAGACTCCACCTCTGGCTTGCTCCTTAACCATAGTCGCTGGCTTTGAACCGCCATCCTCACATCTCAGCCTCCCGAGCAGCTAGGATGACAGGCGTGAGCCACCAGTGCCCGGCTTCAGGACATTTTTGTCAAGGTCCCAACCCATCTCCGTCCACTCAGCCACTAACTAGACCCTCTCCCATTCATAGCTTACGCTACCTAGAAGTTGAGTCCCGCCTCGCCCATGCTTTGCTATTCACTGATTGGACATTGTGAGCCTGGAGGCTCCGCCTTCGAAAGCCCGCCCACATGCTCACCGATTGGATGACTTGCGGTTGGCGTCCAGCTCGCGCTTGCGCAACAGGAAGCCCTCGTGCTGCACCGTGTGAGTGGGCGGGGGCGGAGGCGCGGGGGCGGAGCCTCCCTGGGCCGGGGCGGAGCGTGAGCGCCTGCTTCCCCCGCCCTCGCCACCCTCTCTGGGCCTCGGCCGCCGTCGGGGCTTGGGCCGGTCCCGAGCCCGCGGCCGATCCGGCCGAGGTGTCCGTTCGGGCGGCTCAAGCCCATTAGGCAGGCGGCCCGGGGGAAGCTCGCGAGGCTGGGGCAGCGATGGCTGTGTGAATGAAGGGAAGGGCATGGAGGTTATCTGTCTGGAGGCGCCCTGGGTCTGGGTCCCATCCGTGTCTGCCTTGGAGGCTAGCATGGAAGGAACTCGGGACTGGTTGGTTAACTCTTTGGGGGTTCCTTTAGATCTTGGGTGTGAGTCTGCCAGGAATCCTGCCCAAATGTGGGAAGAAAAGGGAGCTGGACCTATAGGTCAGGTGTAAAGGGAAATCTAGGGGTGTCTTCTCTTTTTTGTGGCTGTCCATGAGGAAATTTGGGTCCCCACAAGGCTGAAGAAATAGGGAGTCCAGGACATGAACCTAATTATGTGTGTAGGGTGAAGGGTAAGGATTGGGGAGGGGATGATCTCTTAGGTTAGAGGTTCTACCCGTGTGTGTGTTGCAAGTCCTGGGGCTTGAACTCAGGACCTGGCACTGGTCACTGAGCTTCTTTTGCTCAAGGCTAGCACTCTACCACTTGAGCCACAGCGCCACTTCTGGTTTTTTCTGTGTATGTGGTACTGAGGAATGGAACCCAGGGCTTCATGCATGTTAGGCAAGCACTCTACCACTAAGCCACATTCCCAGCCAGATATTCCACCTTTCTAAGAAGGATTTTTCTTTTGTCATTTGTAGGGCTTGAACTCAGGCCTAGACACTGTCACTGAGTTTTTTTCACTTGAGGCTAATGCTCTACCACTTTTGAGCCATAGCGCCACTTCTGGTTTTCTGGTGGTGAATTGAGATGAGTCTCACAGACTTTCCTGCCTAGGCTGGCTTTGAATGGCGATCCTCAGATCTCAACTTCCTGAGTAGCTAGAATTACAGGTGTAAGCCATCAACACCAGGCCTAAGAGAATTTTTCAGATTGTAGGGCGCCTCTGGGTGTCCTAAGAGTTCCATGTTGAAGCTGGGTGCTGCCCACACCTGTAATCGTAGCAACTCAGAAAGATGAAATCTGAGGATCACAGTTTGAAGCCAGCCTAAGCAGGAAAGTCCGTGAGACTGTTATCTCCAATAAACTGCTCAGAAAAAGCTGAAAGTGGCGCTGTGGATCGTGGTAGAGCACGAAGAGGCTCAGGGTCGGTGTTCAGTCCCTGAGTTCAAGCCCCAAGACAGGCCAAAAAATAAAAAAAGAGTTCCACGTTGGCTGTGCAGGTGCAGGTACGGAGATGGACACTGATCACTGTTTCTGAGATCCTTGGTCCTGCTCTAAGGAGAGGGGTCTTCATAGTCCCCCACAGCCAGCCATTGGTCAACTTACCACTGCAGCTGGGAGCCCCGGGCCTGCCTCTTTCTCCTGCAGCTGTTCCACAATGTCAGCCAGGGTGGCCTTCCTGAGGGAGGAGGGACAAAAAGATTCAATGGAGCAGGAGTGCCTTTTATCAGAGCCTGGCATGCCTGACTAGAGAGAGGGCTTCTGTCTATTAACCTGAAACACCAGTCCCTGTCCACTGTTCACTGTCTCCACAGATGTGTGAAAATACCAATGCCCAATACAAAGCCTCTCTTCCCTTTAAGGTTTGACAGTACTGAGGTTAAAACTCAGAGGAGCCATGGCACCAGTATCTCTTATAGATTGTGTGTTTGTGTGTGTGTGTGTGTGCGTGCGCACGCATGCACGCTAGTACTTAAGGCTGTGAAAACTTATAGTCTGTGTATAGTCCCTTAGCTTTTTTGCTCAATGTTGGCGTTCTACCATTTGAACCATCTCTCCACTGCCTGCTTTGGGCTGGGAAGTTAGAGATTTTAAAAATCCGACAGGTGGCCGGTCGTGGCTCACGCCCATCATCCTAACTACTCAGGAGGCTGAGATCTGAGGATCATCATTCAAAGCCAGCCTGGGCAGGAAGGTCTGTGAGACTCCTATCTCCAATAAACCACCAGAAAGCTGGAAGTGGCCCTGTGGCTCACGTGGGAGAGCACTTGCCTTGAGCTGAAGAGCTGAGGGACAGCACCCAGGCCCAGAGTTCAAGCCCCATGACCGACAAGGAAAAAAAAAATCTCACAGGCTTTCCTGCCCAGGCTGGCTTTGAACGATGATCCTCAAATCTCAGCCTCCTGAGTAGCCAGGAGTCTAGGAGTGAGCCACCGGTGCCCAGCTCCCCCTTTGAATTTTAACCAGTCTCAAGATTAAAAAAAAAGCAAGTTGCCATCTCCAAGTGTTCGAACCCACTGTCACCTTTCTATACGTTCCCCCCCTGAGTTCTCTTCCACTGGGATCCTCATCCCAGCCCTATCATTGATTGGTGACAAGTCTGTCATCCCCCAGGGACTTCTCCCCCAGATTCTGAGCTTCCTGGAGGCAGAGCTAGGATAGATTTGGTCTCTGCTCTTCCTCCAATCAATCAAGCAGGCTGCCCATGCGAACCATAGGCCCATCCACCTCTGGCGGGACCCAGGATGCCACCTTGCTCCTTGGGGTTCCTGACTCTTGGGGGCCTTTGGGGTTCTGGGAGGTCTGGCTTCCCCGCACCCTTCCGGATCGCTGGGAGGCCTCACCCCTTGACCAGTTCTCCTCTGGTGGGCGTCTCCTGTTCGCTGGATTCCTGCCTCTCCAGCCGCCGCTCCCGCCGCTCTCTTCGCCTCTCCATTTGCTCGTAGCGGCCCAGCGTCAGGCTGTGCGCCGTCTCGTGCTCCACAGACTCCTGCCGCTCCGACCGCCGCCTCCGGGAAGTCTCCTCGGGTTGATCGGCCGACTCTTGGCGCTCAGGCCGCCGCCTCCGGGGCAGCTCCTCGGGGGCGCGATCTGCAGCTTCCTGGCGCTCGGGCCGAGGCCGGACCTGCTCCACCACCGTGATGGGGGACACTGGCGCGTCCACCGTGTCCGAGGGCGCGGCCGGCGGGGACACGGGCTCCGCCCTGGCCGGGGCCTCGGGCAGCCGGTCGATGCGCGGCTGCAGGCGCTCGGGCTTGAGCTCTTGGCGCACGTACCCCACCCGGGTCCGCACCTCGGCCGACAGCGTGTCCGAGGCCCTTCGGGTCAGGGGCTCCAAGCCTCTGTCGTAGCCCCCTGGTCGCAGCAGAGGGGCTGCTTTGGCTGCCAGTTCCGTGGGATCCCCAAAGAACTTGCGCCCCAGCAGAGGGGTGGGTGGTTGCTTGCTCTGTTCGGCCTTCAGTTTCTCGATCTGGAGTCAAGAAGGGGTGGGGATAGAGGGGTCAGTTGGAGGGGCGGTTCTGCCTGGACATTCAGCTTTATGGGTGCTTTGTAGGAGCAAGGATTCCAGGCCCTGCGTTATTATTCTCTACCAGTTGCTTAATGAATGCCTAGTCTTTAGGTAAACGAAGGCCAAATCTTTATTTTTGATGGCACTGGGGTTGGAACTCGGGGCCTTGAACTGGTCAGGGCAGGTTCTTGAGCTCAGTCCTTTTTTTGCGTTAGTGATTTTTCAGACAGGGTATTACAGGCTTTGGTTTTGTTTTGTTTTTTGGTCTCCCCACCCGCTTCCTGTTATTTGTTGATAGGGGTCTCACTAGCTTTTTGTTTGGGCTGGCCTGGAAATTGAGCTCACTCAAGAGCCGCCAGAGCTCAATTTCCAGAGTAGCTGTGATTATTTTACAGGTGCCTTTCTGACCTTCCTCTACACTAATTCCTTAATATCCCAACTCAGACTTTAAATAATAATAACAATTATTATTATTTGCCAATCCTGGGGCTTGAATTTAGGGCCTGGTCACTGTCCCAGAGCTTTGTTTCAAAGCTCAAGGCTAGCGCTCTACCACTGGAGCCACAGCGCCACCTCCAGCTTTTTCTGTGTATATGGTACTGAGGAATTGAACCCAGGGCTTCATGCATGCTAGGCAAGCACTCTACCACTAAGCCACATTCCCAGCCCCCAGACTGTAAGTTATAATGGTCTCTTCACCTCATTCTTACAACCAGATCAAGTGCTGCTCTATTCTCCTGGCCCTCTGGGCCTCTGCTATCCAGGCTCCCTGTATCCTGTACCCTCTGGCTTTTCCTAGTGCCAGTCTGTTCCTGCCCCCTTCACACCTGCTGATTGCCCAGTAAGCATCTGTCTCCACTCTCAACACAGGACTGAGGCCTCCAAGTCCAGGTGGGAGGCAGAGTCTGGGGTGCTGACCGTGGTCAGGCGTCGTAGAGAGCTGAATCTCTCTTCCCACGCTGCGGCTGCTTTGCGGAAGGCTTCATGTCGCCGGATAAGCTGCTCCACCTCGTCCACGCTGCTGCCCAGCTCCCGGCTCTGCAGGAGGGGCTCCTGAGCTGTCAACCAGGCATCAGCCACCACCGCCTCCTGGGCAAACTGGTGCACTTCCAGCACTGGGGGCAGGCATGCAGGGAAAGGCGTTGGGGGGACATCTAATCCCTCTTTTGCTTCACCCATCCTGGCCCAGACATGCTGGCTGTACAGCAGAGTCAACCTAGAGCTATCTCCTCTATTTTTTTTTTTTTGTCAGTCGTGGGGCTTGAACTCTGGGCCTGGGCGCTGTCCCTCAGCTCTTCAGTTCAAGGCGAGCGCTCTAGCACTCTACCACTTGAGCCACAGCGCCACTAATGGTTTACTGAGTGGTTTATTGGAGATAAGAGTCTCACAGAGTTTCCTGCTCAAGCTGGCTTTGAACTGCAATCCTCAGATCTCAGCCTCCTGAGTAGCTAGGATTACAGGTGTGAGCCACTGGTACCTGGCTCTTGAACCCAGTCCTGGGTCTTGAACCCAGGACCTGGGCACTGTCCCTGAGCTTCTGGGCTCAAGGCTAGCACTCTACTACTTGAGCCACAGCTCCACTTCTGGTTGCTGTTGTTTTTTGGTTAGTCATGGGCCTGGGTGCTGTCCCTAAGCCCTTTTAGTGGTCTACAACTTTAAGCCACAGAGCCACTACCATTTTTCTGGTGGTTAACTGACATAAGGATGCCGAGCACCAGTAGCTCACACCTGTAATCCTAGCTACTCAGGAGGCTGAGATCTGAGGATCGTGGTTCAAAGCCAGCCCGGGCAGGAAAGCCCATGAAACTCTTATCTCCAATAAACCACCAGAAAACCAGAAGTGGCACTGTAGCTCAAGTGGTAGAGCACTAGCCTTGAGCTGAAGAGCTGAGGGACAGAGCTCAAGCCCAGAGTTCAAGGCCCACAACCAACAAAAATAAAAAAATAAATAGTCTTATGAAGTTTCCTACCCAGGCTTTGAAAGGCAATCCTCAGATCTGTCTCCTGAGCAGTTAGGATGACAGGCATGAGCCACTGGTGCCCGCATCCAGCCTTCCCCCCCACCCTCTTTTTGACTAGTTTATTGAAAGTAGACTTTGCTACTTGGTCTGGCTTTGAACCATGATCCTCAGATCTCGGCCACCTGTTCCAGGTTCTCTCCTGTAGTCCAATACAACCAGATTCAATAGTAAGGGAGCCCTCATATTCACTCTCCCAGGCCCTGAGATTTGTTTCTTGGGACCCATGGGTTGGATGCAATATGTCCGTGTCATCCCTGGAACCTTGGTCAGCCATGAAGTCCCTGTGTCCTTGAACCACACGTGTCCAGGTCTCCACTCACTCTGCTGAAGCCACTCCCAATGGCGGTCCCACTTGTCCGACACTTCTTCCTTCCTACTTCCCAGCTTGTCTAGCTGAGCCTGGATCTGAGATCAATGATTGGGTGGAAGAACATCAGGGGTAACTCCTGGGCCAATGAGAGGGGCAGAGGAGAACCCTCTACTCCCACCCCTTCCTACCTCATCAGCCATGGGACTCTTGTTGAGCAGGAGAGAGCGCCCCAGCTCCTGGCAGGCAGTCAGCTCAGGCACCCGTGCTTCCAGCTCCGTCTTCAGGCCCTGGTGGTAGTTCATAAGCACCTCCACAGAAGACACATCTCTGCAGTGGATGGTGGGCGGGGACCTGAGCCACAGGCAGCTGCCCTGCCTCTGCCTGTCCCCCATAGGCAGGTGCTAATGAGCCCAAATCCCTGAAATGGATTCTTCTCAGCTTTTCAGACCTCCTCTTATGACCAAGTTGGGTCTGAAGCATCTTCACTAATTCAATGAGAGAGGTGTGTGTGTGTGTGCTTGCGTGTGTGTGTTGTATCTTGGTACTAGGGCTTGAGGTCAAAGGCTCACACACTTGTTTATATTGTTTTTGTTTTTTCATTCAAATTGGTGTTCGACCACTTGAGCCACAGCTCCACTTCTGGCTTTTTTTGTGATTAATTGTAAGGAAGAATCTCACACACTTTGCCTGGGCTGGTTTTGAATCTCAGTCCTTAGATCTCAGCTAGGATATAGGTATAATCAGCATCTGTGGCGTGGGGGGGGCAATGTAGCCATGGAGATGGGAGGGCAGGGATGGTAAGGGAAAAACAAAGGAGGAGGCAACAATGCTTGATAAGAAATGTACTCATTACCTTGCTCATGTAATTGTAACCTCTCTGTACAGTATTTTCACAAAAACTTAAAAAAATAACATACAGAGGGGTTACAATTACATGAGCAAGGTAATGAGCACATTTCCTATCAAGCATTGTTACCTCCTCCTTTGTTTTTTCCCTACCATCTGTAAGTTCTCTGTATAACTATATAATGATAATAAAATATAAAAAGGTGTAAGAAAAAAATACCAGCACCTGGCTTTATTTTTCTTCATTGCAATGTTTCACTCTATGAACTAATATTTGGGGGAGAGTAGTTTAGTCTTCCCTCTCAGAATGTAAGCAGCCTTGGGGCAAGAGCTCAGCCTGTTCACCATCCAGACCCCAACAAGCATTCAGTAAATATTTTCTAACAGCTCAGAGTAGCACATGAGCCTGGCATATGAAAGGCCCAACATCAAATCTATAAATCTTCGCTGTTGGGTAATCCTAGCTACTCACAAGGCTGAAATCTGAGGATTGAGGTTTGAGGCCAGCCTAGACAGGAAAGTCCCTGAGGCTCCCATCACTTAACCAGCAATAGCCCAAGTGGTTGTTGCTCAAGGGGTAGAGCGCCAGCTTTGAGTGAAAAAGCTAAGAAACAGCACGCCCAGGCCCTGAGGCCTGGCACAGGATTGGCACAAAAATATAAAAAAATCTGGGCTGGAAACGTGGCTAAGTGGTAGAGTGGGGTCTGATTCTTCAGTGCCATATAAACAGAAAAAGCAAGAAGTGGCATTGTGGCTCAAGTGATAGACCACTTGCCTTGATCAAAAGAAGCTCAGAAACAGTGCCCGGGCCCTGAGTTCAAGCCCCAGGACTGGCAAATAAATAAATATATACATAAATACATAAAATAAAAACAATCTTTGTTGAGTAAAGAAGGCTCAAGGCCCATAATCACAAGAACAATGCCACGTGACCTTGCCCTTCAGGTCCTTATCTTCTAGTGCACACTCCTGGACTTGGCCTCAGCCTCCCTGGCAGACAGGACAGGCCACTAGTTAGAAGCATGTAGTTCTTAGGTCTCCTGGGTAACCATCTAACCCAATGCTAGGCCTGACAGGAATCTTGACAAGTCTGGCACACACAGGTTGTGCCCGGATATCAGCTCTTTGCTACAGGAAGGTGACTGGACATAGGCTGGGGATGGCTGGGGAAGGATGCTAGAAGCATCTAGGAAGCCCCAAGTGGGATGAAGGGCAACCTGGGTTTGTCAGCTGCTCCGATCTGGCTGGCGATGCCGTCCATCCAAGACAGCAGGTCCCGGGCCTGGCTGTGGAAGCGCAGGGCGTCGGCCGTGGAGCTCACGTGCAGCCGGGCATCCTCGCAGGCAGCCAGCAGCTCCTTCCAGCCCTGCAGCACCTCCTGCTCCCGGCTGGCGATGGCCTCTGCGTGCTCGCCCGCATACACGGTGCGCAGCTGGGCTGCGCCCTCCTGCAGCTGCCGTACCTGAGGGGCATGCCAGGTCGGGGGGCCAGCCCTCCACCTGCCACAGGCTCCGCTCTCTCTCCGCCCCTGTGGCACAGGCCCCGCCCTCAACCCCCTCCCCTGAGGCCCAGGCTCCGCCCCATACCTCCCCTGTGGTCCAAAGCCATGCCCTTACTCCTGGCCTCCCGTTGTCCAGGCCACGCCCCCTTGCGGCACAGGTCACGCCCCTCCCCCGTGGCTAAGGCCCCTCCACCAATCCGTATGATTCAGGCCATGCCCCACCCCTTCCCTGCAGTTCAGGCCACGCCCCCACCACGCCCTGTGGCCCAGGCCCCACCCTCAGTCCCTGCCCCCGTGGCCCAGGTCCCGCCCCTTCCTCCTCCCCTCTGGCTCAGGCCCACTTCGCTTGGCCCTGCTGTCCAGGCCCCTTCCACTTGGCACCTTTGGCGCCCACCTGAGACACGAGGAGCTGCAAGTCGTGCTCGAAGGCTCGCAGGGTCCTCTGCATGGAGCTGGCACTGGGTCTCGGCTCCGGCGGAGCGGTCAGGCGGGGCAGCCGCCTGCGCTTCTCCTCGATCTGTCCTTGAAGCTCTCTGGCATCGCTGAAGAACTTGTGTAGCTCCCGGGAGGCAGCCAGCAGCTGGGCACGCGTGCCCATGAGCTCCAGCAGCTCGGCCCAGGCCTCGTTCAGCCCATCTTTCCACTCGGCCATGGTGGCTGCTGCCGTATGCCCGCACTCGATCAGCTCATCCACCATCTGGTTCACGGCTGCCAGCCGCTCCCTGCCGGCTGTGCCTGTCTCACTGGCGAACTCTGAGAATTTCTCCTGCAGCACCTGCCACAAGGCCATGGTGTGGGTGTGGGTGTGGGGGGGGGTGCATAGCATCAAGGTGGGCAAAAGTTCTGCACCCCCAGCCCTTCCAACCTGCTTCCTTATGTCAGATACAGTCATAACAATAAACCAGTAAAATAGAAATAACATCTAACACTTCTTAAACAATCTGTAGCAATAATAGAATCATATAATAATAGAGTATTAATAAATGACATTGTGCTGCATATTGAATACGTGCTATGCACAGTTGTACTTTGTCAGATGCTGGGAATTCAGCATAGGATCTTGCACATGCCAGGCAAGTGTTTACGATTGAGCTACATCTTCAGCCTTTTACAATGTGTTGTGGGGCTGGGAATGTGGCTTAGTGGTAGAGTGCTTGCCTTGCAAACATGAGGCCCTGGGTACCTTACTACCATTCCTTAGTACCATAGCAATAGTGCCACATAAACAGAAAAAGCTGGAAGTGGTGCTGTGGCTCAAGTGTGGAGTGCTAACCTTGAGCAAAAGAAGCTCAGGGACAGTGCACAGATCCTGAGCTCAAGCCCCAGGACTGGCAATAAATAAATTAAATAATAAAATAAATAAATAAAAATGTGTTATACCAGGACTAGGACTTGAACTCAGGGCCTGGGTGCTGTGCCTGAGCTTTTCTTGCTCAAGGCTAGCATCTACTACTTGAACCACAGCTCCACTTCCACCTTTTTGCTGGTTAACTGGAGATAAAAGTCTCATGGATTTTTCCTGCCCTCACTGGCTTTGAACTGTGATCCTCAGATCGCAGCCTCCTGAATAGTTAGAATAACAGGTGTGAGCCACCAGTGCCGAGTCTCACATATAGTTTTAAGTGCTTTGCATTGTGTTAATTTGTCTCATAACAGAGCCAGGAGTGCTTCTGCTATCCCTATGATATTGAATGGGGAAACTGAGACCCAGAGAACCTTACTAGCATACTCAGTAACTGCTCCTGATGCATACCCATGCAATTCCCCATGATGCTCACCGAGACATGCTCGAAGTCCTGGCCAAGCTCAGGTGAGCCAGCTACTACCTCCTTCTCTGCAATCCAATGCTCCAGCTCATCCACCTGACGGCTGAGCTGGTACAGCCAGTATTGCTGCTCCAGGCTCACCCTGCGCTCCTCGCCCAGTTCCTTGAGTGACACGTACAGACGATCCACCTGAGACTGACGCCGGCTTATCTGCTCACTGATGAGGGAAAGGAGGGCAGGGAAAAGAGCCCCTTGAGGCTTCCCACCCTGGAATCTCCTCTTCTCACAGCAAGGCTGTTTCCCTGCATTGCCAGGCAAGGGTCATGTCCCCCACTGTTTTCTGCAAGTCTCAGATTCAGCCCATTGCACTGGATCTCAGCACTCAGGGAAAGTGTTTACATCCAAGGTTTGATAAGCTTGCCCCCAATCCAGACTCACCCAGTTTCTTTTACACCTGGCCCCTACTCTGTCCAGGGACCAGGGAACTCAATCACCTTACAAACTATCTACCACTAAGCTATGCTGTTAGCCCTTCCTGATCAATTTCTATTTGTTTTTGCTTTGGGGGTTGCTGACTTTTTTTTGTGTGTGTGGCCATTCCTGGGACTTGAACTCAGGGCCTGGTCACTGTCCCTGAGCTTCTTTTGCTCAAGACTAGCACTCTACCACTTGAGCCATGCTTTTTCTGTTTATGTGGTACTGAGAAATCGAACCCAGGGTTTCATGCATGATGGGCAAGCACTCTACCACTAAGACACATTCCCAGCCCCTTGCTCACTCTTTGAGTCTGACCTTCCTTCCTTCCTTCCTTTTCTTTCTTTCTTCCTTTCTTTCTTTCTTCCTTTCTTTCTATTACAGTACTAGGGAATTGAACTCTGGACCTTAAGCTTGCTTGGCACTCTACCACTTAAGTAAGTCACAATCATCTAATTCCTTTTGCAGTGATCATCAACCCTTCCTTCTTTCCTTCCTCCTCCCCTCCCTCCCTCCCTCCCTCCCTCTCTTTCTCTCTCTCTCTCTTTTTGTGTCAGCTCTGGGGCTTGAACTCAAGGCCTGGTCAGTGTCCCTTAGCTGCTTTTTCTCTTCAAGACTAGTGCTCTACCCCTTAAAACTATACCTTCACTAACAGATTTGCTAGATAATTAGAAATGAGTTTCACAGACTTTCCTGCCCTAGCTGACTTTGAACTGCGACCCTCAGATCTCACTCTCCTGTGCAGTCAGGATTACAACTATGAGCCACAAGTGCCCAGTTCCCAATGTCTATCAAGTGTGCCCCCTAACGGATCCCAGCCCAGGGCCTGGTTTCCCAGAGGCCCAGTGAAGTGACACCACCCAACCAAATCAGGAGGCCTCAAGCCTTGGCCTCCACACCCATCTCCACACCCCAGGTTTTTCTGTCCTCCCAACACAGCCTGTCCTGGCCATGGCTTCCCTAATTCACTCCTTGATATCCAACGACCCTCCTCCCAGCTGTTCCTGGTCCCACGGTGGCACCAATTTTGTATCCAGCCATTAATCCAAGGGTTCCAGTACACGACCCTGAGGGCCCATCCCACTCCAACATCCAATCCTAGTCGTGCCCCAACCTCCGACAGCAAAGCCTCGGTTCCTGTTAGTTCCTTTAACAGTGAAGCCTCGGCTCCTATTGACCCCTTTAACAGCAAAGCCTGGTTCCTATTGGTCCCTTTAACAGAGGAGCTTCGGCTCCTATTGGCCCCTTTAACAGCGAAGCCTCAGTTTCTATTGGTCCCTTTAACAGTGAAGCCTCGGTTTCTATTGGCCCTTTCCTGGGAACCGGCCCGCCCCCTCGTTGCCCCGCCCTCGTTGCCCCGCCCCTCAGCCGCCCACCTGTCCGGATGCCCCATCTCCAGCAGCGCCCGGCACTGGCGCGAAAGCTGCGCGATGCTTTCCTCGTAGTTCTCCACGCCCTGCTCCAGCTGCAGGTGCTTCTTGAGCAGCTGCAGGGTGCTCTGTTCATCCTGGGGGGGGGGGGGGTGGCGAAGGGAGGGAGGGACACAGGGCGCCTGCCATGAGGCGGCAGCGGCCGGCCCCCGGCTGCGGCGCCCCCGGACCCCCCGCGGTCCCCCAGCCCGGGCGCACCTTGCCCTTGTCCTCACTCATCATGAGCAGCTCCTGCTCACCCAGCCACGCCTCCACCTCGGCCACGTCGAAGTAGTACTGCTCCACCTGGAAGGCGGCGTCCAGCGACTGCTGCCGTCTCTCGGCCGCTTCCCGCAGCCCGCCCCAGGCGCTCTGCAGTTGCTCCTGGCCCCGGCGCACGGCCTCGGCCTCGGGGCTGCGCAGCGAGGCCAGGGCGCCTGCGCGCTCCAGCACCTCCTCCAGACGCGGCCCGTGCGCCTGGATCTCGCGACGCAGGCTCTGCAGAGAGGGGAGATCCGAATAGAGGGGGGCCTCCAGAGACCCCGAGAAGCAGGGTCCACTGAGTGACACCCACCCATCACTGACCACGGGCTAGCTACCATTTTGCCAGTACTCGATCACTCATAAACCCCATGCCTTTAATCCTGGCATTCAAGAGGCTGCTAGCAGGAGGACCACAAGTTGGAGGCTAGCTTGTTCTCAGAAAACAAACAAAAACCCTAACAAGCAAAACAAACAAACAAAAACCACGCATCATCTAGGACAAGGATGAACCACTGGCCATAGTATTTCATCAAAATACAAAAGAAGTGGCTTTAAGGCTGGATGTCAGTGGCTCACGCCTGTAATCCCAGCTACTCGGGAGGCTGAGATCTGTGAATCACCCTTCTGCACATCACTTTTATAGTAAGTTTTTAAAAAGTAACATAAGTGGTAGAGTGGCAGTCCTGAATGGAAAAAGCCAAGTGAGAGGGAGTTCAAGCCCCAGCCCCAGTGCACACCTGTGTACATACACAGAGAAATTAAGAAAAAAAAATCTAAGAAAAATTTGCGGTGCCCATCTGTCTGTCTGTCTTTCCCTTACTTACCCCCTTGAGCTGTTTCTCTCTGTGTGTCAATGGGCTCCGCTCACCTGGTTCTTTTTGATGTGCTGCTGGACAGCCTGCAAACCATCCCCTCGCTCAGTCAGCATGGCCAGAGGCAGCCGTTCCTGAACCCAAGCCTGGGAAGGACACAGAGAGCCAGGTCAAAGAGACTATCTCCAAGAGTGCCTACATCCCAAGAATCCTTCCAGCCCCTCTGCCACAGTATTCAAGGTCCTTTGCCTAAGAGCCATGACTTGCCTTGAGCTGCCTGCATTGACACTTAGTCTTGATGTCTGTACTTTGGCAGATTCTGCTTAGCCCAGGACCTTTGCACATGCCACATGGAGGTTTTGCTTCCTGAAATTCCCAGTCCATTCTTCTCACTCCTGGATTTTCTTGACCTCAGAGGCTTAAGTCCTCAGACAGCCCTCCATAACTTTGAACTTTTGCCATAAGTGGGCCCAGTGATCGCAAATCTGTGTCCCCACACACACCTTTTATTTCCTGTCGGTTGTGGGGCTTGAACTCTGGGCTTGGGCGCTGTCCCTGCGCTCTTCAGCTCAAGGCAAGTGCTCTACCACTTGAGCTACAGCACCACTTCCTGTTTTCTAATGGTTTATTGGAGATAAGAGTCTCGCAGACTTTCCTGCCGGGGCAGGCTTTGAACCATGATCCTCAGCTCTCAACCATCTAAGTAGCTAGGATTATAGGCGTGAGCCACCAGTGCCCGGCTTCCCTTTAGATGCTGAATTGTCTGTGGGCAGTCATCCTGCTGACCAGGATAGATTCTAAACACAGGGCTGGACCTAGAGTGATGGAGTGGGCGAACAAATTCTTGCTCCAGTAAATGAATGAGCAAACTTAGGAGTGGAGTGGTTGAAGGAGGAAATGAATAGAGGAGAGAATGCACCAGAAGTAGATAAAACAGAATAAAGAATGGATGAGTGGATAAATAAATGCCTTCATGAATAATTCAGTGAGCGGCAGGAACAGGGGGGAGGGGGTGAAGGGCTGTCAGCCTGGACCTGTCATGGCCACCACCCAGCTCTTCCTCCCCCCATCCCGCTCCCACTCCTCACCCCGCCCCCATTCCCTCCCTCCTCTTCTCACCAGCTCATCATCCAGATCGTGGGCCACTTGGTGAAGCTCCTTTGAGGCAAGCAGCAGGCGGCGGCGCTCCTGCAGCGGCTCCAGCAGCCGCACCAGGCGCTCGCCCACCGCGTTCTGCCGCTCGCCCACCAGCTCCTTGCTCGCCGGCTCCAGCGGCAGCGAAGCCGTCTGCGCCTGCAATTCTCCCACCTCTCGGTACCATTCTTCCACCTGAGATTGCATGGACTGTGGGGACAGGGGCAGCGTCACTATGCTGTGCCCGCCCTTGCCAGCCTGCTGTGGCTCCCCAGTTCCCTTCCAATGGGAACCCAGGCCACAGTGAGATCCATGCTGACCAGCCACAATGAGGGGTATCGTATGATACCGCAGCAGTCTGAGCCAGTCCCTGACTCCGGGTTCTGCTTTGCTGTTTCTCTGCCAGGCACATTTATCCTGGCCAGTCAGACTTCAACTCAAATATCACCTGCTCAGCCAGGAGCCGGTGGCTCACGCCTATAATCCCTGCTACTCAAGCTGAAATCTGAGGATCGCGGTTCAAAGCCAACCCAGGCAAGAAAGTCTGTGAGACTTATCTCCAATTGACTACCAAAGTGGGGCTGTGCCTCAAGTAGTAGAGCCCTAGCCTCCAGCACAAAAGCCCAGGAACAGTGCCCAAGTCCTGAGTCCAAGCCCCAGGACCAGCAAAAAACAAAAACAACAACAACAACAAAAAAAACAAAATAAAATAAAATAACTCACTTAAAGAAGATTACCTAACCTTCAGGTCTAAGATGGTCTATCCATCCTCAGAGCCACCCTCTCGGCTGATCATATCAGTTTTACAGAGAATGTAACTGAGGTTCACAGAGGTGAAGTAGTTTTTCCAAAGGGCTAAATTACTTTGCCACATAGCAAAAAGAAATACAAAACTATAGTAATCTGGATCATCGGAGGACCTTGAGCATAGGCAGAAAGTGCAAAAGCATTGAGATGTGATGGCATATGCCTGTAATCCCAGCTAGTTGGAAGGAAGAGATTGGAAGGATTCAGGTTAGAGGCCACGTGGGAGAAAAAGCAATAGCCCATCTCATCCAGCAAGCCAGGCATGACGGCGTGTACTTGTCCTAGCTATAAGGTGGGGATAGGTAAAAGGACTTTAATCTATGGCTTCCCCAGGACAAAATGTATCTGATAAAATAAATTTAAAAAGTTGGACAGTGTGGTTCTACCCATTGAGCCACACTTCCAGCCCAACTTTTTGCTACTTGAAGATGAAGTCTCGTGGACTTTCCTGTCTGGGCTGGCTTTGAACGGAGGTTTTCAGATCTCAGCCTCCTGAGTAGCTAGGATTATAGACATGAACTACAAGCATCCAGATTGATTGATTGATTGATTGATTGATTGTGTGTGTGTGTGTGTGTGTGTGTGTATGCGTGTGTGTTGGTCCTGGGACTTGACCTTAGCACCTGGGCACTGTTCTTGAAATTTTGCTCAAGGCTAACACCTCTACCACTTGAGCCACAGCTCTATTTCTGTTTTTCATGGTGGTTCATTGATGATAAGACTCTCCTTGGGGCTGGGAAGGTGGCTCAGTGGTAGAGTGCTTGCCTTGCATGCATGAGGCCCTGGGTTCGATTCCTCAGCACCACATAAGCAAAAAGAAAAAAGCTGGAAGTGGCACTGTGGCTCAAGTGGTAGAGCGCTAGCCTTGAACTGAAGAGCTGAGGGACAGCTCCCAGGCCCAGAATTCAGGCCCCACGACCGGACCCCCCCCCCCCCAAAAAGAGACTCTCCTGGACTTTCCTGTCCAGGCTGGCTTTGAGCTATGATCCTCAGATCTCAGTCTCATGAGTAGTTAGGATTACAGGTGTGAGCCCATGGCATGCCCAGCTTGATATTCTTTCCTATCTATCCAACTGGCAAAAATATACAAGATGGCTAGGCATCCGTGGCTCACACCTATAATCCTAGCTACTCAGGAGGCTGAGATCTGAGGATCACAGTTCAAAGCCAGCCTGGACAGGAAATTCCGTTGAGACTCTTATCTCTAATTAAACACCAGAAAACTACAAGTGGCACTGTGACTCAAGTGGTAGAGCACTACCTTGAGCTGAAGAGCTCAGGGACAGTGCCCAGGCCCAGAGTTCGAGCCCCACAACCACCACCACCACCAGCAACAAATACACACAGACACACACATACACACACACACACACACACACACACACACGGATGGTATCTAGGGTTGGCAGAGATGGAGGGATGGAGGGAGATAGAAGTGTTCAGCCACCATGGGTGGTATGAATTGGTTGAGCCTCTTTAGAAAGCAAGTTGGCAGGTCTTAATCAAAATGCAAAATGTGTAGATGCTTAACTGGGAACCAGCACTTCCCCTTCGAGGAACGAGCTCCAGACACACTGGCACCCACGCACAAAAAAAGATGTGTCCAGGAATTTCACTGTAGTGGATGGAGTTTGTAATGAGAAAAACTTGGGAATGACCTCATTGCCCAGCCAGAATGAAATAGTTAACCAAATCTGCGTGAGTGTGGGTGAGCAGAGTTCCTAGGAAGAGAAAAAAGCCATCGAGAAACTTCCATATGATATGTATTTGTAGGGAATTGTACATGCATGAAAAATTGCCTGGGAGTAAACAAGTAATTAATAGCAGGTGGCATTGATGGGGTGGGGGATGGGAACTTTGTGAAAGGAACATGGACTGATGGAAAAAAATTTCACAAAGGATTTTTTAAAATATGATTTTTGATGCTTGGACCATGAAGATGTATTTTTTTCAAACGTGCAAATCAAAGATGAAAGATAAATAAGATGAAAGCATTAAAAGTGAATGTACTTTGCACAACTACTTAATAAAAGTATTTTTCAATGAAGTGAATGTATAATGCAATTATAAGAAGAGATTGTAAATGTATAATAAAAATATTCTTCAGTGATCTGGAAATATGCACACCAAGTAAAACCTAAGGTTCATATTGGGGTGTTTGAGTGGATGTAGAGGTTCAGGGAGATGTTTTACTGAAGACTTCTAGGTTAGTGAGTTAATCAAAAGAATATGATTATCTATTAATTATGTGATTCTAAACAGATGAAGGAAAGCTAAAGAAGAAAACAAAATAATAAAATTAAGAGGTACCAGATTATAGAAAATGGCTATAAACCAAAAATTACAACTTAAGAACTGAGTCAAGGCTTTTTGTTTTTGCTTTTGTTTGTGTGGTTGGCCTTAGGCTTCGAACTAAGGGCCTAGGTGTTGTATGTTGGCGCTCTACCACTTGAACTACAGCTCCACATCTGGCTTTTTGGTGGTTAAATGGAGATAAGAGTCTCACAAACTTTCCTGCCCAGGCTGGCTTCCAAGTTTAATCTTCTAATCTTTGCCTCCTATATAATTACAATTACAGGTGTGATCCACTAGCACCTGGCTCTTGTTTTGTTTCTGAGACAGGGTCTTGCTATGTAGCCGAGGCCTCCAATTCATGATCCTTCTGCCTTAACTTCCCAATAGCTGAGATTTTCAGTGTGCAACTACCTCCCAGAGTTTCCGAGTAAAAATGTTCATTCTAATGTTCTGTAGTGTAGAGTTGTGGCTTTGCCCGAGGGCCAACACCCATTCCCTGCTTTACAAAGATCTTAAATCCCACCGAGGAACTAATCAAACCTAGAGCTCCATGCTAGGTCATGGCCAATCAGAACAGTAAAGTTACTCTGGCAATCATGATTGGGTGAGATATGGTCAAGTTACCTAAAGTAGACCAATGAAAACACTTCTAGTTCTAGCTTTCTTGGTGGGGGGGGGGGGGGGGGGGGAATGAAACCTAATCATGTGACTCAGGGCCAATCAATGAAAACTTGAAACATCTCAGCTTATGATTGGGTCAAGGTAGGCATGTGACCCAAGATGAGCCAATGAAAACTCTTCTCCCAGGCTGGGAAAGTGTGTGCTCAGTTTCCCATGGGGTTCCTAAACTGACAGAGTTTAGGATACTGCAGACCCTCCCCCCACCCCCAGGAAGGGCAAAGCTTGGTAAGACTAACACAGGGGCTGGCGCTGGTGTTTCATCCCTATAACCCTGGCTGAGATCTGAGGATTGCGGTTCAAAGCCAGCTTGGGCAGGAAAGTCTGTGAGACTCTTATCTCCAATGAACCACCAGAAAACCAGAAGTGGCTCAAGTGGTGGAGCGCTAGCCTTGAGTCAAAGAGCTCAGGGAAAGCTGGGCACTGTTGGCTCACACCTGTAATCTTAGCTACTCAGGAGGCTGAGGTCTGAGGATCACAGTTCAAAGCCAACCTAGGCAGGACAAGTCTGTGAGACTCTTATCTCCAATAAACCACTAGAAAACCAGAAGTGGCACTGTGGCTCAAGTGGTAGAGTGCTTGCCTTGAGTTGAAGAGCTAAGGGACAGCGCCCAGGCCCTGAGTTCAAGGCCCATGACCACCTGCCTCCCAAAGACTAACACAAGGTTCAAAAATGGACAGATTCGGGCTGGGAAGGTGGCTCAGTGGTAGAGTGCTTGCCTTGTATGCATGAGGTCCTGGGTTCGATTCCTCAGCACCACATAAGCAAAAAGAAAAAAAAGAAGTCAGTGAGTGACAAAACCAGACATCTGAAAAATGGACAGATTCCTGAGAACTTAATTTGAAAACAAATCCAGCCATCCCTGTGGCTACACAAGCCCTGGGATTTTCAGTTTATGTTGCCTAAGTTGATTTGGGTGTGAACTGTACCCCACAATCCCAACCTATCCAATGCACAATCGGCATGGGGAAATTCAGCACTTCACAAATCAAAACCTTGTAAGATGGAAATTTAAAAGGTACAATTGCTGGGTACTGGTGGCTCACACCTGTAATCCTAGTAACTCAGGAGACTAAGATCTGAGGATCACATTTGGAAGCTAGCCCAGCTAGAAAAGCTCATGAGACTCTTATCTCCAATTAACCACACACACATACAAAATATGGAGCTGTGACTCCATTTGCTAGACTTGAGTAAAAAGTTAAGGGACAGCATAAGGTCTTGAGTTCAAGCCTCAGTACCAACACACACACATACATACACACACACACACACACACACACACACACACACACACACACACACACACACAAACAGATGAACAATTACAATTGCGGTAAAATAAAAAAGATTTACAAAAAAAAAAAAAAGCAGAATCAAGCTGGGCATTGGTGGCTCACACCTATCATCCTAGCTACTCTGGAGGCTG